TTGATTAAGAAATAGTTTAATATTTGCAATTAAGAAATATCTTAGCCATATTTTATCATATTAAATAGTAATTAAGTTATAATCATACAAAATAATAATTAAAACAATGTAGCCAGCCGGTTATACTCTATGAGTAGAATACTTGGAACGTATATCCGATCGGCTCTTTACTATTTAAATAGAATATTGTAACCGTATAGCCACACGACTATACCCTTTAATAGCATAATGTGTATTTCTCTTCTTTAATTACTTTAGTTAGTAGTTATTTTTTAATTACTATTTATTTAAAGAATAATTAATAATTAAATGTTTTACTAATTTCATCAATTACTTAATAAATAATAAATAATTATTTTAAATTACTTTATGTTCACTGTTTTATATTTTGTTATATACAAAATTAGTTTGTTTAGTTTAATTTTTGCAATTTCTATTAAAAAATAGTTTAGTATTTGCAATAAAGAAATATATTAGCCTTACTCAATCATATTAATTAGTAATTATCTTATAATAATTTGAAATTATAATTAAAACAGTATTGCCACACGGCTGTAATCTATGAATAGGATGCTTTAAAGGTATAGCCGGGCGGCTATACCTTATTAATAGACGACTTTAACAGTATAGCCGTGCGGCTATACGTCATTAATAGGATACATGATAGTATTGCCGTGCGGCTATACCCTTTAAATAGTATTGTATGGATTTCGCTTCTTTAATTACTTTAATTAGTACTTATGTTTTAATTATTATCAAGGATTAAAATATCGGCCGTGCAGATAATATCGGGCCTCCAATTTACGGATATTTCGAGGGATATATCGTTATCGTTTTGGGTATCGGGAACAAATCAACAAAAATGACAGATATAGGCATTGAAATACATAATTTTTGTGTAAAACTTTCATAGATGTTATGTACATTGTCAATGAATGTATTGAACAAATAAAACTCAAAATTTACTAATAATAAAATATATATATATGATGAAATATAAGTGGTATGTAATACGCGTTAATGAAAAGTTTGAAAATAAAAAGTTGATTAGAATGAATAAACCATGCATAAATCCATAGTTTATTTGAACATTGGATTACAATTTAGATGAGTGTCCAACTACATAAATGAAGAGCTCCTATGAGGTTCAAACAATGTGGAACAACCATCTAGATTCATACAATAATCATACCAAGTCATGTAACCCGAGTAGTTTATAAGCCATGTTTGAACATGGTGCACATATGACTTTCTTGAGCTCCCTACTGTCCTCTCATATATGGGATAGTTAGGATTAACTCAACTAGTAGGTCCATAATCTGTTTCATCATCTTGATCTCCATATCTAGTTCCACTATAATAAGACATGACATAACCATAGCCATCATAAGATTCATTTGAGTTAGTACTAGGTCTAGATTCTTTTGATGCATACTCTAAAACATGCATACTCCAAAACATCTTTTGAATTGAATATTGCCAAAAGCCTTCACACATATATCTAATCACTGCACATATACCTCCAAAAAAATCTTTTCAATTTCAATTTGCTTCAAAACTTTTGAATTTTTTTGGGTTTTGTTATGGGTATCGGGAAATATCGGAAATATCAGCAAAATATCGAGGATATCGCACTTATCGGGGATATATCGTCGATATCGGGGAAGATATGACCTTACCCCCCAATATCGGTGTCGACAGTTCAAAATATCGATATATTGGTGTATCGGCCGATATTTCAATCCTTGATTATTATTCACTTAGTGAATAATTAGTGTTTAAATGTTTTTCTAATTTTATAAATTCCTTAATAGATAGTAGTTAATTCTTTTAAATTATTTTATTTAAATTATGTTATATTTTTTTATATACAAAATTAGTTTGTTCAGTTTAATATTTGAAATTTTTTTTAAAAATATTTTCAATTAAGAAATATATTAGCCTTGTTTAATAATATTAATTATTAATTATGTTATAATAATTTGAAATTATAATTAAAACAGCTGTAATCTATGACTAGAATGCTTAAACGGTATAGCCGATCGGCTATACCCTATTAAGAGACTACTTTAAACGTATAGCCCTTCGGTTATACTCGATTAAAAGAATACTTGATAGTATAGCCGCACGGCTATACCCTTTAAATAGTATAATATGGATTTCACTTCTTTGATTACTTTAATTACTAGTTATGTTTTAATTATTATTTACTTATTAGTGTTTAAATGTTTTTTCTAATTTTATAAATTACTTAATAGATAATAGTTAATTATTTTAAATTATTTTCTTTTACATTTTTTAAAATATTTTGTTATATACATAATTAGTTTTTTTAGTTTAATTTTTGCAATTTTGATTAAAAAAAAGTTGAATATTTGCAATTAAGAAATATATCAGCCTTATTTTATCATATTAATTAGTAATTATGTTATAATCATATGAAAGAATAATTAAAATAGTATAGCCGCCCGGCTATACCCTATACATACAATACTTTAAAAGTATAGCCGCGCGGGTTTATGCCATAAATAGAATACTTTAATTATAGCCGCGCGGCTATACCCTTGCATAATATGGATTTCTCTTTCTTAATTACTTTAATTATTATTTTCTTAGTGAATCATTAGTATTTATTTATTTTACTAATTTCATAAATGACTTAATAAATAGTAATTAATTATTTAAAATTATTTTGTGGACATTGTTGTATATTTTTTATTATAGAAAATTAGTTTGTTTAGTTTAATATTTTCAATTAAAAAAAATCTTAGCCTTATTTAATTAGTGATTATGTTTTGATCATATTAAATGATAATTAAAACAGTATAGACGCTCGGCTATAACTTTTAAATATTATACCCAACAAACTAATTTTGTATAAAATGAATAAAAGACAAAGTCCACAAAATAATTTTAAATAATTCATTACTATTGTTGAAAAATTAGAAAAATATTTAAACAATAACAATTTATTAAATAAATAATAATTTAAATATAATTACAAATTAAAGTAAGGATTAAATACGTTTATGGTCACTGGATTTTAAACTGACTTTTAATTTGGTCACTAATAAACAAATTTATCCAAATTAATCACCGTATTATCAAAATTTTACCATTTTTGGAGTTGCAGTTGGTTTCTTTTAAGTAGTTTTGCTAAATACCTTTTTAGTCACTCGATTTTTCATGAAATTTCAATTGACCCACTAAAAAAAGTTAGCCAAAAGCCATGCAAATATGAAACTCTATTTTGAACTTTATATTTGGTCAAATCTATGTATTGACATAAGTATGGATTGAAATTTTTGTGAAAAGATCAATTTGCATTTTTGTGAAATTATTATATATGAACATATTTTGTCATGATATGATTCTCTTTTTTTTTAGCCTTAATTGATGCTACACAAACTATAAATTTTCAGCCTACGAGCAACGTGTGCAATAGCATAGCATTTGCATGGATTTTGGTTTTTATTTTTATTTTTATTTTATTTTTTCTATAGTTATCTAATTGAAATTTTGTATAAAACTCAATGACAAAAAAGGTATTTAACCCAAAAACTTAAAAGAAAATTAATGTCAAGTTTATAATACAGTGACTAATTTGACTACTTTTTTTTTTTCTCAATAACCAAATTAAAATTTCATGTTAAATTCAATGACAAAAAAATATTTAACCCTTAATGTAATTAAAAAGGCTAAAATATCGCGCGCCTTCAGGCGTTTCCCATATACGCCACGAGGTGGAGGGTCCCACACCAGACTGTCTCCTCATTTTCCCAGTCTCTCACACGTGGCACCCAAGACCGACTTTCGTGTAATGCTCACCCGGCGCAAGTTAAGAAGAGCGTGCGCATCCCACCCCAAAGTCACCGCCTTTCAGCAACGCTGCTAATATGAACTGATGGGGTATCGTGCGCCATAGCAAAGGCCAAATGTAACGCTGACGTGGCGAGAAAAGCCAAACCAGCGCATTTTAGTATGCACTGTAGCCACCTGGCCAAAGAGAAAAAGCATTCGCTGTGTGCTAGCCTATTGCGAAGCGGAGAGGAGAAGCCGGTTCATTTCTCTACTCTCTCTGCTCTCACTCAACAGTTGAACGTCGCTTTCTCTTCCTATTTCTTTTCATTCTACAAAATACAACCTTTCTTTTTTGCTCTCTGAAAACCCTAAAAGGTTTGCTTCACTGCGTGAGCTCCACGGAACAGGTGTCTCCGTACGAAAACAGAGTCTCAGAGTTTCAAAGGCATGAAGCTTATACACACTTGAATGTATATGTATATAATATATGATATATCTATACTCTGTGTGTGTGTGTGTGTGTGCGAATGTTGATTATACAGTGATTGAATGCTTGTTTCACACAACGGCTATTATTTATTGATTTTTTTAATCAAAGGCACATTTACTTCAACACGTACCGAGCTAGAAGTGACCAGTGTGAAAGAATTTTGTTGATGCCTCTAGTCATTTATGTCATCTACATCTGGATATTGATTTATCTGTGGGTTGAATGCCTCTTAACATGTTCTTCAACCATCTGTTTGAAAGCTATGTTTTGGCTTTTGTAATCTTCTGTCGAAATCGGTCCTGATACTCCTGTTCTCTCTTTATCTCTGCATTTTGCTTGTTTATTAACTCCTGTGGCCCATAAAAGGTTGTACGAAATAAAGTATGACTAATGGTTTGGGGGCGACTTCAAATCTTCTATACATATCACCTAAAGTGAGATTTTCTTGGCTTTGAAACACTTTTAACTCCTTTTCCTTTCGTTTGAATTTTCTGTCAATAATAACAGTTTTCCCTGTTTTTCCTACTTCATTACCTTCTTTGGGCTAGTAAATTGTCAGATAATGCATCATGTTGCACTTATTTACATGCACAAGAGACAATTAGTATGTAGAGTTATGTGGTTGAGATGATTTTTCTTGGCTCCTGAGCAATTACGAATCTCTTAATTCTGTTATTGTCTTTTCTAAAGAGATTTCGTGTTGCTGAAAATGGATGCAGCAATGCTGCAGCGGACGAAAAAGAGCCAAATGCTTGAAGATCATGGTGGTAAGGACAGGGCATATAGATTCAAGATCCTATTACCAAATGGCACAAGCGTTTGTTTGACATTTCAAAATCCTAAGCCCACAATGCCATTTGGAGATTTCATTCAAAGGCTGGAAGAGGAATACTCTCTCACTTATAGACAATTCAGCTCAGGGAAGCAGAAAAGGGATATTGATTGGAAAGGTGGTTGCTTATTTCTTGAAGATGCTAATGATAGGAAGATAAGAGGTGAAATGAATTTCAAGAACTTCAAGCCACATGAGTGTCATATTCTAAAGCTTCATGTGAGTATAAGATGCATGAGTTCAAACTATGTTGTATTTTGTTTAGTTTCTGGATAACTTTTGGGAAATATGAAAGAACATGGAAGCATTGGTCTCTTTGGTGACAGGGGCAATTTGAAACTAAATTGATCTGAAATGGTTGTTTGTGTTTTTTTAAGAGGGGGCCATGTTATTTGATTTCTCAACCAATTGGAAGGCTACTGTTGTGGTTGCGATCTTTTAATTTGCTTGCTTGTGGACGAAAACTATATATGTTTTTTATCGTAATATTTTGCTTGTTTTGTTTATGAGGTAGGATGGTTCCCATGAGTGTGCTTATACTTTTGAGGTTAGTAATATCTCTTACATTATTGTTTCCATATTACTAAGTAATTTGAAATTCATAATTGAATTGCTCATTTGAAAGTTTAATGCGCTTGGTCAAAGGTTGCCATTAATTCACGATGGAGTTGTCTGGTTTGTAGAATATGTGGGATCTGACACCTGTTACTGATATACTAAAAGAATTACCAGAAGAGTACACATTTGAGACTGCTATGGCAGATTTGATTGTAAGTTGAGAAAATGGATCTGGTTATTCACTTATGTGGTTAATTTTGTTTTCATTTAATTGCCTAAGTTCTGCTGCTCATAAATGCATCAGGATAATTCCCTCCAAGCTGTTTGGGCAAATGACAGGAGACATAAGAAACTTATAAGGTATGTCAATTGTAGATCCTATAGTAATACAAGGTTTTTCTTTTTAATGTTGATTTGCATTATTATCAAATCTATTGCTTCAATTGTACAACCTGGGCCATGTATGCTTTATGGTCTTTTATTTGTGCTTCCTAAGGAAAGCGATATATCATGGTCGAGAGATGAAGATTGACCATTATTTTTCTGATACTGTTGGGATATTCTCCTTTATGTGGTGGTTGCTTTTGTATTCTGGTCTATCATGTTGTTAAGAGTTGTTTAGAGATTCTTTGCAGGCTCCTTCTTAATGATTACTGATACAACCACTAACTCCATGTTGAGCCATGTAATTGAAATTAAGGTTTCGCTTGTTAAGTTATAAATTAGTTGAGCTCCTCGTGCAATGTAATTTGTTGCTGAAAACTAACTTTGCAATTCATCTTTCAAGTTGATAGATGTATTTGTTTGATCTTTAAATGCTACTCCATCTATTGTGCTTATATCCTTTCTCTTACTCATTGTTATCCTTTATTATATCTCCACGGTTACTTTATTATTTTCCTTTTTCCCCTTTGTTATTTTCAGTGTGGATGTGGCTGATGATGTGATTTCAATTTTTGATACTGGCCCTGGGATGGATGGAAGCGATGAAAATTCTATAGTGAAGTGGTATTTAATTTTCCTTGAACCGTTTTATGTCTTCTCTTTTAAAATAAATTTGCTTGGGGGTTATGGGTTACAAGAGTCCAAGGCAAAAGTTTGGGTAGGAATGGTGAAAAAAGTTGTACTAAAAATCCAATATCAAGTTTCCATATGACAAGAGAATTACAAAGGAAAGCGAAAGGACAGATACCCCAATATGTTTCATACTGTTGGAACTCATTCCTTTCAAAGATGCCTCTAAGTTTTGTTCGGGTTATTATAATGGCTTAATTGATGGCTGTTTTTTTTTATTTTTTATTTTTATTTTTATTTTTAATGTGATAGAAATCTAACATGAATAGCCTGAAAATTTCAGTCTTGATTTGTAAATTGTATGCATATAGTTTTGATATAGTGATGGTAAGGAATGTGAGGTTAAGCGTTTTATTTCCATGCTAAGAATGTGATTCACATTCCTTTTAGGGGAAAGATGGGTGCTTCACTTCACAGATCTTTAAGAGAACAGGCGATCGGGGGCAGACCTCCGTACTTAACGGTAAAACTAAATCGCAAATATCTTCGTGTCAAGGTTTCTGTTAGTCTTTATTTTACTTTTTCCCTTCATTTGTGGTTGAATAATTATCTAGTATGCATAATACACACATGATACATCATACATGTAGTGAAGAAGCATGCAGCTGTATTTATGTCTATTGTATTATAGACCATGATTACCTAATTTGTGTGTAAATTTGATATATTGAGATATAAAATCTTCTGTCTACAATGTATATTTTCCTGTGGCTCTTTTGGTTATAAATATATTTTGTTTTTTTAATCAGTAATGACATTTATAGAAGGGATTATCAAACTTGTGACCTCTACTTTAGAGGAAAGTCCTCTTGGTGCTTTAGTTAAAATCAATTATCTGCACTGCTCGTTATAATCAAAAGCAAATTTGATGATGTACATCAAAGGAAAAGACTATTGCATTCTTGAATTTGCCATTTTGTTTATGTCACCTTTTGTAGCATACGTCATCGGTTAGATGTTCTCTTCAATCTTTTGTAGATTTGATAAAGGGCATTCTTTATTGCTAAAACAATAATTTGTAACTACACATTGAAGTTAATCATGAGAACCATATAGCTTTATTTAGACTCTTAAGGTTGTATATCCCTCAATTGAAACAAAAAAAAGGAACTCTATTTGCAACTTCATGTATTTTATTTCCCTCTTTCAGAACTTAATATGACCCAAAAGTGAGACTCAAAGTATTCTATGAGTTATTAGAATTCATCCATAATCTGCATGTCATTATTCTGTCTATGGTATATTCAGTACTGGCTTGGTTTCTAAAGCTCTGTTTTGTGTGTTATGTAGCCATATTTTGGAATGTTTGGTTATGGAGGACCTTTAGCATCTATGCAATTAGGGAGGTATAATTTCTCTGATTTTCTTTTTCTTCTCAATGTGAGTTGATTTTCTGCTGATATGTTTCCTTGAATACATCAATGATATTTTCAATGTCATGTTATAGGCATGCATTAGTTTCTTCCAAGACAAAGGACTCCAGGAAAGTGTATACATTGCATCTTGACAGAGAGGCTTTACTCACAGGGTCAAACTCTAATATTCAAAAGAAAAGAAGAGGGTCAGACTCTGATTCTAATTGGAAGGTAAAAGTGTGCGCTGCAGTTTATTTCTTTTCAGAAGGCAATATTTGTGCTTATATTGAATTCCCTTGTTTGTTATATAACCATTTACTGGTGTGTTAATTTCTCAAACTATTAATTGTAACTTTATCTTTGATTTTAGACTGATGGTGGTATGAGGGATCCTTTAGAAGATGAAATTAGCAAAACTCCACATGGAAGCTTTACTAAGGTGGAGTATTGCATCTTTTGTGGTTATCAAATTATTGTCTAGTTCAACTATAAAGTTATGAGTTACCTTTGAGATATTGGTTCTTGCCTCTCTTCTTTTCTTTTCTTTTTGCATGTGAACTTGGCCAATACAATTCTGAATTACTTTTTCACGCTTCAGCGTCTCTAGGCCATGAGCAGTAGTCACTAATCTACCTAGGTTAAGTTTGTGCACTAATGTTATTTGTGCCTTATAAATAATTTTAAATTTTTTATTTTAATTCGATTGAATTTTAAATTTTAAATTTTGAGTTCTGCTTGACAGGTTGAAATTTTTAAACCTAAATCGAAATTGGACATATCTCAACTCCAATGCAAGCTGAAGGATATATATTTCCCATATATTCAGGTTTGATTTTACTAAATTAATAGCTTATGTTTAGGTTAAAAGGTGCCAAGTTGGCACTAACACTGTATGGACACTGTACCTCTAAAACTGCTTTGACACTACTCGGCCCAACACAACGTGTCCAAGAGGCTGCACTAGGCAAGGGCGAGCAATAGACTCCCGTCCTGCACAGACGTGTCGTGGACAATGCTAAACGAATTGATACAATCATGTTGTAAATTGATGAAAATCAGAAAAACTATTTGTTGCTTTATGTGCATTTCAGTCCCTCTAATATGACTGCAGATGCATATGGAATTCGCCTTTCAGGCAGGATCTATTCCATATACGAGTTCGACAAAAAATATATTTATTGACCATCTTATTTTCTAACTTCTTCTATAATAACTTCATCCATTATCATGCTTTATTTTATCTATGTGCAGTGTGATGAAGAATCCAAATCAGGGAAGACCATAACGCCAGTAAACTTTGAGGTTTCTAATGGTCTTGTTTTTTATTATTTTTAAAAATAGTATTTCATTAATGTCTTATTTTTAATATATCCAGACGATTGAGTAGGCATCCTTGAACTGTGAGTTGTAACATGATTAGGATTTTATCAGATTATATAAGGTTTACTTGCCGGGCTTGTCTGCCTGACCGATTATGGGTAGTATTTTTTAACCTCAAGTACTCCAGCCAGCATCATTACAAAACTTTGATGGAATTTTTTTGAAGCAAAAAGATAAGCTTGCTTAATTTCTTTCATGTAATTTATTGAATATCTAATATGCTTTTAGATATCTAATATCAGGAGTACTGTCTTAGTGTTCATTCCTGTGCCCATCTATTGTTGTGTATATGAGCACGCACTTTTTAGTGGTACCTTAAAGCTAAGTCTTTAGATCTTTGTAAGGAATTTGTCCCCTTTAATTTCCCAGGTTAATGGTGTTGATTTAGCTGAGATTGAAGGTGGGGAAATTGCAATTACGAACGTTCATTCATGCAATGGTCCTGATTTTGTTCTACAGCTTCATTTCTCCTGTAAACAAGACAGTGTGACTAAATCTCCAGGTAACTGACTAATTTCGTTCTTTGGTAAATTATCTCTTTCTTTGTTTAGAAAGAAATTATGTAATTATGCAGTTGTCAACCTCTTTTATATATTCATTTACTTATATATTATGTCTTAACTCTTAACAAAATGTCAACACTGAGTGGCCCTTTGTCATATTTCATATATGTAGATTCGAAAGCATATATACAAGCTAATGCTCGCCTTAAGTGCGTCTATTTTCCTATGGTTGAGGTATGAACTAACTCTCTTGTTGCTGGACATTATATGAAAATACCTAACATACGCCATCCATTTATAAGCCACTTTGAGAAACCATGGATGGTATTATGAAAGTACACAACCCCACTTAGTTCAACCTCCAATCTGTTTCCTACTTTCTTTCATCTTTCCTTTTTGAACCAACCTATTCTCCTCTATATCCCCACCCTCTCTTTTCTCGTCCCAAACTCCCACCATATTGCACGTGCATCTTTGTGTGCGGCCTTCTTGTACATAACTTATGTTTCACTACATTGTGAAAGTTTATGAAATCGTTCATCACAGGGAAAAGAGAATATTGAGAAAATTTTGGAGAGGTTAGAATCTGATGGATGTGGAACCTCGGAAAACTTTGAAACCTATAGTCGTGTCTCTATTCGGAGGCTTGGTCGCCTACTTCCAGATGCTCGTTGGGTAGGCATTCAGTTTTCCTGAAATAATTGTTTTGTTTGCATAAATTGTTCTCTCAAAATGCATTAGAAATAAATAGGTTTACCATCAGAAAGAGAGATACTAAGTTTTAGTCTTTTTGGTTGAATTATTATATGTTTTCACTAATTATTGTCACATGTGCACACAGAAACTGTTGTCTGGAAATACATCATTGGCCTATTTCCTAATAGCTAAAGCTTTTGAAGTCCAATGGTTGTTTGACAAAAATATGCCTGATCTAATGGAGCTTTTGAAATATGCATCTGATTGCTTATGTAGCTACCATTGGTCACTTCCCTAATTGGCTGACCTTTGAGGGAGTCCTTGTATATACAGACAAAAGTTGAGTTGGACTAGTGTGTTTCTGTATTGCATTTATGTGCTTAAATGTTTGATGATGTTGTAACTTTTAAAGGATTTAGATGTTGACAAGCTTTATATATCTCCAAGAAAGGCTTTCCTTTTATTTAGTATTATCCCAACACACAATTTGGAGGAATGTTCGTTGATTCGAGGATGTGGTTGATTTTTTCCTTTTGAGATGCAACTGTTATTTGTTCTAATGGTGTCTTTTTTATCTGATATACCATAGGCCCGGCTTCCATTCATGGAATTCAAGCAAAAAAAAGGAGATAAGGCAGACTTGTTGAAAATATGTTGTTTGAGAGTTAAATGCTTTATCGGTAAGCCAGTTCCCTTCCTGAACATTTTCTTGTCATTCTTTTGGAATTCTTCTGTTTTGTAAACATGCATGAACAAAAAACGTCGTGGTTGCAGAGACTGACGCTGGTTTCAATCCAACATCTTCTAAGGTAAATGCTATATATTTGCGTGTGCGGAAAAATATTTTCGAGTCTGCCTGTGACCACACCATTGAATTTATTTAATTTTTTTTTTGGGTTGAAAAACAATCCTTCTCATTTATGGAAATTTCTTGAGTATTTTGATATTTCCCCCTTCCCCCTCTTTCTGCCTGTTTGCTTTAGTTCTTGCAAATAACAGATTTTAGATAATTATATTAGCTGGTTGGTTGGCGCAGACTTATTACTGATAACTTATTGATAAAAGGTCAAACATGCATCCTTTCCATTTCCTTCAATGAGTAAATATGTGCTGTGTTGCACCTAAGTGATCAATGATCATTGGGTTTGAGAAGTTGAGGCCATTTGATATTACTTTAAAGTTCCACAAAAGACATCTGGGTGATTTTACTTGTCTGCAGAAAGCATAATTTATACACACACATGGAGCTGAGCATATGGAAAGCATATATTATGTCTGGTTAGCTAGTTCCAAACCAACTATAAATGATATACTGATCAAATGCATTGTTAATCACAGACCAATCTAGCACACCATAGTCCTTTTACCACTTCACTGAGGAACTTAGGCAATCAGCCTCTTGAGAATGAAAAAGGTGATCTTTATTTATTTGTAATAAAAATGAAACTATCTATTTTGATTAGTCTGCATTCTCTGTTTGTTATTCTTCTAAATCTGATAGTTTTCATTTCCATAGATGTCAGAATTAAAATATACAGAGATGGAAACCATTTAACTCTTTCTCAACTAAAGAAGGAGTATGAGGATTGGATTCTTCAAATGCATGAGCGATATGATGATGAAGCTCACTGTTGTGAAGATCAACCTGTTCTTGTTGTCAGTCCTGCAAACAAAAAGGCACTTCGCATTTCATCCGAAGGTAGGTGTAAAAGGAGAAGAAGCTTGATTTCATGATGCAGTGTGACATAAAATTTGAATATTTGTTTGCACGAGTTTCTTATTTATTTAATGCAATTCTTCTCATTTTTAACTTTAATCTAATTGAATCACATGTTTGTTAATCATTTAACTTTTTTCTCTTAAATTGTAGTTGCAAGGGTTCATAAATCTCTAAAGAGGAAAGGAGTGACCTGGAAATGCGGCCAGAAAATCAAACTTTTTAGGGGAGCATGTGCTGGGGTTCATAACAACAATGTCTATGCCACAATTGAGTATTTTTTGCTTGAAGGTCTTGAAGGTGACTCTGGTGGTAAGTAATGTTCCTAATAACATGTGCAGGCATGAAGCTTGAATATCCTTTTAACGTTTTCTTATGTGACGTTCTTATTGAAATATAATCCACGTGCTCATACCTTCCATAATTTTGTTCTGACATGCTTAAGGATGATTAGATTTTTCTGGATATCTTCTACAATGAAATTATTTTGGTCAGTTTCAAGTCCCTGACCTTTTGTTTTGGTTTTCTTTTTCTTTCTAAACAGGGGGGGCTCGAATTATTTGCAGGTGCAGTTTCTTGTGCATTTTCTTATGTAATATTTCTTTTATGTAACCTGCACACTTGATTCATAAAAAATCATTTGGCTTGACTGGCATACATCTGTTATTGCTATTGTTTTGTAAGGCCATTAAGTCTGTCAGTTGACAAGGGATGCATCCTTAAAATAAATGACGGGGATACCAGTTTAGATATTCGTGACTCCTTATCTGTACCTGTCAGTGTGATTGATTCTGGGAAGGTTTGCTTCTTATTTTATTTTAATATCTTAATATCTTGCTTCACGCCTTTGTTCTTTTGGAGAAAAAAAAGATGGTGTTTTTTTTTCCTTCGGTATTGTAGCTGACCGCTTTACTGAATTTTGAGCTATTGGCATCAGTGTGTAGCTGTTGAAAGTAATGAATGGGATAACCAGCTCGAGAAACAACGCCAGAAATCTCCTTCTACAATTGATCTGCTGGATGCAGAAGAATGTCGGGAGTTGGGGATTGATGGGGTTAGTATAATTCTGGATTTCTTTTCTTTTCTTTATTCTTAATTTATGCTTGAATTATTTGGTTCACGTCACAAGAATGAGGAAGATATTAAAGGCCAAAAGTGAGATATGTGGATGACGTAAAATTGATTGGAGATAAACTGATGTTGGAGATATTCTAAGATAGGCCTGAATGATGAAAACTGGTCCATGTGACCAAGTAAAGATTGAGGATTCAGTTGAGTTGAGATGAGTATATGTGTATTTCATTGTTGACAATCATTATTCTCTGTTTAAAATAAAATAGACTTTTAATTTACTTTTCACCATCGTCTTGATCATCAAATAGAAATTTATTCAAGTAAAACGCAAATTAATGTTTCCTTTCAGGCATTGCCTGTGGATGCCCCAGCTGGAAAAGTTCCTCCAGAAGTAATTGTGGCTGTTGTTCGTCCTGCCAGTTATGTCTCTTCTTGTGCGTCAAAGACCCTTGACCAGAAATATATTGCTAGAACTAATTTAAAAATGTTTATGGAAGTTAAGTTCAGAAGCGATGCTGAGGGTCTTCAAAATGTTTGCGACATTTCGGCATGCGCAGTACCTGAACCACTTAAAGGAATTCAAGGGTTATATATCTTTCCACTTAAATCCAAGTACCCAGCTTTGTTTCAAACTTCTGGTGTCTATACATTTTCATTCCATCTGGTAAGTAATATTTGGCAACCTGTCTTATATTTTTGTTCATTTTTTAATGTGTTAAGATTGTAATTTGTTTCTGATCATTTTATATGTGTACTTGTTTACAAGACTGAGTCAAATTGTAAGCATGTTGAGAAAAGGGTATTGATCAAGCAAGCTCCAATAGTGGAGTATAAAGAGATCCAATTCACCTGTCCAAATGGAAAGGTATTGCTTCTCCAAGATATATCTCACCTTCGTCAAGTAGAAAACTTAAAGGTACTAGGTGTGATAATGAGAAGATGCAGAAATAAATGCAGTTTTGAATTTATAGATAATAAGTTTCATATTTTTAGCACAGATGTACCGTAGTAAGTTTATCTTTCATATAAAATCCAGATCCAAAAGTGGAGCATGGAAACAAATGCACGTTTAAATCGTTTATAGGCAGCCTGAAGTTTATATTTTGTATCTGCCGCATTGACAATGACGGGCATTAATTTTTATGTTCAGGCTCCCGCAATTGGGACTCCGAAAGTGGAGTTTGATGAGTTTCAGGTTCAGTCTTTGCATGGCAAGGTTTTGCCTCTCCAGGATTCCTCTTCAATTAAGCAAGTAGGAAACTTAATGGTATTAATTGTGATTGCACCGTTAATTTAGTAATATGTAACCTGAAGTTTATATCTTGTATTTACCTCCATCCACAATGACATTGCTAGTTTTTATGTTCAGGTTCCTGTAATGAAAGCTCCAAAAGTGGAGTATGATGAGAGTCCAATCCCTTGCCCAAATGAAAAGATTTTTCTTCTCCAAGATTCATCTTCCCTTCCACAAGCACAAAACTTGGAGGCATCAAATGTGAATAAGGAGAAGGTGTGGAAACAAATGCGGCTTTAAATTACTTATAGATGAAGTGAAGTCTTGTATCATGGATGTACCATCATAGTTCATCTATCGTATGATCCAGATCCCATATCAAGTATTTGAGCTCTCATTAGCCCAAATATGCATACGTCTCTTCATTGTAATGTCTAACTTATTTGCTTAATGCAATAATCAAGCAGATTTGGAAATCTTGCCTTAAACAATTCCTTTCTATTCTTGACTTTGCTTCTTATCCCTCCAGGAATTGGAGAAAGACATTCACCAAAGTGGAATGCAGATTGGAGATATGGAAAAAAATTTGGATGCGCTTAATAAGGAGAAGGCAGTAATTGAGCAAGATATATATGTTGTGCAAGGTTTTAATTTACTTATATGATTTTATTGGTTTTTCCTTCTTTGGTTGGCATAAATGTGGCATGTTAAAGCCTGTCCTATTTGAAGGAGATTTTCCTGTACCAAAATGCGTTTTCTTGCTTTACCTTACTTTGCTTGTTGACCACTTCATACATCTTTGGAATATAATTTCTCAATTTCAAACTTCAAATTATCTCTCCATCGGATCTTTCGTTTTGTTCAGTTTTCTGTTATAATATTTCCCATGCTAAGTTTTTCATTTTACGTTTATAATGACTAAACAAATAACGTACTTACGAAAATGCTTGTGTTTATTTTGGCTCATGCTGGCAGCTTCTGTTGAACGTTGCAATTCAGATTACTGTTCCATGAAAGCAGAATTGAAACACCGCATAGAAAGCATGAGCCACACTGCAGCTTCTACACTCTGCAACCTTTTAAGAGTTCCATCCCAAGAGTCGAGCAATGATTTCATGGGAGGCGTGATCGGTTTGGTGGCTTTACTTGGTAGTACTGGGAGCAGTGAGCTTAGCAGGTCTACTATCCCCCCTTTACCTTTTTCGTTTTCCAGTCTTCAAGTTAAAAAGAATATTTGTTTATTCTTCTGCTTTTTGTTTATATATTCACCTGTATGCAGGATATTATCTGAGTACTTGGGTGAAGATCAAATGCTTGCTGTTGTCTGTAGATCCTTTGCAGCTGCTGTTGCTCTTGAGAAGTATGAACACAATGGGGAAGTTGATTCTAGGCATGCTCTTTATGTAGCAGCAGCTAAGCTTGGGAGATCCATAAATGGCCGGTTTCTTGTTATAAGCCTTGAAGATATACGGTAATAGAGAAAGCTTCCTAATTTCAATTTGTCATTTTTGGAATTAGAATTACTTATCCTTTGTGGCAGTGCATTTTTTTCCCAAACAAAAAAGGGTCCAAAAGGGAGAAATAATAACACTCTGGAATGCTTTCTTGAGCAATTTGAGACGTGAATTTGAAAATTGTATTGCAGGCCTCACACAGGTGATTTTGATGGTAGTGACCCTCAAAGAAAGCTGGCCTTGCCATATCCTATCTTGCCAAGTGGAAATACTCCGGATGGTTTCTTGGGGTATGCAGTTAATATGGTTGATCTGGATGAGCTTCATTTACACATGACAACAGCTGCAGGCCATGGTCTTCGGCAGACGTTGTTTTATTTTCTTTTTGGGGAGCTCCATGTTTATAAAACTAGGCTAGACATGTTAGCTGCTCGTGCTTGTATCAAACATGGTGCTGTATCTCTGGATGGTGGGATTTTTAAACAAACAGGAGCAGTTTCTCTTGGATATGGGTAGCTCTCTCTCTCTCTCTCTCTCTCTCTCTCTGTGCAATCTGAGAGTGTGCATTGCTTGTTAATGTTTCAAAAGTGTTTTTTGTTGTTGTCCAACAAGACCTTTTGTTCATTGCCCTTCAGGAATCCTGAAATCTGTTTTCCTGTCTTGCGGAGTGTTGCGGCAATGAAGAAGAAGATTGAAATATACAAGGAAACGATGAGCGCGGTCATTGCTGCCATAGAGGAATTTACCAAAGACCATCAGAAAGCGTTAAAGAAATTCCACAAGAAAAAAAAGAAGTGGCACGAGCTCGCAACAGTGAAGGAGCGTCGGCTTATTAAGACTACCTAGTGCAGTGCAATATATAGAGTAGATGAGAAATGAAGAGCCTCTTTCTAGTTTCTAGCTAGTGCTCATTTATGTATTTATAGTTGACATGTTAAGGAAATACTTGTCTCCTTTACTTTCAGCCCAATCACATTTTGACATGTGTTTAGTGAATTTTGTGTGTTTTTGATGAATTTTTTTTACACATGTAAAACTGTAATTTGGCTTCCATGAAAGGAGGAAACGACATGATATGATATCATCATCCTAGTTTCTCATTCATACATGAAGTGGTTGAAATCACTAATTATTTTAAGCATCGATGACAAGATCTGTGGACGCTGTTGCATCGTCATAAAGTAATGGTAATGGTATTAGCATGGACAAGAATTGTGTCTAATATAATTTCAGTTTATTATTATATATGATGAAATTATTTTTTATTTAAAAAGTGATTTCGACAATGGGGTCTTAGCTCTCGCTCACACGGGCACGGCATCATGGGCTTCGAACCGCACACCACTAGCCTTTGTGCCAACAACTCTATTCGTAATCTAGTTTCCAGACCCTTAGATCATGTGGGTCTAACCATAGTGAGCGGCCCTTTTGATCAAACGGTCGTTGCTTCCGGACGGAGAATCGGGCCCACTACAACCCAATTTATGTTTCAGAAACCACAAGGAGGTCAATGAAATTTTAGATTCTTAATAACCAGGGAGACCAGCTGGAGTTGGAGAGAGGCATACAGAGTGAGAGAGCGGGTGAGAAAAGAGCCAGAAAGATGTTCCAACCCAACAACCAGGTGAGTCCCTCTCTGATTTTAACTCTCTGCCCTCTCTTTGATTGGTAGCCGAGAAAATGCAAGAAAATACTGGGTATATTTTAGGTTGTAAAGTTCCAAACCATATTTTATTTTCTTCTCGCTTGAAGCATTTTTTTAGCTACCCAATGGCCCACACAGCATTAGGTGTTGGTAATTCAAATGCATGTCGTTGTTCTCTTCGCCATTGTTTTTCGATGCTTTGAATTGCCAAGAAAGTAGACTTCAATTCTGTGGTGAATGCAATTCTCTGATTTTTCAAATTTTCTCAATTTTTGCACTAGAATTCATTTTGCCGTCACTTTGAGTTTCCACTAGGGAAAAGAAAGAATGGAAAATCAACATGCAACTAAGCATTTTCGTCCTTGGAAGAAGTACTATGAAATTGGTAGTTTTCTGTGGAAGGTAGTCCTTCATAATTGCTTGAATTAAGTTCTCAAATTGAATCTTTAGAGGCAATTGCATTTTGTAGCCTATAAGTGCTGTCTTGAATTGTGTAAATCTTTTGGGGCGTCTGAGTCATTAGTGTTCTAAAACTTTTGCTGGTTGACTAAATTTTCCCTGTAGAGACTGCCACTAATTTAAGAAGTTGAGGCACTTGCTGTTGTGGTGAGTGAATATGTTTACAGCCTTTTCTTGTTGGCTTGAAACCACTTGTTCTGGAGAGCAATGATTTTTGCAACATATTTAGCATTTAGAAAGTCTTTTTCTTTTGGAAACTTATTTGTATTTCCATGAATTCATTAGTGAGTGGAGATGACTTCTTAGTTGTGATCATTTTAGCATGCCTAGTAAACAGTCAAGAAGAAAGGTTTGCCACCTAATTACCTTATTTCCTCTATGAGAGAGAAATAAAATTAAGGAACCCGCTTATATTGGAAAAACTACAACTAGGGTTAACCAAGGAAAATAATTCATGGTAAAAACAAGATAAACTTGGACCAGAAAAACCCATGCCCAAAATAACCTAGGTTCTTGCATCCTTGTGTCTGCCTGTATTTTTTATTCCAAGTAATCTTCCTTTTGCAGATTTCAGATCATACGAAGTCATTATCTATTCAAGATTCACCAGCATTGACGCAAGTGGACGAAAAAGAAACTAGTCTAGTTGTGAAGGATGGGATGCAAAATGGAGGATTCGCTCAAGCAGAATCCATCATCTACTACACTAAGGTTGTACAAGAACCTATTCTGGAGACCATTTATATTTTGATTTACCATGCATGTCGCTAATATATAGTGGATATTTCACTTACATTTGCTTTTGAAGTAATTAATTAACCATAACAAAATTTTAAAATTTCAATATTTTTGTTATTCATGATTTTGGTCATTTTTTGCTAGAGGATCCTTTTTTGAGCGGGGATGGATCATACTAACTAACTTTTCAAAGAACTAATCTATACAGAAACTTCAAGATGATTTACAAATGATGGGGATGAAAATTAAACAGCACGAAGACAACATAAAACTTCTGAAGTCTCAGAGAAACAAATTAGATGACTCTATTCTCGATTTGCAAGGTAAAATTTCTTCTTCATCTACATTGCATTAGTGATGTAAATAAATTAATTTCAAAACATGCGAACTAAAAAGGTGAAATATATAAGCACCCTGTTTGCAATACATTGCTCACTATTTTATTTGTTTCCATAATTTTTTCCACTGAAGAGTTTCCTTTCAGTTATTCTAGGGAAGTATCATACCTCAACTGCATCTAAAATCGAAAATGAAGACCATTCCCACTGTAAAAGTGAGGAGGAAACAACCAAAAAGATTCTTCAGCGTGAGAAGTCTGCTGCAGGCATTTTATGGCAGTTGAAAACTCGTCATGGTACTCAGGCTGCCCATCTTACCTTGACCAAGGATGTCCTGGGTATTGTTGCAATGCTTGGCAAAGTAGAGGATGATAATCTTAGCAGGTCGAAATTCTCATATTTTTTGTTTTCCTTATTTCTCAAGTTGTGAAGTTGTGCATTAACCATAACCTCATAAGTAGGGTTGAGTGTGTGTGTGCGCGTGAATGTCCATGCATTTTACTACTAGTCCTGTGATTTTGAGTAGTGAGGGGTGTGTTTAGGTGCCATAGTTCTGCCATGTTTTTTTAGTTGTAGGGAGTTTGAAGTAAAAGAGATGGGATTTTTACTTACCAGGTGTAAATGGAACCCACTAATTCAGGGTCATTGTGGAATGAGTACATCGATAACACCTGGCCATAAAGATGTTTCTAATCCGCCCCCTCTCTGGCTCTCTCCTTCCCAACCTTATCCACCCTGTCTACTTAGGCCTATAACTAGACCTAGTTTTTATTCAACTTATTTGGAATGTGCAGGCTTTTATCAGAATACTTAGGAGTCGATACTATGTTGTCAATTGTCTGTAAGACTTATGAAGGTGTCAAAGCTTTAGAAACGTATGACAATGAAGGCTGCATAAAGAAAAGTTCTGGTCTTCATGGGCTTGGTGCTTCTATTGGAAGGACATTAGAAGGCAGGTTTCAGGTCATTTGTCTTGATAATTTAAGGTATGTGTTGTATATGGTGGTGAATTTGTAAACTTTATTGTATCAGCTATGTAATCAAAAGATTTTTTTTCTTCTTCTTCTGCAGACCATATGCTGGTGAATTTGTACCTGATGACCCACAGAGGAGGCTTGATCTTCTGAAGCCAAGGTTACCTAATGGGGAATGCCCACCTGGTTTTCTTGGTTATGCAGTAAATATGATCCATGTGGATAGCACAAGCTTATTTTGTGTCACAGCTAGTGGGCATGGCCTGAGAGAGACTCTATTTTATAACCTCTTCTGTCGCTTGCAAGTATATAAAACAAGGGCAGATATGGTTCCTGCACTTCCTTGTATAAGTGATGGAGCCATTTCTTTAGATGGCGGGATGATTAGGTCAACTGGTGTGTTTTCTCTTGGCAACCGGTAAGAAGCTCTGCCAACAAATGAAATAAAAATTTATTTCTAACTATGTATGATATTGAATTCGTTATTTTACAGCCTTTTGGAATTTTCAACACGCTTGAACTAATTAAGAGATAACTTGTTTACTGTCTAGATATTGTTGTTATTTGTTTATGGTAACAGGAATTTTTGCTGCCACATCTTAGTTTTAAAACTTATCTGATGTTAGGGAAGATGTAGATGTGAGATTTCCTAAACTGTCAGTGATATCAAGCCTACCCGAAACCTATCTTGATTCTGAAAGACAAATCAATGAGTTGAAGTGGAAAAAAGAAAAAATGCAGGAAGATATGAAGAGAGAACAAGCATTATTGGACAACGCGAAGTTCAATTTTGACAGAAAGAAGCAAGATTTTCTGAAATTCCTGGCTGATAGCTCATCATATGCAACTCAGGTAACACCCATAAGATATTTTAACTAACAATGATTTGCAGTACAATTGTACAAGTCACTTTCAATGTGGCTTCAGTTGACCCGAAAAACAGAAGAAATTATTTGACTGATGCTGGATTCTATGATAAATTTTTTCTTTCCATTCAGTCCTTTGGCAGAATCAAACCTGTTTTTATACCATTAATATTAAATTTATTTAGATAATGGGTACTGCATTAAATCAATAAACTTACCATTGAACTGGAGAGTACCCCCACGCCACTGTTGAATAGTTAATCATCTGTGTAGTTTGTTTGATTTCCCAGCCTAGGGAATGAGTTTTTAATTGTGGTCCTTATTTATAATGGCAGCATCAATTTCAGGCAGCAGCACAAAGCAGAGTGACCTCAAGGTGAGAACTGACAAGTACACGAGGCACCAGCGGACCATATAGAAGGGAAGGGAGAGCCTTGAGCACTTTGCTTAGTTGAGCGTCTGGCTGAGAGAGTCATGTTTTTATCTCTGTTTTATGAAGCCAGAAAATTGTAGTGGGAAAAACAGAGATGCATTTTGCTGAGTGAAGTGAGGGGCTCGTGTTGTTCAAGTTTGGGCTTTGTAGAAGCGGAATTAAGATTTAAGGAACTTTGGATTCGGTGGATAAATTGTATGCATCGAGGGCTTTCAACAGCCTTGAATTTGCTTAACCAAATGTACAATAATATGATATCATTGACAAAAACAAACAAAGTTGTGCATCTTATTTGTGGGTCATTCAAAATTCAAAATTAAACGGGCTTCTGTCTAAAAAATAAGGTCCAATCAATTTTATTTTTATTTTATGAAATTTACATGTAAATACTAGTAGCTAGCCCATTAATTTTCCAAGCCCATACACAAAGCCATCAAACCCTCAGCAACTTGAACAGGCAAAGCAAAGCAATATCCGTTTCTCGTCTTCACTCGTCAGTCTTCATTTTCAATTTTGATCTCCCACCGGTCACTACTCTGCCTCCTTCTCTCTGACACGGCGGCGTCACGAAACCAGGTGAGCTAGTTACTCTCTTTCTAATTCTTCATTGCTTATTGTGTTGCCTCGTTCTCTCATTTTTTGTTTTATTTGATTCACGATCGAAGATGTGGGTATGATTGATTTAGGGTTCTATCAAAAGTAAACGTTCAGTATTCCTTCGTTTCATTCTCGTTGTTTTTTCTACTGTAAAAATTTCAAGCTCGAAGTAAAACCCTAATTGCTGTTTGGAGATGATGAGAATGAAAATTTAATTACTGTTGTTAGGTTTGCTAACTGTAGAAAGCAGCTATTTGATGATCCATGAATATATAAGGAAGCCAAGCGCCTTTTGATTGTATACAAGAACACTGGCTCTTTTATTTCTCCTGTTTCGATGATTTTAGATTCACATGTTAAGCTACAGCTTCAACATTGTTATCAAGGCATTTTGTTTCAGAGTGCCTGCTCATTTAACCAACCAGTGTTCCAAAAATCGGCCTAGGCAGCCTGGGCCGATTACTCCTCTAGGTTCCAATTACTCCTCTAGGCGCTAGGCCTCGGCCTACAGACTAGCGATTTTTGTAACATTTTAACCAGCAAGATATAGATTTTTAATGTAGCAAAGCTGATACATTGCATGTTTTGCCACTCAAGAAGATATAGATCACTCTATTAGGATATACAATCTAACCAAGGCTTATCTGGTTTTCATGTATGGTTATCATTTTCGTTTTGTTTGCTTCTTTAGGATATGGGTCATATAGTATGAAAGAATTGACACATGTTTTCAAATATTTTTAAACAAATGGGGTCAAAACACAATTATTGAAACTGTGTTTATGGCAAAACTTAAAGAACAAATATGGATCAAACTTAAAGTTTTAAAACATCATTTTGTAAGACCCATCCTCTTCTCTTGACTGAGGCTAGGTTTCCTCACATATTCACTCCTTTCGGCGGCTTACCATCGCTGCCTTCTCCTCGAACGACGCAGCGACGCCATCCTTTCTCCTCCACACCATCGTCTTCTTCGCACCAGTCACCACCAGCAGCCAATTGCACCATAGTATTCTTCTCTTCTACTCCACAGTCCATCGACGCCTTACTGCTCCTCGCTGCTCGCACGAGTCAACGACTGCAGGAGGTATTTTTGGTTTAAAGAAATGAAATTATCTTACTTGCTGTTTGGATCTTTTTTCAATTAGATTAGGCTCTGTTTTTAATTGGGTTAGGTCAATAGCATCTGGAATTTGATTTATTAATTGGGTAGCTTAATTAATCTAAATTTTTGGTTGCTGTTTGAAATATGGTTTATTATTTGGGTAGGTTTTTTACCTGTGGTGGTTGCTGTTTGGATAGTTTTTTTAAATTAGATTTAGGCTCTGGTGTTGGTTCATAATGTGTTTATTAATTGGAATTTGGTTCATGATGAATATGTGCATATGGAATTTTGTTTATTAATTTTAACTTGAGATCATTTATGTTTTATTGTGTGTTGTAATAATTTTATATATATGTATTATTATAAATACTGCCATCATCAATTTATCATTCTTCCCTTGAGAGTTTGCTGATATATACTTGTATTCTCTTCTTCTTCTGTGGTCTGGCAGAGAACCCGAAAGAGTACATCAATGGCAGGCCAAGCTGCAAAATCTGTGGCAAAGACAATTGGAGGGTACCAGTACCCATGGCGCGAGAAGTTGGCTAAACACAGCTCCGAGCTATCCAAGGGTGTGTGGGGTTACTGGCATCTAGGGGCATGGAAGCCGCTTGGAATCAGTGCTCGTCATCGAGCTAAAATTAGAAGGGAAGTGCTCCTCGCGGGACAGGATTGGCCATATGATCCAGCAAGGAAAGAAATGAGAACCAAGAGGAAAGGTCACAAAGTTGACAGGATAGCTGCAGAGAAACGGGAAAACACTGCCAAGTTGATGGTGAAGATGCCACAAATGTTGCTTGATTACAAGAAGCGCGTGTGGGAGAAGAGGATGAAGGAAGAAGAGAAGAACAAAAGCTGATCTTGTGTGAAATGCTGCTTTGTTTTGAAGTCGTCCTTGTTTTGGTTGAATGACGTTGGTGTACTTTGCCTGTGTTAAATATTTGCAAGAACCACTAGAAGATATGGTTGCATCATCACTTCACTAGTGTATAAGTGCCAACATTTTGTTGTGTTGGCTAGTCTTCTTTTGGTGTAAAATTTACCCCTTTTTTATCTTTCTTGCAATTGTTTCCGGTATACTTTTTAAGTAGAATATGGGCACCTTGCTCTGCTCCAAAACAAAATCGGCTACCAATTTGAGCGAATTTTTTACGTGTTAACCCCAAAACAAAAGAAGACGTCTTTTTTTTTCTTTCTTTTTGTGTTGTTGCAAAAAATAAGACGTCTTCAACAGAGATGTCAACTTGGCTAGTAAATCTAATTGCAAGAGAAACAGTACCTTTGGGCTGGATTCAATTCATACACTGCAAAAACTATAAAATGGCAAAAAGTTAATAAAATAAAAAAGAAAGAAGGTTCCACCGAGATTTGAACTCGGGTTACTGGATTCAGAGTCCAATGTCCTAACCACTAGACCATGGAACCAATTGTTCATACGGCTTAAAGTTTGCTATATATAGTAACTGGCTGACGTTAAGAGTCAAAGATTCCAATCCGAGGAATCACAGAGACATAAAGACTTGAGCTGATCAGATGCAGCCGAGACCATGTATGAGTACATGAGCTCACAAAGATTTGAGCTGTCAGTTCCCAGTTGAGTTGATGAGTATGATGAACAGTGCCTGAGACACAAGACGTTTAACGTTTTATCATATGATTGCCCAAAACACAATAAAATCTCTGCTGGTCTTTAGCTGATGGCTTCTACGAAAATGACGTCGCTCGGTGACACACATGGGTCAGTGTTGTCCCTTCACATTCAAAAAAAGCCAGAAATCTTTTTAATTTTTTTTTCTTCTTTTTTATTTATTTATCACCTACCGTTCTCAATTACTGCGTCTGTAAAAGATGGATTGTCAATGGACTCCAACCATCCGGCCCAACAATTAATGTCCAAAATAATACTAACAAAGGTCTGATCTTTGATAACAGTTGGCTGTTTTGTTTCATTTTCCAAGGTGGGGTTTTGATCATTTCTTGGTGCAATAACTTGGTTTGTGTGAAAAGCTGAAGCGGTATGTCTACTTGCTGCTGCTGCTGAGGAGTGAGGACCCCCCAAAGGAGGATGGAGAAGGTTGCTGAAGAGACGCAGAGGAAGAGGAAAGCTCCTGAGGAGGTGGGCAATGGCGAAAATGGTGGTGGAGCTGAAGAGGATCAACAGAGGCAAAAAAGAAGTAGGCAAAAAAGTGACGGAATTCTGGGAAATGGGGATCAGGACACTGCAGGTGAGCTGGTTGAAGGATGGTTTGGCGGTGGTCTTAGTGTTGGTGAAGAAATTGCTCGCCTTTTTGGTGAAGTGAGTGGTGGGAGTGTTGGCCTTGGTATTGATGGCATTGATGGTGAAGGTGTGAATTTCTGGGGTGGTGGAAATGGACAAGACACTGAGGTTGGTGGGTTTGATGTAGCTGCATGCAAATTTGGTGGTCAAGGTTTCGGTTTGGAAGAAATTCAAGATGGGTTCGGTGTAGCTGGTTCTGAAAATGGTGGTAGAATTTTGAGTTGTGACAATTTTGGATATGGGTTTGTTGAAAATAAGAACCCAGATGGAGGTTTGGGTCTTGATGGCAGAGGCATTCAGTTTTGGGGCAGTGAAAATTCTTGTGGACTTGGTGGTGGGATGCTGGATGGTGAGGGAAACCAAGTTGTTGGGTCTTCTGATCTATACGCTTGTAAAAATGCCGGTGAAGGAATTCAAGGCCTATTTGGTGGCGACAGAGGTGGACTTGGAGGTCTTTTAAGAGGTGAAAGTGATCAGTTTTGTGGTGGTAAAGCCGTTTCTGCATATGTTGATGATAAAAGAGTTCAAGGCTGTTTAAGTGAAAATGCATCTGGAAATAAAGGTAAAATTTTGGAGAGTCAAGACGAATATGGTGAAGGTAGACGTGGAGATGATGCTAAAGAAGAGGTGGCCCGGTCAAAAGGTAAGCGTGGGAGGCCAAAAGGATCAAAGAACAAGAAGAAGATTCTTGAGGCTGAAGAGGGCACTAAACAGTTGGGTGGAATTTCCAGAGACAATGTGGGTGGAGAAGAGATTGCGAGGCCAAAGAGTAAGCAAGGAAGGCCAAAGGGGTCCAAGAACAAGAAAAAGAAGGATCTTGCAAATGATAAGAATGAGGATGTGCCTGTTGACAATGTGGATGGTGAAGACTCTGTGAGGCGAAAGAGTAAGCAAGGTCGACCAAAGGGTTCTAAAACCAAAAAGAAAGATGTTGTCAATGATAAAAGTGATGATGTGCCTGTTTTGGGTGAAAATACTAAGGATTTGGTTGCCGTAGCCACCCCTGGTAATGAAGTTGGGAATGTGATTGTTTCGCCAAAGACAAAGCTTGGTCGACCAAAGGGTTCAAAGACCAAGCGAAATCTTACAGGTGAGGAAAATCATGGCACGACAGGATCAGGAGCTGTTGCTGTGGGCATTGACATATCAGTGCCGCCTATTGGTTTGGAGAAACGAATGATTGCTCTTATGGGTGAACAAAACAGGAAAATGGAAGTTAAAGCGTGCAGTGGTTATGAATTTGGAGATGAGATTGTGCAGTTGAAGGAAGAAGGTGGTTTGCCTACGAAGACAATTCCTGTAAATGATGGAAATAGTGCAATGTCAAGCGAAACTTTGGGCAGAAATTGCACTGGTGGATTGATGGCCTGTTTGACGGGTTTGGAAAATAAGAGGCCAAATCTTGTAAGCAAGGGAGATAAGGGGCTGCCTGGTGAATCCACTTGTGGAAGTGAGTTTGTCCAGCCAAAGGTTAAGCGTGGCCGATTCAAGGATCCCAAGAAGAATAAGAAAAAGCTTGTAGAAACAGAAAATCAGGAAATTCCTGGGGACACCCTGGATGCTAATGATGGCACTGATAGAACACTTCTTGCGACAGGTTTGAAGAATGAGAGACCTGTCCTTACAGGTGAGAAAGATATGCAATCGAATAAGGAAGCTTTTGATAGCAATGAAGATGGATATGAGACTGCTCAGCCAAAGAATAAGCGCGGTCGACCAAAGGGTTCAAAGACTAAGAAGAAGAAAGTTTCTGGTCAAGATAATCAGAGAAACCCCAGCAAATTTGTGAGTGGTAATGATGGTAAGGTTGAGGTGGTCTGTTCAACAGGGTTGGAGAATGAGATCTTTGTTGGAAAAGAAGTGGGGAGATTGCCAGGTCAAGCCACTTCTAAAAATGGAGGTGGAAATGAGTTTTTACAGCCAAGGGGTAGGCGCGGCCGACCGAAGGGTTCAAAGAGCAAGAAGAAAAATCTTTCCGGTGATGAAAAAAGGGAAGTGCCTACTGAAGTCATGGGTGGTATGAATGGCAGATATCAGACTGCTTTGTGTACGAGTTTGGAAAATGGGGGGCCTATTCTTGTAGGTAAGGAAGCTGTTGAAATGAAAGTTGGAAATGAAATTGTTGAGGTGAAGAATAAGCGTGGTCGGCCAAAGGGTTCAAAGACTAGGAAGAAGAATATTTTAGGTAAGGAAATTCGAGGAATGCCTAGTGAAACAGTAGTTGGTGATCATGATGATGGTAAAGATACTTTTCTGATGAGTTTGGAGAATGAGATGACCATTCTTGTGGGTGAGGAAGATAAGAGAATGCCAGAAGCATCTGGTTATAATGAAGGAGGAAATGAGGTTGCCCAACAAAACAGTAGACGTGGCCGACCTAAGGGTTCAAAAAACAATAAACTTAAGGCTACTGTTGGAGAATATCAAAGCCAGGAAGCAGAAAAGGTTGGAAAAATTAGTGGTGGGGATGAAAGTTCACAGAATAAGCGAGGCCGGCCTAAGGGTTCAAAGAACAAGAGAAGAGTTTTGAGTAAGATTACAGTGCTGAAGCATCAAATGTCGGCATCTCTCTTAGAGGTAGAATATCAGAAAGAAAAGGATTTGAAGGAGGAATTTCCTGTGAGGCAATTGAAGAACTCTGACGATACAGAGAGCAATAACCATAACAGGCCTAGAGGGAGACCTAGGAAGTTCAACAACCAACAACTGAATGCCAGTGACTTTCACAGAGGAAAATCTACTGATACATCTGTGAGTTGTCCTAAATTCATTAATGCATTAATTGATTGTCATTTGGAATTTATACTTTTACAGGTATTAATAATTCAAATATTTTATTGCATTCTACTCTAACAATTTTTTCTTTTAGGATGATAACAGTAGGAAAAAGGAGAGTTTAATGTGCCACCAGTGCTTGAGGAATGACAGAAAAGGTGTTGTCATTTGTTTAAATTGCAGAAAGAAACGCTATTGCTATGATTGTGTTGCAAAGTGGTAATGATCTACTCATTGAGAAAGACTTTTTTAACGATTCTCAGCTTGAGTTTAGTAGCTCCAATTTATAATCATAAAGAATTTCCCCAATTCTAGTATGTATGATTATTTGGTTGCACAAAGTAGATTTTTCATTAACAAAGTAGGTCGTGGGACTTCTGTTTCGTCAGTGTCAATTAGTATCAATGTTCTTATATATCGCTGATATGGATGAGTCTCATCAAATTTTTCTGATGGTACTTTCAAATAAATGAACAGGTACCCAGACAAGACAAGAAGGGACATAGAAATTGCTTGTCCTTATTGTCGTGGTAACTGCAACTGCAGAATATGCCTCAAGGAGTATTTAGTTGTGATGGTGTGTGCATTACGTTGATTTTCTTCTTCTCTCTGTTTCTTTTCTTCCTATTCTGGTTATGTATTTTCTTTTTGGACCAAACAAAGTACTTGCTTTACAGGCTGGGAATGAAGAAACAGATGCAAATGTTAAGTTGCAAAAGTTGCTTTACTTGCTATGCAAGACGCTGCCTCTCCTTAGGCATATTCAACAGGAGCAGATGTCCGAGTTAGATGTGGAAGGCTGTTTACGAGGTATTGTAATATAATACTTTTCTCCTTTAGCTTTAATTGCTAGACTGGCCGTTCAGAAATCATAATGCTTAAGGACAGGTTTTCCCCCTCTTGTTTCATAGGTATCCAATTGACAGAAGAGGATCTCACGAGGTCTATACTAGAGGATGATGATCGAGTGTATTGGTATCATCTCATTCTCCCTGATGATTGAAATTGAGACACTAATGATCTATTAGTTGTTTTTTCAGAAATTTCATTCGTATGTGTATATGTATATGTTCTCTTATGTTGGTAAATAGAATAGTTTGGTGGAGTAACTGTTCTGTCTTTGCTGTTTTGATGTCAACTGTTATTCTCTTATTGGGTAGGATTGGACCTAACTGGTGGCATAGTTTTCTGGGGTTATTTTTACTCACATTCTTGGGACTATAGAAAACCAGTGACCCTGTGCTGTCTATGTACATTGTATAAGACATATGATGTAGTTATCAGGGTTGAAGCTGTGTGCTTGTGTATTTGATGAATCTCATTTCTTCCAATATAACATTTTCTTGGTGAATCATTCTTTATGTCCTAGATATGAGGATTGTGAAATTTTTCTCTCCCTGTTTTTCGGTCAAAAGTATTTATTGTTTCATTCATATGGTACAAAGTTTGTGACCTTTTACAAATTCAACAGTGACAATTGCAATACATCCATTGTCAATTTCCACAGAAGCTGCCCCAATCCTGATTGTTCTTATGATCTCTGTCTCACTTGTTGTTCGGAACTAAGGGAAGTATGCCAGCCTAGAGGTGGTGAAGCAGAATCTTCTCATCAGCAGTTTTGCGAAAGAGCATATGGTCAAGGCAGAGTCTCAAATGGCAGCCATATTCCTGCAAATGGGAATAGATATGTATTCCAGAGCCAAATGGCCATACCAGTAAATAGGTGCACAAATCATATGTCATCTGACTTTCCTGATTGGATAGCAGAAGCTGATGGTAGGATTCCTTGTCCTCCAAAAGCACGAGGAGGTTGTGGTGCCAAGTTACTTGAACTGAGACGAATCTTTGAAGCTAATTGGGTTGAAAAACTAATTTCGAGTTCTGAGTACCTCACTATCAATTATCAGTCACCAGATATTGACTTTTCTCAAGAATGTTCATTGTGCCATCCTATCAGTTCTGCTGGAAGTGGAGTAAAAGCTTCTGAAGTAAGGCAGGCAGCTTATAGGGAAAACTGTCATGATAACTCTCTCTACTGCCCAAATGCCGTTCATCTGGGAGACAATGATATTGAGCATTTCCAGTTACACTGGATGAGAGGTGAACCTGTTGTGGTAAGAAATGTACGTGAAAAGGCTTCTGGCCTTAGCTGGGAACCAATGGTCATGTGGAGGGCTTTTATTGGGGCAAAAAAAGTATTAAAAGAGGAGGCAGTCAGGGTTAAAGCCATTGATTGCTTGGATTGGTGTGAGGTATGTGGGAATTTTCAACAGGTTGAACTTGATTTTGCATTTTACTCTTTCCTATCTGATTATTTCTTTATTTCTTTATACTTTTGCACAGTGTTAGTAATTGCTAACATTTAATCTCCACTGCTTAAAATGAGGTTTTGATCATCCATTCACAGCACTGCCAGTGATTCTGCCTGCAGTTGCCTTATTTAGACTGCTTACATAATTTCTTGCACTTTTTGTGTTTACGGAAATTTTTTTTTTTTCCAGAAAAAGTTCTCTCTTGCACTTTTATTTTGTAACTTTCTCTTTCAATTTGGCACTGCAGGTTGAGATTAATATTTTTCAGTTCTTTAAGGGCTATATAGAGGGCCGTAGGTATAGTAATGGGTGGCCAGAGATGTTGAAGCTGAAGGATTGGCCTCCATCCAATTCCTTTGAAGAGTGTTTACCAAGGCACGGTGCTGAATTTATTGCCATGCTTCCATTCAGTGACTATACCCATTCCAAATCAGGTGTACTAAATCTTGCTACAAAGCTTCCTATTGTTTTAAAGCCAGACTTGGGACCAAAGACATACATCGCTTATGGATCAATGGAGGAGCTTGGTAGAGGTGACTCAGTAACCAAACTGCATTGTGACATTTCTGATGCGGTACACAATTACCCTTGTAAAATTTTGATATTTTAGTTACCATGTTCTAAGGCTTATGTGTTGTTTCTTTTATCAATTTTGGATTTATTCTTGATTTGCAATTGTTTCCTATTGTACTCATTTGCTTTTCTATGCAATCAACTCGTGAAGTCATATTGTTTTCATAATTTCTGTTTAGGTTAATGTACTGACACACACAACCGAAGTAAAGATTCCTCCCGGACAGCGTAAAATCATCGACCAATTACAGAAGAAATATGGAGCTGAAAAGGAAACAATTGAAGAAAAATCATGTAATGAAGAATACTTTGAGCCTTCTAATGTGACAGAAGACATGAAGTATGTCAATGAGGCAGATTTCTCACGGAACCTATTTTCAGGCAATGTTATTAACTTAGAGTCTCGGGAGTCTGATTCAAATTCAAGCACAAATGTTCAAAGTAATGATACTTCAGAGGTTGAATATGGAGGTGCTGTGTGGGACATTTTTCGTCGGCAAGATGTACCCAAGTTAATAGAATACCTACTGAAGCATCACAAAGAATTCCACCACATCAATAATGCCCCTGTGAATTCTGTGTGTATCATTGGCTATCACCTTGGCAAATATTATTTTGATTTAAGTCACTCTAAGTTGTGCTGATCTTAAACTTGCTTCAGGTTATTCATCCTATTCATGACCAGACGCTTTATCTAGATGAGAAGCATAAAAAGAAGTTGAAGGAAGAGTTTGGTAATAAATTGCATATCTTTAGCGAGTCATTAATGTTGAACAGAATTGTAAAACTGAGTCATTCTGACTTAACAGCATTACCAACCGTGAATATTACCCTTTTTCAGATGTTGAGCCTTGGACATTTGAGCAACACCTTGGTGAGGCTGTTTTCATTCCCGCTGGATGCCCACATCAAGTGAGAAATAGGCAGGTGAGGTTTCCTCCCATCAATATGCCAATTTATCATGACTTCGTTTCTTTAGTACTGCTATTTTGTCAGTATTTATCTGATGTATCAAGTTTGATACTGTTCTCATTTTCTTCTCAGTCATGCATTAAAGTGGCCCTTGACTTTGTTTCCCCCGAAAATGTTCAAGAATGCATTCGGTTAACAGAGGAGTTTCGCTTGCTTCCAGAAAACCATAGATCCAAGGAAGATAAATTGGAGGTAGTGTTATTTTGGATTGTTTATACAACACGTCATTAGATGGTTTTGCAGCCTCATTTATTTGAGCGTAATAGGTTGAATCACTAGTAAAGCATGCAGTTGGCTTCTCAGCCATATGATTATATGATTTTCTTGTTATGTATTGTTAGCTTCAGGAGTGAGATGATGCATCTCTGTCCAACCAAAATATATCTATCTTCATATCTAAAATTGAGCACACAATGCCATGTAAGAATATGCTACTGACTTGTTAAACTTGTACAGGATAACTAGCTGGCTAGGACGAACTTATATATTTCTGTGGATTTTTATTGAATATTACCTGCGCTAAAAGAAAATGTTGCATACTTAATCTTGTATTGTACTTGGTAGAATGCATAAGGGCTTTAGAGATTATGCTGTTTTCAGGTGAAGAAGATGGCCCTATATGCAGCAAGTGATGCTATAAGTGAAGCCAAAAATCTTATGTCCGTAAAGTGAGTGAGAATGATCTTACTCTCGACTTCATTATCTTTTTTACGTGTATGACAAAATAAGCCATGTGTTCATGGATTTCAATGGAATTGGTAGATTTTTTCCCGTGCAGAATATTTACGATTTGCCTTTTTTCTGTGGGAAAAAGAACTGTCTACTGTCTTTCACTAACATTATCTGCAGCATTTGTATAGTCGTTATGATTATTAGTTCTTGTTTTCTGTTTACTGGGTTCTGATTGTTTTCATTGACCTTGAAGTTCATTAAACGGGGCCAGGAAGCTTAGGAGCAGCCGTTCCAATTCAAAGTGCCAATTGGAGAAGTAGATGCTAGCTTGTTATCGTGTTGTAGATCTGTTTGACTACAAATGCTGGTTGTTGTCAGCATATTAACTCACAACCATTCTCCATTTTTAGAGCTTAGAATTATGAATCCGAAGTGTCTGTAGAGAAGTGGTCTTTTGTTCTTTTGGTCTTAGTCTTCATTTTCATGTTATGGGGCCGTAGGCACGCGTGTTCAGATGAACCCCTACTTCACTTCGCTGCATTGTATTTGTACAGGAAGAACTATATTTCATGTAAATGATATGGAAGCTTCGTATGACAATTTTGATATTTGTATTGAATCAGTTCAAATTCTTCAATCAAATTCTTCAATCAAATTTTATGGGACTGAAAATTTGTACCTTTTATTGACAAAAGAAAAAAAGAAAAGGCAATGATTCAAATCAAGATTTATATGGTACCCTATATCAAATCACAAAAAGAAAATAAAAATTCCGATCCAGTATAGAAATAGTCCTGATTATGTATTATATATTTCACTTACTAAATAGTATAGAAATGTATTCATTTCCTTTCACAAGCATATGAATTTTACAAATGATCACAAATTCCACTTAACTTATATTAACTTATATAAGTTAAAATTTGTATTTCAATATAACACGGAATGTCTCTTTCTCATTTCTTAGCCGGAAATATGTGGGGTTCCATTTCTTAACCGGAAAGATATGTGGACTTTGTACACACAAGCCGTCACATGATGGGAGCTGGTCATGCCCGAAGCCATTATCTCTACTCTTTTTTTTCTTTTTTTTTGAGTGAACTCTACTCTTTTTTTAGTATTTATTAACTTTAACGGATATTTTCTTTCTTTTCTTTTTTATTTCCATAGTGGAGATAGTCGCACATAATTGTACCTTCTGAATTATTACTTTCATTTTTTTTTCTCTTTTGTCATGGGTAATGTGTATAAATTGAATTGAGATAACAATTGGATTTGGTGTCTCATCTCTACTCTAATGCTATTTGTCCAATAATCTAACATTAATATTATGGTTTCCCTTGGAAGGATATATGATTTTGACCAAATTATTTATTAGTTAAATTACATTTTTATCCTTTCAGTTAGAACGACATGTCTTAAAACCTTAAAACAAAACCCCGCTTAAAGCCTTGGTGAAGTGGATATTCAAGTAATCCTCAAGCCTTGTTCTGATATTCAGATATTTTCGTTTTTATTTTTTCCCTGTTTCTTGCAAGTTATTACAATCGAGTTCAAATATCTCTGGTTCCTTTCCTTGTACTCTTCTTCTAATTTCATTTCCATCATCAAAATTCCCCGACCATACATGATATTCACAAAATCTTAGATAAACCCATTTCAATTCACCGTCAGTTTTGCCAAGCCCCTGTTGAAGTTTTTATTTTTGACCCATCTCTCTATGAACTCTGAAGCTCCGATTTTCCATTCCTAGTTTGCCTCCATTTTCCTTCGTTTTCCCAGAACACGTCACGCCCTAATGGCTGCGGCCCTCAGATCCAAACCCTCCAGGGATACTGTGTCGTCTACTGTCTCTCAATTCAGATACTTTGTCTTCAATTACATGCATGCCGGTCGAGTTGTCAATTCTCACTATGCGCACCGTATCAAAAATGAAGACTTGTTCATGAACACTCCCTACCACTTCACTTCGTTCAAACCCGTGGCGCTTGGTGGCAACTTTGTCGAAAAGGGTTCGCAAATTTTCGATCGCCCTAGAGTTGCCCAGAAAACTAGCAAGAATAGTGATAGGAATTGGGGACGAAAATTGTGCAGCAGTAGGTGTAATAGTGTTCTTTCCTCGCAAGGAGACCCACCCGAGGTATGGTCCGGTGATGGAATTGTGGTTCGGGCCGGTCCCAGCTCGAATTTGGTTCGTGGAGGCGGCGGAGGTGGTGGTCCGAGCCCTGGTTCGGGAGGTGGGTTTGAGTCCAATTCCAAGGATGAGTGTTGGGGTGGTTCCAGTTTGGGTAACAATTTTCCTACACCCAAGGAAATTTGTAAAGGGCTTGACAAGTTTGTAATTGGGCAAGAGCAGGCCAAGAAGGTGATTTTTTTCTTTTTCTTTTTTGTGCTTCTCTTTTGGAGTAGTTCCTATCATCGTATGTGAAATTTTATGTTTCTGCAATTCTTCTGAATTTTTTTGTCTTGAACGGATGCAGGTACTATCTGTTGCTGTTTACAATCACTATAAGAGGATATATCATGAGTCCCTGCAGAAGTGGTCAGCTCCATATCTACATGCATATCTTGTTTGAGTCTGTATTTTATATAGAGAAAAATAATTTGGAGCTGGAATTGTCGCATAAGTGCAGTTGCACTTAATATAATTCGTAGCTATAAGTCAGAAAGATTGACAGTCAATTTAGTTTAGGTTTCTCTCAAAACTTGACTGAACTGACTGATGCTCGCTCACTCCTAATTTTAAACATTTAGGACTTGGCTTTTTAACATTCTGCTTCTTTGGAAGTTAGGTCTGCAGGCGATTCAGGTAACAGCAAAGTAGATGCAATGGATGATGATAGAGTGGAGCTTGAAAAAAGTAACATTCTTCTAATGGGGCCAACAGGGTCAGGTAATTTATAGTTAATACTGCTGGAAATTTGTCTCCTTAATGATTTCTTGGTTGGATGTCTTTTCATTGTTTGCTTTTATGTTTTCATCAGTAAGTTTCTTTTGGTGACCGGTCTCACTTGTTCTCTTTCATGCTCTTTTAAGGACAGGGAAGACACTACTCGCCAAAACCTTGGCACGGTTTGTGAATGTTCCCTTTGTTATTGCAGATGCAACAACGTTAACTCAGGAAAGTTTTGTTTTTCTTTGTTGCTCATTTATACAGTCAGTGGTTATGTTTCCTTTTTATTTTAAGTCACTATGTATTATGCAATGATCAGCCTTGTATGCTTTGTCGAGAAACTGGCTTTCATGATCTCAAGAATATTCAACATACATGCATCACTTTTTATTTAGGTTCTTGTCTAAAATTCTCTTAATGATGTTGTTGAGAATTATAAGAGTTCAGTGTGGATTTCAATTGCATGTTCCTCTTATTCTGATGGCTGCGACACCATGTTGTTCCTTGCAGGCAGGATATGTCGGGGAAGATGTGGAGTCAATTTTATACAAGCTCCTTACGGTATATTTTCTTTTGTATTTGCATGTTTCCGGATTTTGTGAATCGATCCCCTGTGCTCAATTTGGAGTTCTCTATTTCGTGTTATATGGGTAACTAGTTCATCTATGTTATTTACTTATATGGTTATTACGGTTAGTAATCTCAAGGTCATCCATGTGCATCTTTATTCAATGATAGGTTGCTGATTATAATGTAGCAGCTGCACAGCAAGGAATTGTGTATATTGATGAAGTTGACAAGATTACCAAAAAGGTTCATTTACCTTTCTGTATGTTTATCTCTCTCTTTCTCTCTCTCTCTCTCTGTGGGAGAGGTTTACTACTCTGTTATGTGTTCCAATATCTGCTCATATTTTGCAGGCTGAGAGCCTAAATATTAGTAGAGATGTGTCTGGAGAGGGTGTTCAACAGGCATTACTAAAGATGCTGGAAGGGACAGTAAGTGCACCTTTTACATAATTTGTTAGCGCTAATACTAGTGGGAATCATGGAGATGGCATGTTGGTTAAGACTGGGTCAGGACCCGTCTCTAGATAATCTTGTCCTCTGTTATAAATGACTCATCATGACTTGGATTCATTTAAAGATTATAACCAATATTGGAAGTTCATTGTATTCTGATCTGAGGTGTTCTTTCTGATCTAGATTGTGAATGTTCCTGAGAAGGGAGCTCGAAAGCACCCTAGAGGAGAAAATATTCAGGTATATCAGTGGCTTAAGATATATATCTCAGTTACCTCCATATTCATATTGTTTATTTCAGTGGCTTAAGATAAATGTCTCAGTTACCTCCATGTTCATATTGTAGTAAACTGTTTATGTACTAGCTCATGAATAAAATTATGTATTGATCACAAAATAAGCTTATTTTGGTTCTTCCTGTATTCTGATTAGCTGATTTTCGGTGTTGTCAAGTGTTGGGTAGAACCTTGAAAATCAGTTCGTAATTTTACTCTTTTGTACCCCATGTTTCTTCACAGATTGACACAAAGGATATTCTCTTCATCTGCGGGGGTGCCTTTATTGACTTGGAGAAAACAATCTCAGAAAGGTTATCCTAACACTGAAATTATGCTGTCTTTTGTTTTTCTTTCTCTCTCTCTAAATGTATGCCTTTTGCTTGTCTTGCAGACGCCAAGATTCCTCTATTGGGTTTGGTGCTCCAGTTAGGGCAAATATGAGGACTGGCGGTGTTACAGATGCTGCTGTTACATCATCCTTATTGGAGACTGTAAGTTCCCATCAGTTTTGAATTAACACGTAACAGCTTTTGTAGGCTTCCTTTTCTGTTTTAATCCTTTGATAAGAAATTCCAGTTGTTTCTAATAAATACCATGCTTTATATTAGAAATTTATACTCTATGAAAACTGGTTTCCTTGACAGGTTGAAAGTAGTGATCTTATTCGATATGGTTTGATACCTGAATTTGTTGGCCGGTTTCCCATCCTCGTCAGTTTGTCAGCACTAACCGAAAATCAATTAGTTCAGGTATTACATTGTGTTCCTTTTCTTTCTGTCGAAACAGCTCTGCCATCTATTTGTGGAAAATGTCATTTGCACAACCATTTCTAATCTCAGTAATAGTCTTTATGGAATGACCACTAATTATTCATATTAGAATCAATGAGATGGCAGGATGAATGAACTGTATCAACTATCATTATGCATAACTGAGCTTCTGAATAAGTTATTTGAAATTTTCTCCCCTTTGAGAGGAAACATATTTGGCATGAGTATATTTTTGTGGATGTGATGGTTATTCAAGCTTCAAAATGCCCACTCATAGCTTTTACAAGAACTTGTCTTTTTGTCGGAGTCTATTTTATTGTTATTTGTTAAATGTACTGTCAATGTGTTTGTTAACGGAAAAGATGTTTTGTAGGTCCTAACAGAGCCAAAAAATGCCCTGGGGAAACAATACAAGAAGATGTTCCGAATGAATGGTGTAAGTAATCCTTCTCTGGCCCTGCATAGAGCATTCACAGTTCCAGGTTATTTGTTCAACATCTTGGTTTTGTGCACTTCTAATGATATCGTTGCTTGTTTATGTTCGACTTGCAGAGTCTGTTGTCCTATGTAATTCTTTCACTTCCATGGTCCGCAATCATGATTGTTTTTTTATCTAAATTTGTTTGTGCTTTACTTCTCTCAGGTCAAACTGCATTTCACAGAAAGTGCCTTGAGATTAATTGCTAGAAAAGCAATATCAAAAAACACTGGGGCTCGTGGTTTACGGGCAATTTTAGAAAATATATTGATGGATGCCATGTATGAGGTACTGCCACTTCTCCTTTCTTTAGCATTCTCGACCTGGTATACAAGGTGCAAAAGAAATTTCCTGCTGGTAGTTTGTATGCCATCGACGTTAGAGGCAAAAAAGAGAGAGGAGTATCTTGCCTCTTTTTGGTGCAAATCTGCATCCATAAATGACTTCTTCTTAAATCCAATTATTCAAATGAGACATATTATTCACTTGTAAGATTCCCAAAGCAAGTCACAGTACTTGGATTATTCCTTTAGGTTCTTGGTTTCCGGAGCCAAGTGCTCAGACATGGAAATCTTTCTTCTCATGTTTGGAATGTTAAAATAGAGTTTATTTTGAAATCTGTGCAAAAAGGGTTTGGAGATAACTTTACTAGACTTAACATGGAATCATCACCATTCCTATGGCAAAGGCAGTTAGGACATAATGAGCCTTGATTTATGCAATTTGATATTCTGTTCCAATTGAAGTAGTTGAATTGAAGTAAATTAATTTACAAGAATGGACTGAAGAATTCATTTGGTTCCAAACAGTCTGCTATGGATGATTGATTTCTTTTCGAATCTTTTGCAGATTCCTGATGTTAGAGCTGGTGACGACATAATAGATGCAGTTGTAATTGATGAAGAGGCCGTTGGATCTGAGGCCCAGGGTAGTGGAGCTAAAATCCTCTATGGCAAGGGTGCATTGGATCACTATCTTTCACAAAATAAGGCCAAGGAAGTGGAGGTGCGTATTGCCAATGTGCATGTATCTTGTCAGCTAAATCCTAATTCCAGTTTACCTCCTAGGGATTTTAGATGCTAATGCTTTATTCTTGTCTGGCAGACTGCAACCACGGAGGGGTCGTTGGATGGGGAGCCTGAGGTGGAGACGGAGCTTTCTTCTGTTGTAGCTAGCATGTAACTTAGCTTTTTCTTGGAACCTATTTGTATCCCAATCTTGTACATAATAAACATTTATTTAATAAATCAGATGAGCGTTATTTACAGTTCCTCACAAGGGTTTGGGTTCAGTCATGTTCAGGATCAGGATGTATATGTAGAATGTATGCTTCTCTGTTAATTGGAAATAGTTATCATATTCAGACCCAGATTCTCACTAACCTCTCTCTCGTAGGGTCTCTTATCATAGTTGAAAATTGTGTGCTTACCCAGCATCTTAAACATTGTATGCTATTTTGGGGTCCTGTTTAACCAACAAAATCACTTCTGAATGCTTAACAGAATCACTTGCCATCCACTCTTATGTGTAATATTTCTTGTTTAAGAAGCAATTAACATGTTATACGTGTGTGTAATTTAAGAAGCAATCAACGTGTTTTTGGAAGAAAAAGAGCAAAGTAGCCACGCGTCACATGTGTGGTTCAAAGTGCAGAACAGAAGACAGAACCGTAGGTATGTGAGTCGTTATGACATTTTTGTATTAAACTCCTCCCGACCAAAGCCGCATTATTTTCAAAACGAAAAAAGAAAAAGAAACCGCATACCCTTAAACAAATAACACATAATCTACCAGCCGTCGGATTTCAATCCACCTCCTAAATGATTTTCTGAATCAACGGTGAGCCTTATCCCTCTCTCTTCTCTCTCTCCTCACACAGGGAGAGAGGGAGCGGAGAAGAAAAGAACCTCTTTTTCACAGAGAGAGGGGGTTGGAATCCCATCAATCCGTCTTCCCCCTCCCTCCTTTTTCTTTCTCTTCTTCTTTCTTCTGAAATTTCCCAGAAAAGAAAGGGAAGGAAGGTCTGAGTGAAACCCAGTAATCGTTTACGATTTATGGGTTCGGTTCTGGATTTTGATTAGTGGGTATTGGATGATTTTCCATTTCTTTAATTTGGGTTTGGTAAAAATTGGTCTTTTGGGGTGTTAAAAAGGAAAGGGATGGACTTGGAAAGCATCGAGTGTGTCTCGTCCTCAGATGGTCTTGATGAGGATGAGATCCATCAACACCATAACACTCTTCACCCACATCCTCATCCTCATCAACACCACCATGACTTTTCCAAGCCAAGAAGCAATGCCACCAACAACACCACCATTCCAGGCCCCACCGCCATTGCTCCGGCCACCAGCGTCCATGAGTTACTTGAATGCCCCGTCTGCACCAATTCCATGTACCCACCAATCCATCAGGTCCTTTTTCTCTCTTATGCTTTGTGTTGCCTAGAACTGGCTTTTGTTTGCATTTCTGTTTATTGAATTTGATGGCCGTTTGGTGGGTTTGAGTGGATATCAAAAATGGGGTTTTGAATAAATTGATTAATTTGACATATTTGTGTTTTCATTCTATTGAAAATTGGTTGTTTAATTGGATTTGTGGAACTGGTCTTTGAATAGTTTGGGTTTAACACCAAAAGAAAAAAGAATAGAGTATTGGTTTTAGGATTTTGGGTAGGTGGTATGCCGTTCTGGTGAACGGTGATTGGATTTTGCTTGTATGATTGAGCCTTGTTTGCTAGTTCAGGTATCTTTCTGAGTCTAGGAATGATTTGAGTAGATTATCCAAGCAATTTTGATTTAGTATTTAAAGTCATGGAATGTGCTAACTAGATAATCTACAAAATTTAGTTAACTTTGTCAAATGCAAGTCCATGACTCTGCAGGAAGGGTGTTTCCGGGGCATATATGTGTTGAAATATCCCAGTTCTACTAAAAAAGGACCAAGTTACGTGTCGACAATCTTATAATCCAATGTTGTGAAAAAAAAATGGAGTAACACAGATCTTCACTAAGGATGTGCCATTTAAGTAGCTGAAACTTTTATCTTTTCAAGTCCTCCTTGGCATGCACACACACGCGTGCATAATTGGATATGCTCATTTTACTTTGGTCTGAACCATAGTTTTCCTTGCATTGACACGAGGCGTGGGGGTCTTGCAGAATATTCTTTCTTTTATATTAAAAAGGTCGATATTGTAGGTGTTTTGATATCAAATTTGAATTTCACATGAGACCTATGATGGTTATCATAGTTCTTATGAACCGAGCCTTGTTTCTTAAAACTAAATTTGCTCTTTTGCAGTGCCACAATGGCCACACACTGTGTTCTACTTGTAAAACAAGGGTGCACAATCGCTGCCCCACTTGTAGGCAGGAGCTTGGAGATATTCGGTGTTTAGCGCTGGAGAAGGTGGCTGAGTCACTTGAATTACCCTGCAAGTATTACTCCTTGGGATGCCCAGAGATATTTCCATACTACAGCAAACTAAAGCATGAGTCAGTGTGCAACTTCAGACCGTACAATTGCCCATATGCTGGATCGGAGTGCTCTGTTGTTGGGGATATCCCTTTCCTGGTTTCCCATCTTAGGGATGATCACAAGGTGGACATGCACACAGGATGCACATTCAATCATCGCTATGTGAAGTCAAATCCTCGGGAAGTAGAGAATGCCACTTGGATGCTTACAGTAAGTGTCATATGGCATTTAGGTTAAAGTGAAATGCAATGTTTTCTTTTGTTCTTTGGTGTGAAAACCCATTCATTTGATTTTCTTAAAATCCTCTTTTGTCAAACTTGTTGAAGAACTAGAAAGTTAAATTCGTTTTGCATGCAGTTGTTCACCTAATTCGTTTTCGGTAAGTAGCATGTTGGGGGATGTGGCTAAACGAACAGCAGTCCATCCCATCATTCAAATTATATATGCTGTAGAACAGTGTGCCTTTTATCCAGGAGTGCCTGCATGCTAGGGTTCATATTTTGCCTTCTCAACATACATTACTGTATCTGCTTTTCATGTCAGGTCTTCCATTGTTTTGGTCAATACTTCTGCCTTCATTTTGAAGCCTTCCAGCTTGGCATGGCTCCTGTTTATATGGCATTTCTACGTTTTATGGGTGATGAAAATGAGGCTCGGAACTACAGCTACAGCCTAGAGGTTGGAGCAAATGGCAGGAAACTCATATGGGAGGGGACCCCACGTAGTATCCGCGATAGCCACCGAAAGGTCAGGGATAGCCATGATGGTCTCATTATCCAACGAAACATGGCTTTATTCTTCTCTGGAGGAGATAGGAAGGAGCTGAAGCTGAGAGTTACTGGGAGGATATGGAAGGAACAGCAAAATCCAGATGCTGGGGTGTGCATACCAAACCTATGTAGCTAAGACAAATGATTTTGAAAGTTTACAGTTTGTTGTTTGAGACACTGTTGTGTGTTGTACCTCTGCCAGCCTTTTCCTGGTATATTGTAATGGACTCAGGATTCTTGAGTTTGGAAGTTTTCAGCTTTAATAAAAATTGTATAATAAGCAGGCGTTTTCTTCCTTTTCACTTTGCTTGGTAACGTTACTACTATTAACATGCTTGTAAATCAAGACACTAACTACATTATCACTAGTTGCAGTTTGTCTTTTAAGTTATATGACTAATGATCCAAGGAAAAATCAGTCTTCACTTGAATGTTTTGCAAATTTTTCCTTTGTCCTTTTTCACTTTTCAACTCATATATGACAGTGCCTCCCCTGCTCAAAATCGTAAAGCTCTCTCTTAGTGGAGAAGAACATGGGGATAGCAATGTTATCCCCATCCAATCACGTTCCGCCATGTGTAATCCTTATCACGCTTGGCAGAACATGATTGGTCAGGAATGTGCTCGTGACATGCTAGTTTTTCTCCTCTCAGTGACTACTGAGTAGCCATGGCTGGGATTGAATCTCAAGCTTGCAAAGCAACCCTTTTATTCTATTTTTCTCTTTTGGCTAAATATTGTGGCGATCTTATTTATATACAGGCTATCTCAACAACTGCAATAATGTCGACGTGAAACGAACTCAAAATATCATTATTTTAGAATGTTACATTCCTAAAACTTCAATACCATCTACTTTGAAATATCCTAGTCTGATAATAGCTTCATCGTTCTTTCTTAGTAGCAGCAAAAAAAGAATCTCATGTTTCCAATCAATACAATTCAAGGACATGGCTTATAAAATTTGTTAGAAAGCAACTGTTCATACAACTCAAATACTTGCTTCTACAGTGGGAGTTCAACCAAGTTCGGTAAGCCTCAATATCATAGACCCACTAATTCCAATTCAGAGAATTTGATCTACGGCCATTTCCAACAACCCTGATTACATATTTAGAGCTATGGAATAACTTTCACCAGAGATCTATAATCAGGCCAATACCTGCTCAGTTGCACCATCACTTTGGGATTCTATCTGAGCTGAATTTTCGCCTTCTTCTCCACCACGCTCTTCCTGACCAGCTTGTGCATCTCCACTCACTGTGGCAGCCTCTGCAGGTTGTGTCGAGGCAGCTTCACCTACATTTTCAGTGGACTGCGTAGACCCTGTGTCAGATTCTTTATTCCCAAACAACTTGGAAGGAAGTAAGGAGGACACAGCAGCTCTTGCACTTCTCTTTGCTGCTTCTGCTGCCTCAGCCTCCTTAGCCTTAGCTTCAGCCTTCTGCCTTTCCTTCTCCTCCATAAGCTTCCCCACTTCATCCTCTCTCCCCTCCTTTCTCATCTCCCCTTTAACAAACTCCTGCAACTCCTCATTAAATTCAACCCCATCATCATCCAACATGGTATTGACCACATTAAGCACCTCATCCAATTTCCCTGCCTCACTCAATGTCTTCATTATAAACTGATAGCTCGGAATATCCATCTTGAGCTTCTTCACCATCAAATCAAAAAACGATTTTGCCTCATCAACCTTCCCTACCTTAATTAATCCATCAACCAACCTATTATAAACAGCCAAGTTTGGCCTCAGTTTGGCATCAACCATTTTTCTAAAGTACTCAGCTGCATCATCAGCCCTATTTTCCTCAAAACAAGTATCCATCAACAAAACATACGTATATTCATCCGGGTTCACTCCCTTGTCGCTCATTTCTCCATAAAGCTCCTCAGCTTCACTCAGCATCCCATTCTTGCACAATTGCTCAATCAAATTATTGAATGACAAGGTGTCCGGACTACACCTATAATCTCCCATCTTCCTGAAAACCTCAATGGCTTCCTTAAACCTCCCCTCCGCGCAATACCCATCCGCCATCACATTAAAGCTTCCCAAATTCACAGCCAAACGCCTCGGCGGGTTATGCTCTGCGACCATCCTATCAAACAACCTCAAGGCCTCATCAAACTTACCATTCTTGCTCAAGGCATCCAAAACCGAATTATAGGCCACAGCACTCATCTTCACCTTGGAACTCTCCCTCAAAGATTCCTCATAACACTCCATGGCCTCCTTCTCCATCCCCCTCATGAAATACCCCTTCATCAAGTTCCCATAGACGATCCCATCTTCTACAACCCCTCCCAACTTCTCCTTCAACTCCTCGTAAAGCTTAAAAACTCCATCCGAATCTGAATTCTTCACACAGCCCACCATCAAATAATGATAAACAACAGGGTCCGGCGCAAAACCCTTGACATCAATTTCCTCTTTGAGCTCCATAGCCCTGTCCAGCTTGTTGTTATCCACCAAACCTTTTATCAAAATCCGATAAGTAGTTGGGGAAGGGTTGAAAGGGGCGTCATTGATCAACTGCTTGTAGTTTTCCATAGCAGTATCGGGCTTGCGGCAATCCAAATAAGTCTGAAAGATGAGATTGTGAGTGATGATATTGGGGGCAACGCCCGCCTGGGTGATGAAGCGGTGAAGGGACAAGAGGTCAGAATACTTGGACTGGCGAAGCTGAGCGGTAAGCACAGAGTTGACTGTGAAAATGGTGGGCCGGCAATTGGAATAGATGGAATGGCGAGTGTAGAGCGCGGCCTCCTCGAGGTCGTTTTGGCGGACGAGAGTGAGAATGCGGTTGTGGAGGTTGAGGCGGTTGCCGGAGAGAGCCGAAACGGGTTCGGGGAGTTTCGGGGCGTTAGGGTTTTGTTGGGGTTTCGGGGATTGTTGTTGTTGCTGTTGTTGCTGGTTGCGGTGGAGGGAGGAGAGAGGGGGCTCGATGCGGAGGCGGCGCTTGCGACGACGTCGTTCGGCGGCGGCTTCTTCTGGGGTGGCGAAGGAGAGAAATTGAAGGGAAATGAAGGAGGGTGGTGGGGTTGGGTGGTGGCAGTTGGGGGGTTTGGCTAGGGTTCTCAGGTGAGTGAGGAAGGTGGGTTTTGAGAGAGCCATTGCTTTGGTTTTCAGATTGAGAAGGATTTGAGGATGAGGGGTTCTGAGAGGGTTTAGAAAATGGAAGAAGGGGTGCCAACTGCTAAGGCAATATTATTCTTATTGGGCTCGGAGAATGAAATGGACTCACAGAAAGTTCATGGATCTTCTTCTCACCGAGTTATTGCAAGCAAGCAAATTGAGCTCTCTGCTAAAGTAGGCCTTCAACTTAGAAATTAACAATAGGCCTATTTTGATAAAACTCCAAAATCCCTCAAATATTCGATACAAAATTTATTTCAGCAATCCGAATCTTCCATTTTTTAAGTTTTCATTCAAATATCAACCTAGCAATAAATTAGCAAAATTGGAAACTATTAATACATTCAATTGTGATCAACAAAATTAACGATCCCGGTGGTTTAAGAAAACACTACAACTACAACCATCAATTGAGTTGATAAATAATTTCAAATTCAAATGATATTTTTACGAAGATAATCTTTGAATGAATACCTAACAAATAGACAGTTTGGATTTTGAAAATACAATGTAGATGAGCCCTACAAGAGTATCCCCTCAAATAAGCTATTTGAGGGATTCCTCAACTTAAACTTTATATATGTATATATATATATATATATAAGTCCCCTTCTATTGAGGATCCCTCAAATAATTTTATTTGAGGGACACCTTTTAGGGTACCCTACGAATTTTTTTTCAACGATCCAAACCATCTATTTTTTAAGTCTTCATTCATATATCATCCTTGCAAAAAATTAGACAAATCATAAACTGTTTAGACACCTAACTGTGTCCTACAAAATCAATGAATATGTTGCTTCAATAAAGTACTAAAATTTCAATAATTTAATTGAGTTGTCAAATGATATCGGATTCAAGTGAACTTTTTTGTATAGAGATGATCCTTGAATGAATATCTACAAAATAAACAGTTTGGATTAGTGAAATAAAATGCAGAGTACGCCCTATCAGGATGTCCTAAATAAACATATTTGAAAGATCCCCAATGAAAGATATATATATTTTCTTGGTCACGTCCCTTTAAGAATAATTTGTCTGTTGTTGATCAGATCAAATATTAATAAATATTTTTCATAAAAAAAACATTAACAAATATTAAATTAAAGATTTAATAAAATTAGACGACTTGAGACTACTACCCCATAAGCGAAAGGGACTTGAATGAACAAAAATTGGGAACAAGTGGCTGACAAGTACGTGGTGAACAGGTAGATATCTCATGAGGAGGGATTCACAAGCTTAATGCGGCAATGAAGTGTGTGAATTGTGAACCGTGAATTAGGCATCTTTATTAAATAAATTTACATGTCTACGTGATGAGTAACATTTTCTCTTTGTATTTTTGTACTAGTTTGCTCAAATTAAGATACAAAAACCCATATATGAACTATTTTAAGATAAAAACTCAAAACTAACAAATTAGCATTTTTGCTCGCCATTTTAACTCAAAATATACTCTCACCATCATTTAACGGGCGCTATTTTGACATCCCTTTGTACTCTCATTTTATTGTCCTCGAGGCACAGCAGACTCTCATTAGCAAAGCAATCAATATCACTATATGTAAGCCTTTCTGAAAGTCAAAGATCTTAATCTTGGTGGATATATATTTTCTCTTTACAAATTACAACACGATATCTTGCCTTAAAAGACAAGGAGTTAAAATCAATTATTATTTAAACCTTGGACTTGCCTTGCTGCTAATAATTTCATTAAGAGCTCTTTTAAATATACTTTTTTTTTCTGTTTTTTTTTGTTGTTGATGAGAAATGTATTGGAAGACTGATTAACATCAATACATCATAGAAATAGAAATCTCCTTGTAAACACGTTTGTTAAATACGACCTAATTATTATAATTTTTTGTTTAGACTTCCCCTTAATGTCAAACCCATCAGATTTCAATTAGATTTGATACAATTTAATATGCAGTTTTTTCTAATTTCTTGTATCACTTGTTATCGTAGAAAGAAAATAAAATTGATTTGATCTCCGGTGACGTGTAGAGTGACAAAATAATTGATCTAGCTTACTAATTATATATAAATTTGTGTAAAACTTTATTTATTTGCACTAAATACTCACAAAACTATGCCCCAAAAAATAATGTCCCCAAATTATGAGTCACATTGTGTTGATACAGTTGTTCAATGAATAATTGTGCTACAAGCTTTATTGGTTCGGATTATTGATTGGTCATATTTCATCATGACCATGAAATTATGAAAGCCAGAAAAAGCAATAAAGGGGACCGACGTTGATCTGCAAACATTTTTACAATCACTGCCAGTAAAGGTGATGTACGGTGGCGATTGAATTATGATTTTACATGTGCAGCAGAATAGCACAACCCATAATGGCTGAAACTAAGAACACGTGGGGGCTGCGATCATGCGTACTCGACATACGGTGTGACTCAGCCAGCGTATCTTGTGTGCCTGTGCTGCTGTGCTTCTATGAAGCTCCACGTGAGATTTGTATTATCTTGGAATTTATTTATTTTTTGATGAAGAAGTCTCTTGATATTTTATCAACCATAGAAAAGATTATTAAAAATAAATAGCGTGCAAGCAACAAAAGATGTTTATTTTGCTCTTCAATAAAGACCGTCAAATAGTTTGGTTTTGGTACCACAAATAAAAATGGGACCCACTTCATTTTAAGCATGACTATATGAGTGGTGTTTGTTTAAAGTTTAAACAAAGGCAACACCATCAGTTCAAGTGTAATAATAATGGTGATAGTGATCATACAACATAATTACGTTAGAGCATCTCGAGGACTAGTCGTAAATCAAACTCTTCAAATTACGTTAGCATATTTTTTCTATTTTTCAAATCAAGGGGATTAGAATATCTTTTTGATTTTACGGTGCATTAAGTTACTTAACTACCTATTAAATTAACAATGAGTTCATCATTAATAAAAAATATATATAATTTACTATCTATCGTCTAACTCATTTTATAACGCATATAAATTTATAATACTACACATGATGTTGCACTTTCAAAACTCGACAAATTTTGGCCGCCCTAATTTGGATAGTGAGGAGGTTTGGTGTTCGATTTACATCAAGATCGAAGATGAGACTTCATACATTTTTGGATTGATACCGACTTCTTCATTTCTTCATGGCAGAAAAGTCAAGAGCATGCTGATTGTTCGATGGATCCAGAAGAACATCATTCATTCATGGAGGCCATATAAAAAATTGGCACATGATGTTTGTTTATTTGGTTATGATAAATTGAAATCCAATAATCCAATCAAAATGTGACGTACTGACACGTGTCCACATTGCTGATTGAATGGTCAAACTGGGAAAATATGGCTTCATGCTACAATCCTGATCAATCAGATAATTAAAGGATGGACTGGTTTTATTTAAATGTAGTATTTATTTTCTATATCATTCTTACAAAGTTGATCAAATCGTTGTTTTACATACTCATGGCTATGGAATGGTTTTCACTCTCTCTCTCTCTCTCTCCGATTTTAAATTAAAACTATTTTTCGAATTTTCTGAAAGACCAATCAGTCTTCTAATGTGCACGAATCACGACTACTAATGTTCATGCAGTTACGAGCTACTGAGCTATATAAAATTGGGAACTTTTATGTACAAAATAAAATGAAGTGAATAAAAAAACTTTGACTTTTGGTAGTCCAAATTGTGGAAGCAGAAAGCCAAGACTTGTGTGAAGGACATTTTTATTATTTTTTGCTTAAACACGAAAAGTGTAAAAAAGGCAAAGGAAAAAGGTTTAATTTTTTTATTTATTTAATCAACAAGATTTAGCCCAAATGAAAAACACATTAATGGTCTCAGACCGGATGGCAAAAAAAAGTTATTTTAAATAAAAGAGAGAAGAGAAAAAAGAAAACAAGGTCAGAGTTTAGACTTGTGCACATGCGGTGGGGTCAGATCGGAGTAAAAGTTGAATACTTATTTCTTAGTTGAGTTGGTTGCAGCCACAGTTGGCACATAGAAAGCGAACGTTGAAAACTAAATAAGCAAAGCTCTTCAATTTCAGTTTCAGAGAGAGGCTTGTTCAGCCCCACACATAGGGAAGCTGAGAAAACTAAGATTTTTCCCACCTTTTTTTGACAGAGATTTCTGTTGCAAACAAGGAGAAAAAGTTCTACTTCGAAGCATTAAAAACATCTTTGATTCTTACGTCTCAGAATACCACTCTCAACTCACAGGTCAGCTCTCGTTTTTCTCTTCCAAGCTTGAAACTTTCTTTTTTGTTTCTTCATATTCTTGAATCAATATTGATATTTTGTTCGACTTTCGGGGGATTTGTTTAGTTCATGGAACTGGGTTCTGCTCATTTTTTGCTATAATTATATTGGTTTCATTTGAATTTCGTTTGGGTGCCGAAAAAATTCAGGAAGGTTTGAGTACCATGTTTTATGTTTCTAAGCTGTTTGTATTTGGTCACAAGTGATGAATATTCTCAATACTCAGCTCAGGTATTATGTATTCCTTTCGTTTCATGCATATTCCCAGAATCCAATTAAATTACCTTTTAATTCATCTTTTTTCTTCTTATAAGAATCACCTTTTTTGATGGCCAATGAATGGTCAGGTTTCTGGATTATCCTTGAGTTATAGTTCTAATCAAATTTTGATTATGTGCAAATGACTCTTTTAGTTGTTGGGTCAGTCAACTTAACTTTTAACTTCGTTCAATCAGCTTTGGAAAATTCACTCTGTAACCAGGTTATCTTTACAAACCATTATGTCCCCAGGCAAAATGAGAAAGACAAGATAATGCAATGCTGAATGCAATGAGTTTTATGGATTTTGTTCCCAATATATCATCTGAATATGGTTGTATTAGGTCTGTGGTCCCTGAAGGAAGTTGAGGTTCCACCCCAAAACCAATTGGCAATTGGGGAGTAGCCCAACTTCTTATAAGCCCATGCTAGGTTTATAAACTTTCCAATGTGAGACTTTTCTGAATGAAGTTGAGGTTCCACCCCAAAACCAATTGGCAATGGGGGGAGTAGCCCAACTCCTTATAAACTTAGGATAGGTCCCTTAATTTTTTAATGTGGGACAAATACTCTCAACATTTTCACCTTCGCATTCTCACCGAGAAACGAAAGTGATTTTCGTGCCAGAAGATAAATATAATTCTCATCCATATCTATTTTTGTCATCCTTTTTCTCAGCAAGACAAGCCAGATTCAGAGGGTATTGCCTTTTTTATCGTTCTCAGTTTTTACTTCTAACATCACTTGTAGTGGTTCTAGCACTCAAACTTGAAGGCTTTATTGCTGAATTTCGTGTTGGTGCAATTTTTTATTGGGTTATAGCAAACGTTTATTTTTTTTAAACACTCTTTTGGTTTCAAGTATTCAAACACATATGTGTGGGCTTTTGTTTTTAGTAGGAAAATGCGTGTTTGACAGCTAGAGTTCCTAGAATATATATAATGGGAAATTACTTAGGCCCTAGGGAGGGAGGGTCGTATCTGCGTAGATAAGCTTTACTGGTATTGAGTCTTTATAATATATGGAAATCTTTGGGTTATTGGAAGATTCTGAAATTTCCACAACATCTTTGTATTTACTCCTTTAAATATCAAGCACCTTCCTTGCCCCTAGCTCCTTGTGGCAGAAATCAAGGATATGTATTTGTTACTCATGGGTTTCACTAATTTATCAAAGTGACTTCCTCATGTCTTGTTGAACTGGCCTTTGATCTGTATATGCTTAATTTATTTTCTCATGTCAATCATTTTGAAGTGGTGTGTGTTTGAAGTGTTTTCAAACACTGTACATTTTTGTTTTTTGGATCTGATAAAATTTTGTTATCTGAATGTCATTGTATCTCTGCTTTGCTGCTAACATTTTTAATATAAAAAAATTGGAGTACTTACATTTTGTCTTGCTGTTTGTTCAGGAACTCGTGAGTGAATTATGTTGGTTTATTAATGGGCTGCTTTTGGTCAAAGAAAGCTAAAACGCCTGGCTATGAGGACCCTGCAGTTCTTGCTGCTGAAACACCCTGTAAGCATTCTTTATCACCCTTGTACTCACTACTTTAGTAATCATCCACTATTTTGCCCTACTGAACTCTGATCTGAAATCAACTTGGATGCTGCTAAAGATATGGAACACACACCCCCGACTCCTGATTGTCAGAAACTAGATATTAACTTACCCAAAATGGAGAGTTGGAAATTTGAATTGTTTTTTCTTTGTTGCAGTTACAGTGAATGAAGTAGAAGCCTTGTATGAGCTTTTTAAGAAACTGAGCAGTTCAATATTTGATGATGGGCTTATCCACAAGGTAGGTTTGCTAATACTTTCAAGTAATTTTTAGCTTAACTTCTTTTCTCCTCTAAACAATCCAAATGTTTTAGGTATACAATATCATATCTTCATCAAATTCTATATATAATCACTCTAAAAGTTTGGGTTTTTATGTTCCACTGAATGATAATTCTTCATCAATCTTTTTGAGCAGGAAGAATTTCAGCTTGCACTCTTCAAAAACAAAGATAAGAGGAATCTTTTTGCTGACAGGGTATGTGATGCCTATTGGGAGTTTCACTAAAACACCCAAAATGGAGGTTGAAATTATAAAAAAACCCAACACCCAAAACACTTTATAAACACACCCAAAACCCATCATTACACACACTCAAAACCCATTTATAAACACACCCAAAAAGTTGACTTTGGGGTTGATTTTGGGTGTGTTTCTATGTTTAAATAGTGCGTGGGTTTTTTTATAAATACATGTCTAGGATTGGGTTTATTTATAAATTTGTATTATTTTATTTCATTTATATGCTGAAGGAAGTGGGATTACTTGTGGGACATCTATTGTTTCTTAGTAGTAAATAAGCACAAGTACGCAGCTCTTAGACAAGTTAATCGTTGGGTGTTCATGTAGATTTTTGACGTATTTGATGTCAAGCGCAATGGGGTTATTGAGTTTGGAGAATTTGTTCGATCATTGGGTGTCTTTCACCCTAATGCACCTGTAGAAGACAAAACTGCATGTAAGAACATTACCCTTTTCCCCTATGTATCAAACTGCAATGTTCTGCAAGATTATTCCATTTTATCTTTAAAAGGAACAAAACTTAAGACATCCTACTAAATGTATTATCATCTGCTAAGCTATGGTGGGAATTCTTTTGCAGTTGCATTTAGACTCTATGATCTAAGACAAACAGGGTTCATTGAGCGAGAGGAGGTCAGTTTCTAACAAACTTCTTTGCCTTTCATTTCCTTCTTTTATATTCTGGTGTCTCTAAATGAAATTCACTCCTCAATCTTGTTGATTCTTTTTCTTCAAAGGTTTATATCCTATTAAATTTACCAAACTTAAATATGTTCTTAATGGATACAATTAACGGTGCCTACTACATGTCAGGCCTAAAATGAGCTTTACCGCCGTGCCTAGTCATTGTTTCAGTAATTCATGCCATCTAGATGTTATTTAACTACGGACTAAGTTGGTCAAAATGTGTTTTCTAAATCTCCTCTCACAACGTAAGCTAATATTATTTCATGACAGTTGAAGGAGATGGTGCTGGCACTTTTGCATGAATCAGAACTTGTACTCTCGGATGATGTGATCGAAGTGATTGTGGATAAGGTGCAACTTGATCCCTACCCTTGCTCAGTTAAGCTGAATGTTCTAAAGTTTTTTGTCTTTTCTCCGCAGACATATAGTGAAGCAGATAAGAAAGGGGATGGACGTATTGATCAAGAAGAGTGGAGGGAATTTGTGTTGAAGCATCCATCTTTGATAAAGAATATGACTCTACCATATTTAAAGTAAGCAATATAATTGTACTTGAAGTTTTTCAATCATTAGATACAAAACTTGGGGTCGACTTCTTATTTCACTGTATTATGACTGGAAAGCTAATTGAAGCAACTAACTGTAATATATGTGATTGATGCTCTGAATTCAGTTCTCCACATTTTAAATTTTTTATCTTCTATTTTGCAGGGATATAACATTAGCTTTTCCTAGCTTTGTGATGAGCTCTGAAGTTGAAGATTCAGAAATATGAGAGGATTTCATCAAGAGGTTATTAACAATTTCATGTGCCAAGATGGTGATTATTTTGATTACTTTTCAATGAAGCCATGAAAAATTATATCCATGGTGACGCTTGAGGTAACACCAGTTTAAGACGAAGCCATGAAGCACGGCTGACAAATAAAGTCATTCAGAATCTCAACTGGTTCTTCAAATCCAGGGTTGGCACAGACAAGTGTCTATTTGCGTCCGTATGTGTGCATGTCAAGTTGTCATTTGAAACCCTTTTTCTTTTTCTTTCTTCTCCAACATCAGAAATTCTGTGATAAGATTTTTCATATGGTTTACATATATGCAAGTCAATCTTTTTATATGACACTGGATTGTTCTAATCAGTCATTTCCAAGATAAGCGAAGTTAATAAGTTTAAGTATGATCTGAGTTTGAGCTTCTGTAGGATTTTGCTACCCACGATGAACTGATGCTGATGCGTGAATGGGCAACTGTCCTTAACACAGTTCACTTATACATTGAATGCTAGTCTACATTCTCTTTTAAATTATACATTACCAACCTTATCTTTCAAGGAGATGAGCAGTCCTTATCTGTCATTATCATCCGAATACAGCTAAACACCGAAAGAAAACGGTTGTGCAAGACTCAAGCAACCTCATAGAATTGGGAAATGCCATAAATGTAGTGTGTATGTACACACACAACAAAAGCATAAGATGAATAATGTTAATGAATGATAACCGAATTTAGTCGAAAGAGATGGAAATTAACTCTGGCATCTGATTAAAGTGAAAAGATGGGCAAGCAATCATGTACCGTGGCTCCTTCCTTTCTTACGCAATGAAAACGACAACAGGGCAAGTCGTGTAACATCTGGCGCTTGATTAACGGCCAACCAGTAAAGGACAAAATTGTCTGTGCAGCTGGGATGACAACACGTGGCTTCGGTCTCGTGAATGAGCAGACAGCACGGTGATTTTCCAAAACGCTGAGTATTCCGTTTTCTGCTAGATTCCTGATAGTTATGTTTTACCGTCTGAAAAAAGAAAGAAAGAGAATTATTTTTCCTTTTTTACCAAGGGTAATGTGAGGGTGACGAGACGACGTTCGGATGACAAGACGACGTTCGGAGAATTATTGTATAATATTGAAATATGGATGGATGTTATGGTTAAAATTTCCTATTTTAAAGTATAATATGCCCATAAATGAGTTATGTGACATGAACATATTCCGATACTCCACTATAATTAGAATTACTCCCTTTAGAAGCGCCTCCACTATAATTACCATATTTCTAAAATGCATTTTAAATATGTAGGATAAATTCTTACCAAGTAAGTATTTTTAAAGAAATAAAATAAAATAAATTTGATGGCGCGTGCGTGTAACAACCCAAAGGTGACCGAGATCCACTTCTTGTTAACTTGTGAAGCTAAAATGATTAAAAATGATTAAACAAAATAAGAAAAAAAACAGCACAAGCTTCTTCGTCCCTTGTTATGTTTCCTACTTTAAGCTATTCAACGCATCTCAGTCGGCTCGCTCGCTTAGATACATCTCTCTCCGTCTCTCTTAAAAAAGAAAAAGATAATCAATTTAGTAATTCCAAAGAATCCAATTCCCCTCTGAATTCTTAATACGATTCTCTCTGTTTTCCTAGGAATCGAAACCCCTTATCTTTATTGCTTCCTTAGCTTTCATGGCCGATCATTTTCACCTCCTTTTCAGGTTCAACTCCAATCGTTCAAAGTGCTTCACCTGTCTTTCTTAAATCTTTTGCTTTTTCATTGATTGTTGTTGTTTTGATGGCTGAGCTGCAGTTTGGTAGCATTTGATCGGATCCAGTCGATAGTCTCTTGCAGTGATAAGAGGGAGCTGATTATTGGGCTTTCTTAGCAGGTTATTCTTCTCAATAATAGCGTGGTTTAGTCTTGATTTGGATTTAGTTTGCTAACAACCTCTGGAAATCAACGGCTCCTTATCTTCTTTTTGGATTGAGAAAGTTGTGTTGAGCTAAAACATTATATTTTTTTAATTGGGTTTTTCATTTTGATTTTGAATGGCTAGCTTTCGGTTTGGTTGGTGAGGAAACTGAGAAATTTGTATTGCATATCATGATTTCTGCTGTATATGTTTGAAAAATCGGCCTAGGCGGCCGCCTACCTGGCCTGGGCATGTCGGGTCGGGTCGGGTCTTATATATATTTTAAAAAAATTCCCTTAATTATTAGATAGCAAATTTCTGTTTATAGTTTATTCGTACACTTGGTCAGCATTACGAAAAGGAAAACCAAAGTGGAATCTTTATTTCCTTAATTCTTTGTTGATTATATGGGTTTTTATTGATTGCTACCTTTTTGTTGGTCAGATTCATATCCTGCGATTGTTGAACCAATACCAGTTGTATTGTAATGCAATCAGTTGATGAGGAGAATAATAAGAAGAAGAATTTGAAGCGTTCAAGATCATCTAGTTACGACATGCCTGTGACTGACTCCAATTTTGCGCAGAGTCTTGATGACTGTGTTCTTTTCCCCGTGGAAGAGATTGTGCAGTACCCATTGCCTGGATACATTGCTCCAACTTCAATCAGTTTCAGTCCTGATGATGCTATTATAACATATTTGTTTAGTCCTGATCACACTTTGAATAGAAAGGTATTTGCTTTTGATCTCAAAACTTGCAAGCAAGAATTGTGTTTCAGTCCTCCTGATGGTGGACTTGATGAGAGCAATATATCACCAGAAGAAAAGTTGAGGAGAGAGAGGTTGAGGGAGCGTGGGTTGGGAGTGACACGGTATGAATGGGTGAAGACAAGCTCCAAAAAGAAGGCAATCATGGTTCCATTGCCAGCTGGGGTTTGTTCCTCAATTCCTTATTTATGCATTACATTACAAATTTATTTTTTAATTGCTACTTACTAAGCCCGTGACCTTGAAATGGACAGATTTATTTCCAGGATCTTTCCCATTCAAAAGCAGAGCTCAAGCTTCCAAGCACATCAGGCTCCCCAATCATTGATCCGCATCTATCCCCAGATGGTACAATGCTTGGTTATGTAAAAGATTGCGAGTTGCATGTTCTGAATTTGATATGCAATGAATCTAAACAGTTAACGTCTGGTGCCAGACCCAGAGGAAATGATTTGGTAAGTTTCCTATACCGGTAATGGTACGTTCAGAGTCATTTCAGTATTATTAATATTTGTTCCAATTTCACAGATGTAGAATTTTCTCAAAGCATGTAGTTCTATCACTATAATTCCCATTGTGTATTGGCTCCATCTATCCTAAAGGAGTGCTAGTAGATTCAAAGGTCATTTTTGCTTTCAGTTCTAGTAGATTAAGGTAGTTGAATTTCTGACCTTTTGCTGGATATGACTCTGGTCTTTTCTGGATTGCAGACTCATGGCCTTGCTGAATATATAGCTCAGGTGAGAATTTCATGTAATAACCCCTTAGCTTAGTCATTCATCATAAAACATAGGCCTCTTTGTCTTTGGGTTGCTTTTTGGAAGTAATTCTCGCCTTTGAGCTCTGAGTTCAAGACAGTTGTCTGATTGCAATAAGCAATCCCAAAATGATGCTTATTAATTCTCAGGAGGTTCAGTTAGAATTATTCTTGCATTCTCAGAGTTTTACTCATTGCAGGAAGAAATGGATAGGAAGCATGGGTACTGGTGGTCCCTAGACAGCAAATTCATCGCATTCACAGAAGTTGATTCTTCTGATATCCCACTTTTCAGAATCATGCATCAAGGTAAAAGCTCTGTTGGTTCAGAAGCTCAGGAAGATCATCCTTATCCCTTTGCGGGAGCTTCAAATGTCAAAGTTCGCCTAGGAGTGGTTTCTTCTTCTGGAGGTCCTATTACTTGGATGGATCTTCTGTGTGGGGGAACAGATCAACCAGACAGTGAAGAGGAATATCTGGCAAGAGTAAATTGGATGCATGGAAATACTTTAATAGCTCAGGTTCTGAACAGGTCCCACAGCAAACTAAAGATCCTTAAATTTGACATTAAAACTGGGAAGAGAAAAGTTTTGTTGGTAGAAGAACAAGGAACTTGGGTTACCTTACATGACTGTTTCACACCTCTAGACAGAGGAGTAACCAAATTTTCAGGGGGATTTATCTGGGCAAGTGAGAAAACAGGATTTAAACATCTTTATCTGCATGATGCTAATGGAACATGTTTAGGACCTATCACCGAAGGAGACTGGATGGTTGAGCAGATTGCCGGTGTAAATGAAGCTGCGGGACTTATTTATTTCACTGGAACCTTGGAGGGACCTTTAGAGTCACACCTTTATTGTGCAAAACTATTTACGGATGGGAATCAAGCCTTGCAAGGGCCAGTGAAGTTGACTCATAGCAAGGGGAAGCATGTGGTGGTGCTTGATCATCATATGAAGAATTTTGTTGATATCCATGATTCCCTTGATTCTCCCCCTAAAGTTTTACTCTGCTCCTTGCTCGATGGAAGCTCAATTATGCCTCTGTATGAGCCATCATTTACGGTTCCAAGATTCAAAAGGCTTCAACTTGAGCCACCTGAGTTGGTTCATTTACGGGCTGTTGATGGGACAACATTGTATGGAGTTCTATATAAGCCTGATGAAACAAGATTTGGGCCTCCTCCTTACAAAACTTTGATCAGTGTGTATGGTGGACCCAGCGTACAGCTTGTCTCTGATTCGTGGATAAATACAGTTGACATGAGAGCGCAGTATCTAAGAAGCAAAGGAATTTTAGTATGGAAGGTCAGTTTCCTTTCATGTGATACCTTCTAACTGTTCCCCGCTTTTATGTTTGTTCTATATCTTATTCTAATACATTTTGAAATCCCTTATTTACAATGATGCATGGATTAAGTGTCGCTGTTTTTATTTTTATTTTTTTCCTTTTCATGTTTACAGTTAGATAACAGAGGAACTGCTCGACGTGGACTAAAGTTTGAAGGCTCTTTAAAGTACAATGTTGGTCGTATTGATGCTGAGGATCAGCTAACTGGAGCTTTGTGGCTTCTGGAAAAAGGCTTAGCAGAAGTAGGGCACATTGGGTTGTATGGTTGGAGCTATGGTGGATATCTTTCAGCTATGACCTTGGCCAGGTTTCCTGATGTCTTCCGGTGTGCAGTGTCCGGTGCCCCTGTTACATCGTGGGATGGGTATGACACATTCTATACTGAGAAATACATGGGGCTGCCTTCTGAGAAGGAAGAAGGATACGAGTATAGCTCCGTGATGCACCATGTGCACAAGATGGAAGGAAGGTTGTTACTTGTGCACGGCATGATTGATGAAAATGTGCATTTCAGGCATACTGCCAGGCTTGTCAATGCGCTTGTTGCAGCTGGTAAGTCGTATGAACTATTAATTTTCCCAGATGAACGTCACATGCCGCGCCGGCATAGGGATCGGATTTATATGGAAGAGAGAATTTGGGAATTTATAGAAAGAAATTTGTGAAAAATAAAACTTGTGTTTATATCTTTGTTGCTCTTGTAAGATCTTCTTGGTGGTGCCCTGGTGGATAAGGTGGGAAAGAGAAATTGTATGTTAAGGCACCACTTGTGTTGTGTATCTCTTTATTTTTATCAATTAAGTTATTATAAATAAAAAAACTATATTTCGTTATTGTTACTGGGTGTTCTCAGTGAAAAATCGTCTTGATTTCTTTTTCTTTTTCCTTTGGAGCACCACAAAAGAAAACTAAATTCTTCTCACACCTGCCTTGCTAATTGTTTTGTCATATTTCTTTTAATTCTTTTATAAAGCTTAATTACCTTTTAGCAATAATAATAAACAATCCCCAATCTATAATTTCCCCATTCTAAGCGCAACTTGCCAACTTGCCAAGCCAAGAGCTGTAAATTTTTAGCAATGGGTCTTTTCTACCATTTCAAATTTCAAAAAGCCAAGAAAAGAAAGGCTAACACCCAAAAGAAAACAAAAACAGAAAGAAAGAAAAGTCCATCACTTTTTATTCTTTTTATGCCCCTTTCTTTATAAGGATATATTCTTTCTCAAAGAATAAAAAATAAAAATAAAAAAGCCTTTTGTTTGTTGACATGAGATGTCTCTCAAAAACAAGTTCAATTTGGATTTTTTAATTTTTAATTATTAACTAGCTCCACATCAGAAGCATGTGATCCCTGGTCACTTTTAAATTATGTCTTCCTTACGTGGCAGTGAATCAGTGGCTCGTGTGATGCGTTGTGTGCAGAAATTTGTCTTCAAATTTAAATAATCTTGGAGGCCAAGTTGCCGTTTGTCTCCCAGCCGATCAGCACGTCGACGTCCTATTCCATCAGGTTTAACGTTTCGTTAATGTAAGCGACTAAGTATTTTTATTTAACAAAGTTTAATTATGAATCATATTTTGCTCCTTCAAGTTCAAAATTAAATATAAAAATCAAATTAATATCAACAAAGCAAAATTAAAATTAAAATATCCATCCAAATTAACAAAATCATAACGGCCGTTTACAACATAACCACGTTATTTACCCGCTAAACTTCCGTCACACGTAAAACATAAAAAAAATTGAAAATGAAAAATCGAAGATGCTTCCAACTGCATATAAATACAGCTCTCTCTCTCTCTCTCTCTCTCTCTCTCTCTCTTGTATAGTTATCTTTACTTCTCTCTAGCTCCTTCTAGTGAATTTTATCGGGAAAAAGTTCGAGAATTTCGGATTCTCGGAGCAATTTGGGAAAATAAGGCCATAAAAAGAAGCTCGGATGGAATGGCGACTGAAATTTGAATTTCTCATTCGATCGTCATTTCACCTGAATTTCTCTTCTCCGATTGCTAGCTTCTTTGCGTAAGGATACATTTTGCTGTTTCTTCATTTTTCTTAAGTTAATTTCCTGTATAATATTTTCTGATTTAATCTGCTAGCTTTACTGGGAAAATGTGGATAAAATATCCAAACTTTTGCCCTATAAGAGGGAGAGAGCCTGCTCTCTCTCTCTCTCTCTCTCTCTCAGAGTCACTCACACAATGTATGCTTTTATTAATCTTAGCCTGATCCTTTCGTTGCCGAATGCTATTCTTAAGACCTGACTTTTTAGCTGCATTTCTTAGATAATAGAGATATAATGCTTTGTTTTCTGAGGGATGAAGACAATGAACAGAACAGGGATTGATTTGAGGGTTTTAGTATGTCATTCCGGAGAAACTGATGTCAATACGCATTTGTTTTATTATAATCCCTTAAAATCTAATTGGAAGATTCTTTTGCATTTTGTAGGAAGCTGGATTCAGACTTGCAGGGAAGGTAATTTCATTTCAAGCAATCCAAGTAGTGACATATACCAAATTTTAGGTACTGCCTAAAACTCCAGGAACCAATAGTCTGAGAAAAAGATTGCAGGCTTGAAAAGAACAAGAAGAGGAAGATCATTATATTTCCATCAGCTTTGATTGTTGTGGGACTTGGGGTTTTGGATTACCCCATTTGTTAGTTTTCCTGATGGCATATGAGAATCGTTTAAAGCTGTAGTCCGATTTGAGTTACAAGGGCTTTAAATTTAGAGGACCAACAATGTCTATTGCCAGTGTAGCTCTTAGTCCTGTGTATGAAGAATCTTTGAACTTTCCCTGTAATTTCACCGGCCAATATGGTCCATTCTCCGGTGACTCGATTTTGATATACCTCAGTGTTGGTGGGTCTGTAGTTCCGATGTGTGTAACAGAGTCGGATTCCATCGCTTCAGTGAAACTGAGAATCCAGGCCTCTAAAGGTTTCTTTGTGAAGAAACAGAAGCTAGTTTTTGAAGGAAGAGAATTGGCTAGGAACAATTCATGTGTCCGGGACTATGGGGTAACAGATGGGAACCTATTGCATTTGGTACTGAGGCTTTCAGATCTCCAAGCTATTACTGTTAAGACTGTATGTGGCAAGGAGTTTGAATTCCATGTTGAGAGGAGTAGAAATGTGGGTTATGTGAAGCAGCAGATTGCTAAGAAGGGGAAAGGTTTTGTTGACCCCAAGGATCAAGAACTGACATGTGATGGTGAGGAGCTCGAAGATAAGAGACTCATTAATGACATCTGCAAAAGTAATGATGCTATGATTCACTTGCTGGTTAGGAAATCTGCTAAAGTTAGGGCTAAACCAATAGAGAAGGATTTTGTAGTATCTATTGAGGCATTAAATTTGAATGGGGAGAAGACTGCTTTAGTAAGGGATATTGTGGAATGTCAGGTTGTAGAGAGAAGTCCATTGCAAAGAGAATTCCTTCTGGAACCTCTAATTGTAAATTCTAAGATTGAATTGTCATTGGGGATTAAAAGGCTAATTTACTCTACTTCTGATGGGTTAGAGAGAGGCAATGAGCCAGTTCAGTCTTCAGAGGGATCCGGAGGAGCTTATTTCATGCAAGATTCATCTGGTCTGAAGTATGTTTCTGTCTTTAAGCCAATTGATGAGGAGCCGATGGCAGCAAACAACCCTCGGGGGTTGCCCTTGTCACTTGATGGTGAAGGTTTGAAGAAGGGTACACGGGTGGGAGAAGGGGCACTGAGGGAAGTTGCTGCTTATATTTTGGATCATCCAAGAAGTGGGCCTCGTACATTTTACCACGAGGAGAAGGGCTTTGCTGGAGTTCCCCCCACAGTTATGGTCAAGTGTTTGCACAGAGGATTTAATCATCCAGAAGGTTATGAGTATGCTTCCAAGAATGTGAAGATTGGGTCGCTGCAGATGTTCATGAAGAATAACGGAAGTTGTGAGGATATGGGTCCTCGTGCTTTCCCAGTGCATGAGGTACACAAAATTTCTGTTTTGGACATAAGGTTGGCAAACGCAGATAGGCATGCTGGAAACATATTGGTCAGCAGAGAGGGTGAAGAAGGGCAAATTGTGCTTATTCCAATTGATCATGGCTACTGCTTGCCTGAAAACGTAAGTGTCTAATTCTTCTTTTATCGATGCTTAATTAGAGTAGGAGATATTGGTTTTTGTTCCCATGTCATATTGTTTGAAGAATTCAAATCGATTTTGGAGCACACAGAAACTATTTTGTAGTTATCGTTTCAAGCTTCTACTGTTAGAACTTTGGGAAGAGCATGCATGTCTCTTGCTTACTTTCAATGTGTAAAATGCAGTATGAAGATTGCACATTTGACTGGCTTTACTGGCCTCAAGCTCACCAACCTTATTCGTCTGATACCCTTGAGTACATCAAATCACTAGATGCTGAACAAGATATCGAACTATTGAAGTTTCATGGATGGGACTTACCACCTGAGAGTGCCCGCACCCTCCGCATTTCCACCATGCTTCTGAAGAAAGGTGCAGAGAGAGGACTGACTCCCTTTGCTATTGGAAGCATCATGTGCAGGGAGACCTTGAAGAAGGAATCTGTCATCGAACAGATCATTCAAGAAGCACAAGAAGCTGAGCTCCCAGGAACAAGTGAAGGTGCATTTCTCGAATCTGTGTCATCAATCATGGATCGACGCCTTGATGAGCTTATATACTGAATATCATGCATAATGTGCATTAGTGCATATATATGGTACTATATATGCATGGATGACAGGCCTCTAGGCTCCATCCATCCATCCATCTGTAATGGACTGCAACTTCTTTTTTACTGTAGATAATATGCTGGATCGTTGCATCTACCGCCTAAGTAACTATGACATCTCTTCCCCCATTCCACTTATGTCACTTGGAAGCATGTTGGGTAAAAATTAAAAAATATATATAAAAAAAAAGAAAGAAAAAAAAAAGTACATGTGTTACTTACTGTATGCATATTTCTTAAACTTGTGTAGGAGTACTTACTTGGGTTGGAGAAATAATAAATGATATACTAAAACATAATACATACTTCATTCATTGTCCAATTTACTTCAGTTCTCTCTTTTCTTTTTGGTTTTTTATGCTGATGCTTTTTACTGGTGTTGGAAAATTGAGCCTGTGCTGTGTTATGTGTTATGTGTTGTGTATAATTTGTGTGTATGTATGAGGGAAAAGTAGGGTCTTGGGAATGGAATGGAAGCAATATAATTTGGGCCCTCCACGTGAAACGCGAAAGCTCATACTCAGAAGAAGAAGAACACATAATAAATGATGAAGATCAATGTCAATATGGGTAGGGAACATGAGTCATGTGAGAATTTGGAAAATGAAAAAATGTTCAAACTCACATTCAAATCAACTTGACTGGACAACCACCTCCCACCATAGCTGGCCATGCTCCTTTCCTTCTGCTTGGTCTTTGGAAGATGGCCGCCATACATACCTGGCCAACTTTCTGACTTATATAGTACAGGACAAGATAGGATAGGAGGAGGAGGGCCAAAGAAAGCAGCACTTGGTTTGACCCAAACCTAATGACAAAACAAAGAAACTAGTTGCACCACCACATAATTCAATTTCACAAAGTCGCTAGCTGTTTTATGGTGGGTTTTCTGGGTCGGAAGAGGGAATTTTAACAAGACAATGATTCATGTTCAGATTCAGTCATGAAAATGTGGCCTCAATTTCATGGTATTTACTTTCCTTTTTTATTGTATTTTAAAGTCATTTATATAATCTGAGGAGCTACTTCTCTCACTTTCACGAAACTCACAAGTCCCAACATCATTTTTCTTCCCACCGTCACGACCCCACAGACACCAAAACACTAATTGAAGTAACGTATTGAAAAAAATGGTCACGACCACAAAGATCCAATCATTCAAATGACAACAGAGTCAATATCTGAAATTGACACACATTATTGTCCTCCTGTTGTTCGCATTCCACGCACGCACATAATTTCTTACATTATTTTACTATACGAATGATGCGACGGGAGTTTAAAGAAAAAGTATTTCTCCTAGACCAATACCGCCAACATCATTGAGTCAAATGACTAAAAGAAATATGGCGACTTATTTCCATATAATGTTGAAAAAAAATAATACAACAAAATATAAAGACTATATTCTTACAGTTACCAACAAAATAGAGCATTTACCCACTAATGGTTTACTGCGGACTGTAATTTTAGACCGAAAGCCCGGCCAAGAATGCCACCCCGGTAGACGGCAACCACGACGACCCATATATAAACTGTGCAACCGTAAACTTACCCGCCTCCACCGGGGAGGTAATCACCCGGTACCCGGGCCAGTTCACCCGCTGCCCCACTGCCCCGCCCGGCCCAGAATTCATGTATTCACCGTAGTACAGCGTGTCAAGGGCAAAATTGGCATTCCACTCGAGCCATCCACGTGGATGTACGTGATCGCCGATATACGATAGCATGTACACGACCCTCGAGTACAATTTCCACGGACGGCCCAGATACGTCGGGAAGCTACCCTTGGCCGCCTCGAGATCGGAGGTGGCGAGGATCCGGCAAGCGTGGATCGAAATGCCCGTGTTCTGATTCGGGTCCTTTCGGTTTTGGGCGGTGATCGTGTTCTTCTGAGAGGGCAGGGGCTTGCGGGCGTAGATGCTGCAGTTTTGGAAAACTACGGCGGCGTTGCCGAAAATGAAGTCGACTGTTCCGTAAATTTCGGTTTCGCGGATGAACTGGCGGTTCGAGTGGACGTAAAATGTGTCTTGGTATCCGAAGATGCTGCAGCGGTAGACGACGGCGTGGTCGGCCCCGATTCGGAGGGCTACGGCTTGGTGCTTGCTGGGCCCGGCCCAATTCTCAAACGTTATATCCCGTGCAATAAAACCAGCTCCAGTTGCCGCTGTGGACCAACAACAACAAATAAATTCTCAATAAACCCATCATCTAATTACTCTACCTACCCCCAAATGTTACCAACCCACCGACCTCAAATAATAATACAATTGGGTTGGATTTGATTGGATTAGAGGTAGAATTGGTGCTTTGGCATGAAATGACACAAAGACACTAATATTCAATTATTTCTTTATATGCCAATTTAAAATTCCCAAACCTCCAAATAAGAATAATTGTAGAGATGCCAACTGTTATTTCAAGTAAAAGCTTAACAATTTAACAAGGGTAATTTATTCCAGTTCAGGTGGTTAGAAAGGATAGGAGGGTATGAGGTCAGACAAGCATCACCAAGTTGCATGAGAGTGAATACTTGTATACAACAACAACAGGACACGTGCAAGTAGTAACTCATTCATGCATCGTAATGAATAATGTGATAGAGAGTAAATACGGGCCTACATGTGCTTTCGAGTTCGAATTTCCGTTTTTTTTAATTTAGATTAGATTAAAATAGAATATCTTTTTGGTTTAGTCGGAAAAAAGTGCGCACAATGATCAGATAGGAGGGTGGGAAGAGAAAATTACCGAAGCTTGCCGTGTGAAATGTGGTGATGTCACTAGAAACGCTCTTCCCACCTGTAATCACTGTTTTGCCCTTCCCATCTCCAATGAACATCAAGTTGGTTTTCTTCCTCCCCACCTTCAAATTATCCTCTTCGTACCTGCAATAATAATAATAAAAAATGTTCAAAAGGAATGTAATTTTTACGAAATTCCTCGACAACAAAAAAAAATATTCCATGCAAAGCATTCCTCTGGAGTCTGAAGTGGATGCCAGCAAGAATTAAATTGACCCCGCACGTGCCAGTACATGCATGAATAAATCCATTGTGTACCGTACAATTTATGACTGGGTAGAAAACAACGTCTATGCAAGCATCATCCAGATTCCAAACCAACCCAATAATACGACCGATCTCCACCGACAATCACTCACATCACCAAAGATAAAATAAATAAAAAATCATTTTCCATTAATTAAACTCTAAAGTACCACAGGAAAAGGGGTATTTTCGTAAACCCAATGTAATCAGTCAGAAAGGGGGGGAGGATTAATGTTAATGCAGTGAGTCACATGATTATAGTTCTGTGTTGTGTGTGATAAAAGGGAGCTCACTCGAAGTCAATGCGCAAATGAATACACAAAAGGAATTTTATTACCAACGAAGAAAAGCGCTTTTGAGAAAATCTTTTCACGGAATAATGGCTACTCAAAGCAAAGCAACCACTCCATCGGATGCCAAAAGTGATTAATTTTAATTAAAATCCAAAGAACAAAGAACAGAGCACCAAACTCGGCTTTATGAGTGAGTGAGAGTGGAATAATTTACCTTCCTGCCCTCACGTAAATAACGATCCGGCGAGAACTATATTCAGGCGCCTTCTTGATCGCCTCGGCGATCGTCTTGTACGTTCCGTTGCCGCCTTTCGAGACGATGATGTCGGCCTGTATCTGCGACACCGGCACCGACAGCAACTTCCTCTCCCTACTGCTCAGCCATCTCGGCAAATCTCGCGAGACATCCGCATTATCTCCCATGATGTCGCGCTCCATCGAATTCAGCAACCTCCTCCGGTTCTGAATTGGCACCCCAGAGAAATCGTCGCCGGCGCCGATTGCCGAGTAGATCGCGAGGGAGTTGCTGACGAGCTCCGACAAGTCCTTGAGCTTCGTGTCCATCTCGCTCTTCACTGGCCCACTCACCTGCGAGAGCCCTTCCCCGCACGTGTCCTGATTTGTAAGTGCCGCGCTCAGCCACGTCAGCACGTCCTGGGTGGATGCAGCGGTGGCGGCGGCGCCGGGGGTAACGGAGGTGAGGGAGCGGGAGAGGGCATCGATGGAGGAGTCGAGGAGCTCGAGGCAGTCGTCGTAGGCGGAGCGGGAGTGCGGGTCCATCTGGAGGTTGGAGATAGAGGAGGAGAGGTAGAGGGCTTTGCTGAGGTGCTGCAGCGTCATGTTGAAGGAAATGTGGACGAGGTCCTGCTCGGACGCGTGGACGGAACCGGGGAAGTCGAGGAGGGAGTTGACGCAGAGGGCGGGGAACTGAGTCTTGGCGCAGGCGTCGGAGATGGCCTGGGTGGGCTTGAGGTGGGGGCCGGAGGATTGGGGGGAGGCCTTGGAGCGGGCGACGAGGAGGAGGGCGGCGGAGACGGCGGAGGCGAGAATGAGAGCGGCGGAGATGAGGGAGATTAGGATGAGCTTTTTTTTGTTGTTGGGGTTGGATTTGGAGAAAGACGAGAGTGAGTTTTGGGGTTGGTCGGCCACGTGGTGCCTGGAGGAGCCTCCCGGGTCGGACGGTTGGAGTCTGCCGTAGCCCATTGTTTTGATTTCTGTTGTTTTTGCTGGAAGAGGAAAGTGGAGGACGTTTGAAGAGTTAAAATTGGAGAGATGGGCAGCTCTGAGTTTCAGCTGAGAGACTTAAAGAGGGAGATTGAAGTGTGGGGTTTAAAGATAGGGTGGGGGCTGTGTATTTATATATAAATAATTAATTAACTTGTGAATTAAATATTGAAATATTAAAATATTAAAATATTAATAAGAAGAAGAGGGGTGTGTGTGTGTGTGTGTTGGTGTATGTATATATGATGAAATGGAGAGAGAGGGGAGAGGGGGTGGGGACGAGAGGAGAATAAAAGAGGTTGGTGTGAGGTCTGTGTCCAAGGGGGAAGGGGGATTAGCTGGCTGCTATTATATGACCCGGCGAAGACGAGGGTAATGCAACGGGGGTAGGGAACCTTTTTTTATATTAGTACGGAGTTACAGTGTTTTTTTAAAAAAGTAAATTTAGGTTTTAGTCGAAGAAAAAAAATTTCACTTTTGGAAAAAGTCAAAGTTTTAAAAAAAAGAACAGAAAAACCTCTCAACTTTCAAATCAAAAACATGCAAATGTAAAGGATTCCTTAAGAAATCCAAAAATAAATAAGGGCAATTTTGTCCATTTTGACTTCTTTGATAAAATTTCTCTCTCCTTTGTGTTTTTTCCAAAGTCTCCCTTTTTTATATAGGTCGAAAGAGTCACCGTCTTACTTTTTTTGGGTAAAATAGTCACAGTCTTACTTTTTTTGAGTAAAATAGTCACAGTCTTACTTTAGACAACAACAAAAGAGGTTTTCTATTTGTAATTTTAATGAAAATATAGTTTGGTTTTTTAATTATATATATATATATATATATTTGAATAGTTTTGAACGAGTGGAAGGAGGGAGGGAGGAGATGGAACATGTACTAGAATTCAGAAAGAAACAATATGTTTGTTTGACGTCAAAATCTTTAGTTAAAGTTAAGGATAGATAGTGCTGTGTGTCTGCACATCACAGTGCATGCATTGCATTGCATGATTCTCTTAGCTCTTAAGCTAACTTGACTGTGCTGCTAAGTAAGTAGTGGGCATGACATCTTTTTGTACCTTGTTCATTAACTTTAAACCACATTTGTTCGTATCTTGTATTCATTCATATGTACAAATTAGGAACAAGGTATAAACAAATTTAACTAGTTTTTATTTTTTTCCTAGATTATTTTACGAGACGTACCGAAAGAATAATCAAATGGTCCATAAGAAATCATTAATGTATAAGAGATTATTAGTGCTTGATAATAATGTCATCGTATCTGACATAGCAACATATATAGATGGACAGTGGCAGAGCTAGAAGCTAATCTGTTGGGGGGGCCAGTACTACATAGACTTATATTTTAACTAATATTGTAATTGATGCTTAAGAAGTAATAGGGTTTTCATGGAGTTTGGGGGGGTCATGGTCATGGCAGGCCAGCATGTGGCTCCGCCCTGTAGATGGGTGGATGTGATGTGTACTTGTAATTTCATGGCATTATTAACAATATACGTGAATAGGACTGACATTGATATACCCTTTTTGAGCTTTGATATATCACAAGAAATTGCTTACAAGTTAAAACCTCTTCTCCACCACGTACGTTCTCTCAACTCAACTTTGTCTTGTCTGCATCCAAGGAGTCTATATCCAAACATTGACCACTAGTACCACACAGGATTTTAATCTGGTCCATTTTCGATAGGCTTGGTTTGCCCTCTAATCAATATCATGTGTATGCATATTGGTTTCTTCGCACGCGTATATGCGCACGTCAATAGTAATGGCATGTAAAGGTTTTTTTTTAGGTCATAAATCTAATGTGGATTGGCTTTGTTTTTCAGTGCATTTACTTTCTTTCGGGTGGGGGTGGGGGGGGTGTTATATATAGTGATGGATCCTAGCAAGATTTAAGTAGAAAATAGCCCACCCTAGTTTCCTCATTCATGCAAGTAGAATGAATTAAAATCAGTTCTGTAATCACAAGACTTAGCCAAAATAAGTCGAAATGAAGCAGAAATTAAGAAGAAGGTATGGCAGATTAGTTCATTTTTCAACTTTTTTAATTACTCTTTTCAACTTTTTTCATCATTAAAAAAACGATGTAAGGCCCAACTCCATGATGTAGGCCTTTATATATATACCCACCTTTGTGGAAAGCGATCTGATGCCAGAATATTTTAGATTCTCATTCTAATAATGGAGACTTGTAAAACTTTCAACAGAAAAATCAATGGAAAAAAAAAAATATATATGCTCAAGAACAAAATACTATTAAATTACGTTATCTTTTTCTTCTGGTCACGACTCATCATGTATCATATGAAAACTATAAATAAGTAGGAATTTAGGACCAAATTTATTAAAATAAGGAACAAGTCAATAAAAATAAATTAAAAAGGGGAGCTTGTGCCAAAGATGCATGCAGTTAGGCAAAAGAAAAAAGGGACCTATATAAAAGGCGATCGATTGCCTTACGAGGAAGGCAAGCCCTTTGCCCTTTGCCCTTTTCCCTTTGCCCTTTGCTTCGGTGGTGAAGAAAAACGCTCTCGGAAAAAGGCCAAAAAGCAATTCGGGATTTGGAAGAAACCTGTGACAAGATTGTGGTATTTCTCTCTGAAAATCATATATAAATATAATATTTTTCTTTTACTATTTTATTGTGGACTTCAGAGATAAAATTCAGCATACATTCTTGTGGCGAAACAGGGTCAGCAGTGTATAACACGTAAAGCAGATACAGATGGGCCCCGATGAAATTTCGCCGACAGTGAATTGCAATTAGAATACTTTCGCCATGGTTCATGAATCACTCGCGACGACTTTGACTTTGTTTGGTTTGTTTTTAATCTTTTATTTCTTTCTATGAGAGAGGAGCTTTAGTTGTATCTCATTATGTCATTTTTTGCATTACTCTCGTGTTTGGTTGGCTAGAAAATTGTTACAAGTATGAATTATATGCATCGATGAAAACGGAAACAATTCCAGTTCCAATCATTCACACGCTAAGAACATCTCTAACAGTCTCTTTAATAGTTTTGGATTCCTTTTTAACATCAGTCATCAAAGTTACAACCTCTTTCTCTCTCTCTCTTCAGAACTGGTAAGTTGACTTTGCCTCTTCAAACATTTAATTTTACTTCGGAAAAACAAAATCTACCTTGAAAATATTAAAAACATGCATTTTTTATTTTCATACATAGACATTTTTCACATCTTTTTATTCTTTCCATGATATTGCATTAATTCAATTGAAGAGTTTGTTGAAGCAAAAATTATTCAAGTAGCAACTAAGGCTTTTCAAATTGCCACGTAGGTCAACAAACTTCAATTTGAAGAGTGTTTTTTTGCTACTACTATTGGAGATGCTCTAAAGATACATACATCACATCAGATGCGTGTTACTCGTACGGCGTATGATTTATTTGTTTTCTCTCCTATATCACATTTGAAATAGAAAAACAATGATTAAAATGCATTAATATTGAAGAAATAATAATTAGTTGTTTAAGTCCAACGTAGATCTATGGAGACAAGGAAGGATTTGACCATAGCAATGAGAGATTTACTGGTCGCACCACCAACAGCAAGCTAAAAGCTAATTAACAAACGAAAAGAGACTTGGAAGCATTGCATGCAAGGACATGTGACTGCTTTCATTATGGTAGGGGACACAGGGCCTATTGCTCCCTTCACAATCACATGATTTGTTTCTAATTAACATATATCTGTAGCTATATACACATCACCTCATCGACTAATTATTTTTGGAGGCACAGCTTCTCTAAGATTTTCTCATAAGATTTTGCAGGCAAATTATTAAGACTGGAGAGGCATGGCTAAGGCTTGGTTGGGTGGCACTGGCATTTCTATTTCTATGAGTTGTGGAGCCGTCCACATGCTTCCTTAACGAAAACAGCGCAGTATCATCCGGTTATAGACAATCATGCATGGATCCGATTTTCAATTCAAGTGTATATATCCATATGCATAACTAATGAGTATGACCCAATTAACGAGACAATATATAAATATATAATAATATATAGGTGAGTGTTCTAATCATGATTGCTTTTGAGAATGATTTGATAATGATCTTTTAATTTTTTTTGGAAGGAATAATGATCTTTAATTAGTACAAACAAAATGGTTTCTAAACATTTGATTGCTTTATACATGTATATATGTTTTCAGCCGTCTATCCATCCACAATATTTAACCGGACTCAAGACAAGAATTATTATTACCACCGAGCAAGTAAATTGTCAAAAGTTTAATCAAAAGTTAAGTTTGCTACGCATCTAATTACACGCCAAATTCTTTTTGTAGTTGTCGTCGACCTATACATGGTAAATATCTAATCTCGTAGTAGGTCTTTAAGTAGACATTATTTATTTTCGTAAACACCACAACCTCACGATCACCATCACTTACAATAAGTACATGACTATAGGAGAAAGTGAGACTAGTGTAGTGGTTTGGAGCAAATGTTTCTCTATTAAAAAAGTAGTGATTATACTAGAAGAGGGAAGATAGGAGTCATTATCATGTCCATTAAACCAAACTAGCTTACCTTTGAGTTTGAGCCCATTATGCGATGAATGAAGGTGACATCAAAAAGCTAATGCGAAAAGAAAGTGAGAGTAGCTAGCTAGGTATTACTATATTTGATTATACTGGGCAAATCACTTTCCCAACTGAAAAAAATGGTAGGAAGAAAACCGAGGCAACATCAGGATTCACGCATATAGCTAGGTGGTTTGAAGTCAAGTTAAACCATAATAACAGCGGCACTTGTAGTTTAATCAATTTGGGTCTGCGTCGCGTAGGACCTTTCAGTCACAAGATAGAAGTGATGAAAACAACTTCCACCCGCCGTAGTTTTGTTTAGCTAGCTAATCACTTCACTGACAAAAGGAGGATTAGGTTAAGGGATTAACTATATATATATATGTTGAAATATATTTGTGGGAAAATTGGGTAGACAGACACAATTATAATATGACAACTGTCCACTACAAATGTTGTCTTATAGAGATATCAAACAAAGGGTTTGAGAGAGAAATGGGTATGCTTAGCTAAGTTTAGCTTGTGGTTTGTACCAATGAGAGAGAAAAAAGAGAAGTGTGGATCATGGATTAATGAAATGAATGGGCCATATCCCATATGCATTTTTGAGTAATGTTTCTGAGTTATTGGACCACTCACAGTCACTCACTCTCTCACTCGCAAATGAAAATAAAAATATTGATTCAGGTTCTACATTTATTATTTGTATCGCATCATCAATGACTTGGATTAGTCATAGACGTGGAATTTGGAAACTTCCAAAAAGGATTAGTTTTTGACTCTATTAGCGAAGGGAAGGAAGAGAAGTGGGCCCAGGCCAGGCCCATGACAGAGAAGAGAAGCCCAATCACACGAGGCTAGGCTAAGCCCCGGTCGTAAAAATTAAATGAAAACGATACGACGGCGTACGCGTACGGTGTACCCCCTTCGTACTTGATTTGATAGGTGGAGGAGGAGATGTAAATAAAACAGATGGAGATGGAGGTGCGGGGAATCGAACCCCGTGCCTCTCGCATGCGAAGCGAGCGCTCTACCATATGAGCTACACCCCCGTTGTGATGAAGTGTCCTGAAAAATATATTATAACTGAGCTAGACAACCTAAAAACGACAATTGTATTATTATATTGGGTGGGAAACGGGTTGGGTGGGTGGGGGCACATTTTGAATGACATTCTAAATCTGTAAGCGTTGAACTTGCCATTTGTTTACAAACAAGCGGACCAATTGCATCAGTTAACCAGCGACAAACGGAGAGAGAGAGAGGAGAGCTCCATCAAAATTGGGAAGAAACCAGAGTTCTGAGGTCTCAAGGTATTATTCTTCACTTCCCACTGCTCAAGTTTTATCCTTTTTAAAGTTTTACCTACATTCTTCGATGCGTAATACATTTGTATCAATATGGTGGGTGATTCGTATGTAGCATTGACAATAAACTACAAAGTTAGTTGGATTGGATCCAAATATAATGCAGGAATTGTTGGTTTGATCCACAAAGCTTGGAGATGAACTAGTCTTTAGTCTTTATAGTCTGTAGGATTGTTGATATCTGGTTTGCTCTGCATCCATCCACAGAAGAGCAGAGATAGGTCGGTACAAGCTGACATTAATAATAATAAGAGCTTCTTTGCTTGCTGCCTTATAATAAATACAGAAATTCATCAACTTTCATTTCTTGGAGTTGGGTTTCAGATGGTGGGGGCTTTAAATTTGAATGGATCTTTGGAGTTTGAGGTTTTAACAATTATGTTATGTGGCTGTGTGCAGTGCAGCAGCCTGTGAAATTTGGCTGAGTTAACTCAGTGATTGGACAGGCTCTAACTCGCACTATACAGAGACTAGGGCCCAATTGCAAGGCCCTTCCAACTGTGGCCAGGCCAGGCCAGGCCTGCATATGATGAAGCCTGTCTGACTTAACTCGTGGCAAAGACTCGGCCTACCTTTGAAATTCCATGGCTTTCTCCATTGTTATTTGTTAGAAGGAAGCCACCGAGCTTTGACTCTGAGCCCTTTCGGACCAACATTATTAAACCATGAACAGAAAATGGAGGGATCACCATCGAATGATGTTATTCTTTACTTCAGAATTCAGGGGGTTTTTCCAACAAGGAAGCAAGGTAGTATCCATGTTCCCAGGCCAATTTAATTTAAGCCATGCAATCTGCTGCAAAGTTCTTTGTTTCTCTGTAAAAATGTGACTTATCCTGCTTTGGCTTGCCCCTCATGATGATGATGAGACCAAGTAGTGGGTGAGAATTTTCCACAGTGGCAGTGACAGAGTCAACTACTTCAACTAACAAATTCAGGGTTATTTTTCATCGTCCCCACCTATTAAATGAACTGCTCATCTCATACTTAAAACCCACACGAGAACAAACAGCAGAAGACAATCATGTATCACAAAAAGACACAAGCTTTGTTGAAAAGTGAGATCAACACAATTAGAAAACCACAAGACATGGAGCCAGAAACAAAAGTTGCAGCTACCTGCATACATGATGAGCCAATCACCAACGAAGATCGTCTAAGTCTAAGCCCTGCATCCCGTCTGTTTCATTCACCGCAGTTCAACTGCTACATCGTTATAGTCATGGGTTGCCAGACAGGAATCAATCCGGACGTTGTTAAAGCTGGTTTAAAGGAAACCTTGTATCATCATCCTCGCTTCTCTAGCAAGCTGGTAAAGAAACTATTCCGTTCCTTCCTTCTTTTCTTTGTTTATTTCTATATGGTTTCTTATTGTTTCTGCAGACATTAGTTACTTTTGGGACATTGTTATGGTAAATCCAGTTGATACTTGTTTAAAGCTTTCTGTTGTATAATTACAGGAGAACAAGGATATCAAAGGTGGAAAGAAGAGATGGATCCGAGTATCGGTAAATGAAGAAGACCATGTTTTTGTTCCAAACTTGGATTCAAATATAGACCATCCTGATCAATTTGTAGAAGACTACATTTCAAACCTTACCACAGCACCTCTTGACCTTTCCAAGCCATTATGGGAGTTACATCTCCTCAATGTTAAAACCTCGTATGCAAAAGCTGTTGCAGTGTTTCAGCTTCACCATTCAATGGGTGATGGTGCATCTCTCATGTCACTTCTTCTAGCATGTACCAGAAAAACATCTGACCCAGATGCATTGCCTACTGTTCCCACCAGGACTCCGGCGGATTCTTCAAGTAATTCGAGCTGGTTCTGGTGGTTCATATTGGCTATTTGGTCTGGAATAACACTGATATGGAACACTTTAGTGGATATGATGCTGTTTATAACAACACTTGTATTTTTGCAAGACACAAAAACTCCTATCAAAGGTGCCCCTGGTGTTGAGCTCACTGCAAAGCGCTTCGTGCATCGGACAGTCAGTTTGGATCACATAAAGCAAGTGAAGAACGCAATGGGGATGGTATGTTGATCCATTCTTGAAAAATATACATAGACATTAGGCACACGCACACACTTCTTTGGGAAAAGCTTGGTATAAACATGAAAACTGAAAGGGGCAAATGATATGGTACTCAGATGCTATAATGCCATACTGTACGGTTGGGCAGTCACAAATTATTGGAGGTTTATGGCTCCTTTAGTTATGATGAACCAATTATTAGTTCGTGTTACATTAACCTGAAAGGCAGAGCGCATACTTGTTTTTGTGGTAATTTCTTTTGGTATTCAACGAAGCTACCAAATTCTGGTCCCAATCCTTAATGACTGGGACCAGAATTTAGGTCTAGTCCAGCCCAGTCGTAGCAAAATGCTGGCAGCTATGATGAACTTTCTGATGTGATGATAAAAAAATGTGGCTGGACAACCATCTGCCGTCTGGTGCGGTTTGTTCCAAACATTGTGTAGCCGCTTATTGATTAAGAATATTGGAACATAAAGCAGACCATTAACAAGTTTTTTTTGTTAGTACCCCTGCATATGCTTCTTTTCACATGGATTTTCTGAAAGTAAATTATTTTAACATTAACCAGACTATCAATGATGTTGTATTCGGAGTGACACAAGCAGGTCTCTCGCAGTATCTGAACCGCAGATATGGTGAGTTTTCCTTGAAATTGATTTCTTCCCTTCTCTTTGTAATATTACCCAAGCAGATTATATCGGTAACATTATTCTGTTAGTTGAGTTATTAAAGATATTTCTTTCGTTTCAATTGGCAAGAAACATCTTTGAAATGTTTAAAGAAGTTCCTTCTCCCACACAAAGTTTTCACAGTGACATGTATTCAAATTGATTAGTCTGATGTTTAAGATTAGAACACAAGTATTTATCATCTTATCAGTTAAAATGTAGTTTCTCTCAATTATTTTTTCACTTCACATTTCAAGATAAAGAAGCACGAAACACCTTTACCTCTGGACAAACAAATGGTTCGATGTATTCCTTAGCTCGTTGTTCTAATTAGCAGGCCAAAATGAGAAAGATGAGGGATCAAAACAGAAGAGGAGTAATCTTCCGAAAAACATCCGCTTGAGAGCAAATGTTCTCGCTAATTTAAGACCAACTGTTGGAATCCAGGTGAATACCCCTCCTCAATCTTCATGCCATGCATATAAAACAGTGTAGCCAAACTATATGATATCTCAGTGGAAATCTAAAACTGTGAATTGGTTTCTATTCATAATTTTGGTATGGCCTTATATGACAACATAGGATATAATATCATTCAGAAGTTGTCCAGGAAACATTTTTTCCCAGTAAAAGATGCTTAGTTTGCCTAGCTCGCATATACTGTTTCTTCTCTTATGTTATTTACATCACAGGCTCTGGCTGATATGATGGCTAAGAAGTCCAAGGCTAGGTGGGGTAATAGGTTCGGATATATTCTTATCCCCTTCACCATTGCCCTACAAGATGGACCACTGGATTATGTTCGTCAAGCCAAAGCCGTCATTGATCGAAAAAAGCACTCGCTTGAAGCTTTATGCACATACGTAATTGCCAATGTTTTAATCAAACTTATAGGAGCTAAGGTACCAATATTTCCTCTGTCTTCTCCAGCATATTGTTATTTTAAGGAGCGAACACAAGAATAGTTTTTAAGAATGTCAATGTTTTCACACGCAGGCTGCTGGAGCTATAGCACACAGAGTTATTTCTCATTCCACACTATCATTCTCAAACTTGGTTGGTCCCCTTGAAGAAATTAGCTTTTACGGCCATCCAATAAATTTCATGGCTCCTTACGTTTACGGGCATCCTCATGTAGGTTCTCTTATAAATGCCAATAATTCTCCTTGATCATGAAGTTGCCTCCAAATCTACCAATTAACTGCAATCTAAAATATTGGAAACAACTACCTGGCTCTGTTCTTGAAAAATGGTGAATATACTTTTTATTTGGTTTTTTTATTTATGTTCGCTTTTGTCATTCTGTTGCAGGCATTGCATATGCATTTCCAAAGCTACGTTGATAAAATGACGATTTGCTTAACCATCGACCCGGACACAATACCTGACCCTAATAAGTTGTTGGATGATTTAGAGGAATCACTCAAACTCATCTGTGATGCTGTTTTAGACAGAGGGCTCACCAAGGAAGAAGTTGTCTAGGCTAAACTAGTATACTGTATCTCGATAGAGAATAGATGATCTAAGCTTCTATTATGCGCATGCCCAAGTATTGGTTTTTTGGAGTTGTTCTGGACAGAAGTGGAAACACAGCTCAAACTGCTGCATGTGCTGCTGCAAACTCGTGATTCTTCTTGCTATTGTGGACTACGTAGTTGGTTCAACTTAGCTGTGATGTTTGTCTTTTAGGTAGTTAATTGAAGCTGTCATTTTCTTGTAGGGTAAGCTTTGGTAATGTACTTAAAGAGAGCTTTGCTCAGTTATGTAGTAAAACCACATTACAGTGACATACCAATGCCATTACAGTGATAATTTGAGCAGTTTAGAGTAACAACTGTTTAGTTGTTGGTTTTTCATACTTACATAGTACTTAATTTATTGCAGTTGGGTTTCAGTGGTCCTTTTGCATTATGGGCAGGCCTCCACAGAGCCACACCTATCTGACTTGTGCAGAGGCTCAACCCACCTCTGAGAATTGGTTGGCCTGCTCAATTGTAAACTTGTGCATGCATCTTTCCATAGCCCTTTTTTTCCTATTCCATATTTTACTAACTATGAAAGTATGTGAGAGGCTAAGATTATTTCTTACTTGTTGTAATAAAAAAGCAAGATGGTGATTTTGCATTCTCTTTGCGAACTAGAACAACAATTTCAAACAAAGATTTATGGGTATAGTAGCAAGCGAGGTGGTAGTATCATTCATGTAAAGTGTTGTTTGAAATGTGAAGCAATTACCAAGAACACTCCAACTCAACATGCAATTCTCTACAACAAATAATGTGTACAGTAACAAACTAATGCAACTAGAAGCGTCCTTTTCTTTTAATTTTATTTTTAATAAATAGTATAGCCGTGCGGCTAAAACGCGTATAGCCGGGCGGCTATACTCCGTTATTTTATACGGCTATACTCCGTTTTTCTTATAAAATAGTATAGCCGATCGGCTATCCTATTTTTTACACATCCGACTCCAGGTGCCATGCGAGGTTTTTTTAATATATAAAAAGCGTATTGCCGCATGGCTATACCATGGTTTATAAAAAACCGACTATAGCCATTCGGCTAGACTATTTATATATTAAAAAGACGACACCTGGCGCCCAGCGTCGTTTTCTTTTATTTTATTTTTTTAATAAATAGTATAGCCGTGCGGCCATACGCCCATTAAATATAAAATACTGACATCATATAGCTGGGCGGCTATACAAGGTTTTTTTTAAAAATAAAACTAGTATAGCCGCCGGGCTATACCCCTTTTATTATAAAATAGTATGGCCGCGCCGTTATACTATTTTTACAGGTCGGGAGCTAAGTGCCAGGCGGGTCTTTTTTAATATATAAAAAATATTATAGCCGAGCGGCTATACTATATATATAAAAAAGATGATACCTGCGCTATTGCCTGGTTTGCCACGCGTCAAAAAACATTATAGCCGGCCGGCTATACTGTGCAAGATGATCCCTTTCATTATGTTCGCGGAGCCAAAGCCCTCATTGATAGAAAAAAGCACTCGCTTGAAGCTGCTGCCGCATACTTAACTGCCAATCTCTTGACCAAATTATTAGGAGCTAAGGTACAAACGGAATATATTCTTAATTATCATTTTTATGATTAAGTAGCTAATGGCTTAATTAATTTAATGCAGGGATGTGGAGCAATAGCATAGAGAGTTTTATCTAATTCCACATTCTCAAACTTGGTTGGTCCACTGGAAGAAGTTAGTTTTTATGGCCACCCAGTTGCTTACATTGCTCCTAATGTTTATGGCGACCCTCATGGAGGTTTCCTTGCCTCCAAATCTTCCAACTAAATCCAATCAATTTGAAGACAGTGGTCCTAATTTGACCATATGGTAAACACAATTGGGATTCAAACACGTGATCTTGGGTGTCTATTTATTGGGTTCTTTTTTTTTTGGTTGCAGGCATTGCATATGCATTTTCAAAGCTATGTTGACAAAATGACTATTAGCTTAGCCGTTGACCCAGATGCAATACCTAATCCTAATAAATTGTTGGACGATTTAGAAGAATCACTCAAACTCAGCCGTGATGCTGTTGTTGTAGAAAAAGGGCTCACCATGGAAGCTGCTGTCTAGCTCCACATTTCTTGATGTGCAAGTTGGAACACTTTTTCTGCCTAAAGAATAGATCTCCCTACCATTTTATTTTAATTTATTTTTCATGAATAAAACATTTTTAGGCCTTGTCTCAGTAGGGCAGCCTAGTAATAAGTATTCACTTTTTACGGAAATATTTGTACTCATCACTTTAATCCAAGGTATATCATCACTACTTTGCTCAACACTTGACACGTATCTATTGATATAACTATAGTTAACTCTTAGCTTTGTATTTATGGAACCAATGTTATGCCCATGGACACGTGTCAAGTGTTGAAAATGATAGTGAGAGTACACCTTGAGTTAAAATAGTGAGCAAAAATGCTCCCACTTTTTATAGGTTACTTTTCCAAAGAAAAAAAAAAGTGATATTTTTTAAGAATTCTCAAAGCTTATATATATTTATTCATAATTTTTGGTACTTACTACAAAATTTCATTGATATCTCTATTCAATATATTTATATGGTAATTAATATGGCAAAACATTTATTGGCCAAAATGTTAAGAAATTGAGTCCTTGATTTTCACGAAAGAAACAAGTGCGAAACAATATAAACGAGATCAAGAAAGACAAAAGTAATCAAACACACAACAACACAAGAATTTTTTGACAAGGTTCACTCAATAGGAGCTACGTCCCTGAATACACTCATTCACCCTCTCTAACCACACTCATCATAGCCACATTAATATTACTCCCTAAATGTCTTATTTATAATGTATAAAACCTAGAATTACATAGGTATGAAATATAATTATACCAGGAATCCTGAAACTGAGAGGGAAACCAAACAGGAAACAAATATTTTTCCTAGTTGAATTGTATCTTCACAACTCAACACGAAATTTCATGTGGATATTGATTATAGGGTTAATTAATTTGTATGGTATGGATCTTATTTGTAAACTTTTTACTTTAAAAAATATTTATTTATTTTTTAACAAAAGTAGAGTGAGAAATAATAAGCCCAAGCCAAGCCCCAGCCCAAAAGACAGCCTCGGTCTTGATTTGTCCAAATTTAGGCTGGACTCGGATCCGGTAAACACGGTGGGGGCATAATCGTTATTTTATCAGAAAAGTAAAAAACAAAACAAAAAGCGCGAGTTATCGGCAAAGCAAGAGTTTCTGGAATTCTCCAATCTGACCGACTATAGCATCACTATATATAAGCTCCATCCGTCTCTGTAAATTGTAACAGACTGAAGCTTAAACCCTACACCAAGACGCTTGAAACCGAGACCTCTTTAGTTTCTCTCATTCTCGACTATTATCGAGCTATGGCGATAATCTCCGATATCCAAGAGGACCAGAACGCGCCCGAAACAAAGCCGTCCCAGGCATCGTCGTCGTCTAAAGCGGCGTCGTTTACCGCGAAGTTGGATCGCTCGAATCCCCTAGGGTTTGTGGAGAAGGTGTTCGACTTTTTGGCTCAAGAAAGTGACTTCCTTAAGAAACCGACGGCGGAGAAGGATGTCCTGTCCGTCGTACGCGCATTGAGGGAGAAGGAGATTAAGAAGGTGGAAGAGGAGAAGAAGAAGAAGAGGCAGGAGGAGGAGGAGGAGGAGAAGACGAAGAAGAAGGCCAAGGAAGAAGCTAAAGCTGAAGAGAAAAAGGGGACTCCTTTGGAGGAGGGTAAGAAAGAGAAGACTGGCTTGAGAGGTACCGATCTTTTTTCTTTTCTTTAAATTTTTTTAGAATTTAGTTTCCTTTGGTCCAATTTTAGGATTTTGTTTAATTGCGAAGATTTAATTTTGTTTATTCATGTGCTTTTGTTGTGCCAAAGATAAATTTATAGAAGTTTGAATCTCTTAACAAAAGCGATGTGATTTTGCTGCTAAATTTGATATGGCTGGTTCCTAATCTGTTGGATCTTTGGAAACGTGATCACTGTTTCATGCCTGTAGGGGCAAAAGTGTTTTTGGATGTGTGCATTATAACTTGTTCTACTTGCGTTCCCTATTTAACACTAATCTCTCTGGACAGTTCCAAACAAAGGCAATGGACTTGATTTGGAGAAATACTCATGGACGCAGAGCCTTCAGGAGGTTAATGTCGTTATTCCAGTGCCTCCTGGAACTAAATCACGGTCCGTTGTGTGCGAAATAAAGAAAAATTATCTGAAGTTTGGAATGAAGGGTCAGCCTCCTATTATTGATGTAAGTTTGCTTTTCTATGCCTTTTGTTTTGCCAGTTTGTTTATTTTAGGTTAAATTTGCCTTAACTAATGTACATTAAATAATTTCAGGGGGAGCTTTATCAGTCTATCAAGCCTGATGATTGTTACTGGAGCATAGGTATGTCTGTTTACACTTTATGAACGTATTATTTTACTTGTGTTTTCTTTTTTGGTCGAATTTTACTTGTGTACATTGGAGCATAAACACACATTGGAAATTTCGCCTTTGTAAGGTGCAAATAAAGTCATATTTTGCTTTTCTAAATCGCAAATAGTCATGAGTTCATGGCGAAATTGATCACTTGGTGCTCTGTGCTTACTGCAAAACTTGTTTATAAATTTTAGTATCAAGTGGTCATTTAAAGTTAAAACACATCTGAATGCTTTGTGGGGGTCTCTACTACTAGTTTTGCTGTTATGAGTTTCTCTCACATTCCATGCTAGTTTTGGAGGGAGTAGTATCTTTTGAATGTGTGTATCATGCTTTCCTCATTTTTTTTAGTTATATAATCCATTGTTTTAAGCATCTGAGTTATTTGAATTCATGATGTCCATTCTCATCTCAGAGGATCAGACTGCTGTCTCTATTCTTCTGACCAAGCACAATCAAATGGAGTGGTGGAAAAGTTTGGTGAAGGGTGATCCCGAGATAGACACTCAAAAGGTCGACCCTGAGCCCAGCAAATTATCTGACCTGGATTCTGAAACCAGGCAGACTGTTGAAAAGATGATGGTAACTCTCGCACTTGTTTTGTTTGTTTTTTCTTTCTTTCTAACTATTATCAAAAGAAGATTGCTGTGATCAGTTTTTTTCCACATGCGGTCCTCCATCTGTATGCATGTTTCCTTCCGTTACAGTTTCTAAGAGCTGTATGTTTTACTTTGCAGTTTGATCAGAGACAGAAGCAGATGGGGCTCCCGACCAGTGATGAATTGCAAAAACAAGATATCCTGAAGAAATTCATGTCGGAGGTGAGTTCTTGAGGCTCATAAATACACTATGGACTTGCTCAATTACGAAATTTCCCTTTCGCAACAGTTATGCAAATTTGCTAATATTTGTTTGTGTATGGTGTTTGTTTTGCAGCATCCGGAGATGGATTTCTCAAGGGCCAAGATACAGTAAATCTGACATTAGGGGTCGCTGATAACTTTGAGCTCATCACTATAAGATGACTTATTTTAGTTCAGCTCTTGCTTATGGTTGAACTTGAGGTGCGGTGTGTGTTCTTTCCTAGGGTGGTTAGGATGTCCGGATTGGTCCGAACGCTGTTAATATGGTGTGCTGGTTTCATTTTTAGATGACAATTTGATTAAAATTCTGGGGAGTAATATATTCATTTGTATTTTGCTTTACATAAAATTCTCAGTTAATTTTCCATAAAATTTGTTGCTTGATGGGAGAGATTTAGCATGTCCAATCCAAGCCCTTTCCATTAGACATCCCAAGCCCAAATAATTAGCCGAAAGAAGGGCCTATTTTTTATGACAATTTGGGACGCCAAGCCCAAACAATAAGGGTTTTTTGGTAACATTCTAGATCCAAGCCCAAACAATTCAAAGCCATAGATCAAACCCAAATCCCAAACTCGACAATCGATGCGTGTAGGACCTCTCAATAAACCGGTCATATTCTCTGCTGAACAGGTTCTTTGTAAAAAGACATATATATATATATAATATGCACAACGCAACCACAGGCCAGCAAAAGTCGACACGTGGGCATATATTGCCAGGCTGCTCCTTTCCATAAAAAGGTAATGGGCACCACCAGAAATTGTCCTGTTGTGAGGGAGGGTCGTGCAGGCTTTGCCCTAGAAAAAGACCCCCTTGTTTGATCCCCTGTTCCAGAAGGTGGGAGGGAGACTCTGGACTTTGTTCTCCGTAGAGTCACATTTCAATTGGTCCTCCTCTTGTCCCTTGTTGGCGTACGTGGAATTTGCAATTGAATAAAAAGAGCAAGCCATAGGTTTATTTTATTGCATACTTTGTCTCCTTCCTTCTGTTTTAAGAAAAAAGAGAAGGGCTATTCCGTTTCCATTTTAATACAAACAACTAGGGTTTGAGCTAAAAATATCTAAAGAGACACTTTAAATTTGCAAATTGCAGTTGAAGCTTAAGCTTTGCCTCTTTTGCATCTTTTGCCTCTTTTGCCTCTTTTGCTAGCTAGTGTTATATGGGGAGTCGTTTTCGACCGACTCTTTCCCCTAATAAACAATTAAGCTGCGAAACTTTTTTGCTTTAATTTGCGTTGGGATATGTTTAGGTTCCCTTTCTTTAAGTGGGAAGGGATTGCCATATTTAACCATTTTGTTTGAAAAAATGAACATGATGAGAAAGCAACGCATCCTTACCTTTTAGAATAAGTCTTGATGAACTTGAGTGATAATCTGATACAAGAGTTATGATGGATATCTCACCTTGTATTAATTGTATAGTATGTATAATGTACACATTTAGATGATCCAATCCGATGCCAATAATTGATCGAACCAAACAAACAAACAGATTCATTTTGATAAAAAAGCAGATCATATCCTCTTACTACTGTTCAAAACGCACGCACTCGAGAAAAAGGAGAAAACCATCAACAAATAAAAAACTGCATTATTATTTTGTTTATACTTTGTAGATGAAGTAAATTCGGTATTGGACAAGTGGAACAAGACACATATTGTTTGTAAGTTGCCATAAAACTCCAAACGCCTCAATAATGCGAACTTGACACCTTATCTCTCTCTCTCTCTCTCTCTCTCTCTCTCTCTCTCTCTCTCATAAAGCACAACAGAACAGACCAACCAAGATGGCAATATCGTTAAATTTTCTCTGTGCGATATGCATGCGTTACTCTAACTCACAGCCCTCCAAAAAGTAGACTAGTTCCGGTGCAACCCACATATGCTACACCCAAGTTTTGCCGTTTCGTGCGGATTTGCCATTGCCAAGGCAGGCAGCTGGACCAGCGGGGGTCAAATTAAGTCTCTCACATCACTTACGTTTTATTATAAATTGGTGCAAATGCTGTCATTTCGTTTTTAAATTTTAGTATCTTCTTCTCCAAGTGGGTCTTCTTCAGCTTACAGCGGGCAAACCCTTTGTTGTGTTTCCAGGCTTGTTTGTATATATGATTCTGTACTGCAAATAATTCGACTAGGACAACATGTACTGCAGCACAATCAAGTAATTCCACTTCAAAAAAAATAAAAATGGTACTGCTCAATTTTGCTTTAAATTGAAAGCCATTACTGCTCATATAGGTTGAGTCGCTGAGAAATTTGATCAAAACTCGAAAGGGACATATTCACCTAAGTTCATTTAGGATGGACCGAAAAACTATCAACTCTCTATTGATCAAAGGAATGCATAATTTCCTCTGGACACGGATAGTAAATATTTATTTACCAAATTATATAAAACATTAGCTTAAATTAATTATCAGAAGAACAAGTAGTAAAACCTGAAAGTGACATCTCTACCACTACCACACCTTTCAAAGTACAAGAGAGAAATAAAGGTGATATACATCACACGTCTCCCCTTGGCCTTTTCATCTGAGATTCAGAGTGTCCCCTTCCTTCCATCAAAGCTATTTTCTTCAATCTTGCAGTACCAAACCCTAGTTTTGATAAATGAAAAAAATATATATGCGCGCCTTATTATTCCGTAAGTAAAAAGAGAAAATAAAAATAAAAAACTTGTTTGTTTTTCAGCGCGCAGAAACCAAACAAAAAATCTATGATAAAATACGAACCGATGTCCAAACATGAAATGTCATGTCATGTCACCTAACTTTGTTTCTCCACTGACTCACTCGCCTGTGCTTGTATGGGACGATATATAATAATACATCAATTTCCAAAAATTACTGATATTACATATTGACGTAGACGTTTATGAAAAGATATAGTAATTTCCAGAAATACAAATAAATAAACGCTTAAACTATACCTAATTATAATTTAATGTTAAACTCGCAATCGACAGCAGGGATTTTAGCTGCCAACCAAGTTGCTAGACTGCACAAGTCAAACTTGGGTTTAAATAAGTTGTATATTATTTGCTAAACACCTGCGACGCTGACAGTTAGGTCACCTTTTTTTTCTTCTTCTTCCTCTCTGTAAATTATGGAGTTTCAGAGCAAATTGTCAACATTTGATTTGAAATAAGATACAAGTTGAAACCAGAATGATGGAAAATGGAAAAAAAAATACTGTATTATATATTATTATTATCTCGTATAAATAATAATCCGCGTGGAGTGGCTTTCACATCACAATTTAATGAGTCTTTGATTAATTATCAAGAGATTATAGGATTTGGAGTATTGATTATGACATGCAAACGTAAATAAAACCTCAAAAACAATTATCCGCTGTGAATTTCCGATACTGATTTATTATGGTACCCAACCAAACCCAGTATAGCCTGATGAAGAGAAAGTATAATCACATTGCACAATAACTTTTGCCTTGAACAAAAGCGGCATACACCTGCTTTTGTCCAAATCCTTGCCCTCTTTCTTTCTGAGAAGCTCACATCAGTTGGAGGGTTTTACATCCAAAAGAATCCAAAAGTGCCTTCAAGTGAGGACCCCATGATATACCAAAGCAATTCCAATTGCAATTGGTGAAGAAAGACAAAGCGCACTAGCAGACAATCCACTCCAGCTGTTTTTTTAATCAACCCCATCTCTTTCATTTCACCATGTAATTTTCAACCTCCCCTGCCTGCTTGCTTTTCAACTCAAAACTCACGAAACCCTTTAAGCCAAATTCAATTTCTCTTAGGATTGGTCTTATATTGATGCCTTTTCTTCTCACGCATGTCACTGAGTTGTTTTTGTTGAAGCATATGAGTATCAAATACACCATATAATAAGTGATTTCACTACCAATAACATCGAGACCTTTTGTAATAATACTATATATTTATTGGGCTTTGTAAGTTTGGGAATAATATCGATGTTACTATTAGTGGGACATGAGTCCGTCCCTTTGAAATTTTAATAGTTTTTATTTTGTTATATATATATATATATATATAGAAATGTTGTGTTTTCATCATCTACAACTCGTGTTAATGTGAACTGGATTAAAACTTAAAATGGAAGGCCAAAGTAGATGCTCAAAAGCACTTCTTACTTTAGGATAAGTAAACGAATAATTTCTTCATAAAAGGTCCTAGCTTAAGATGCTAAGCTTGCCATACAAAATGACCAAGTTCACTTGACCTCTACTTCCATTAGTAAAAGCTTCCTCTCAAGTCAACTCACCATTGCAAAAACGTGTGTTTCCATACATATGCCTAATCAAAAAAATAAAATTCAGAAATAACATAATTATGTGTTAGTTCATTGTTCTTCATCGTGGAAGCACTTGCATGATTTACATATTCCTCCAACAAAAGAAAAAAGAAAAAAGAAAAAAGAAAAAAGAAAACAAAATAGGCACACAATGCCGACCCCATTAATGTGATATACGCAGCCATAATCATTTCCCATGATAGCTAGCAAAGCCAATACATTATTCATTTCTTTGTCTACTAAAAGTCCACTGCGGAATTTCGTCTGCCAAGTGTAGCGTTTCGAATGCGCCAAACGGAAGCAACCGGTTGGTCCAACCAATCCATGACATGGACATTAACAAAAAATGTCACAACCTAGCTAGCTTGCAAAGCAAAGTGTGAATCTAAAGCCTTTTGTGGTTGTGAACTTGTGGTGGAGGTTCCTGGCTTATAAGCCAAGAGAGAAGAGATGGAGCTTCCCTCCTTTTACATTTTCTTTTCTTTTTTTTCCTAATGTGGGAGTTTTAAGGTTTCATATAGGCCATCCCAAAGTGAACATTACTTGAAAAGAGGGGCATATACTCTCCACTCTTCTTTTACGACCCCTCATTGGTTGAAATTCCATAAGCCCTGTATTAAATTTTTGAGCTGCTTCTTACTTTTAATAACTTTACAGCCAAGCCAAGCTCCAGATTTGTCACATGGAATGGAATTTTCTTTCCACCTTGAAAGCTATTTGACTTAACAATTATTTAAACTATATGTCTGAAAACGAAATCGCTTTTGAGCTCTGGCTTATTCCTATTCCTATTTCTGGGGTTTCGCTTTCACACTTGCTTTTTTAGAACACATACTGCAATATTTCCAGTTAGACACAACTCAACCAGAAGCCAAGCATTGTTAATTACAGCCACGAATCAGGCATTAGATTAACTCTCTGTCATTGCTTTAAGCAGTACTAATTGTTTACTTTTCTCCCTACCAAAAGATAAATAAATAAATAAATATAGTAAAAAAGATTTTTGGCCTTTTTTTCTTTCAAATATTGATGCTTGCATTTCATTATATTTTATGGAATTAATAGAGTTATTCTTTATGCTGAGTTCGAGTTCGAGTTTGAGAAAGGGACCAAAAGATGGGACGAATAGAAGTGACCATATCGAAAGAGAATTTGAATATTTGATCAAAATGGAGGATAGAATCTATATATCTTCTCCCTCCTTTTAGTTTTCCAGCTAATAATTTCAATTCGTTTCTGCTTCAATATATCAGATGACGCGTTTCATACCGATTTGAGTTGCAGTTTTAGCACGTACCAATTTGAGTTGGGCCGGGCAGTGAAATAAAAACAGGAGGTCAATGGAAAGGTGTGTTTCTGTTGATATGATCATATGTATGAGTAAAACGTGGAATTGTTTGCCATCTTTCATTATATTTCAACGCACTATACCATATATCATCCTTGATTAATAAAATATACGAAGATATTTGTCTTAGAACAATCGTATTCTTTCAAATGTCAATAATTATAGGCAAAACTAGCTAATCCCAATAGCAACCTTCCTTATTATAATTATTAGCACACTGGTTTTCATAATATATACAAGTTACAACAAGACAGCCCTATAGGTGAAGGGACTCTTTCTTTCAACTCTTTACTTTCTGTCAATCCAAAACTACTCAACTATATTAACTCTATCAGATAGTGACATTGGGTTTGTACAAATTTATATATATATATATTCTCATCGTATGTGACCATCTATAGTATTCTATTTCAACTCGAGGTAATTCAAGGTGCACAGTGAGGAGGAGGAGCACATTCGCTCTAACCAATTAGGCTAAGCTCATGTAATTCAAGATGCACGATGAGGAGGAGGAGCACATTCGCTCTAGCCAACTAGGTTAAGCTCATGTATGCAGACATATGTATTAAATAATTAAACATCTACAATTTATTTAAAAGTGTGAGATGAGCAAATATAAGGTGATATGGACTTTCAAATTTGTAAACTACTTATTAATAAGCCCTTCAAAATAAGCACTTTCAGATGCACAAACTAGTTAAGTATGTTCTTAAAAACTTTAGGCGTTCAACGTTTGGGAATCTTCTATTTTATATAAAAGGAGAAAAGAAAAAGGGAAGGGAAATGTATCAATTGGCATACAGCTCTCATTTATTGTCATTTTTGGTAAGTGATTGTGATTCCCACCTATGTCATGAAAGGTATTTGCGTGATTGTTTTATTTAATTATATTTATGTGATGTTACATGTCCCATTACTTATTTTCCCTAGTGATTTTGGTAGCTAACTATAGGTGGGGAATAATCAACTATACCTTTCTGTAATTTTGTGTGTAGGTAGCTAGATACATGACCGTATCATACAAACGAAGAGAGAAGAACTCTAAATGCATTGAATTTTAAAGTGAGAATTCAGAGATGCCAATTGCCAAATTGGCTCCAATCCAAGAACCCAAATGCTGATGATTGATGACCGCAGTCCAGCCCACACAAATGTCCACAGGGTTTGGCTCCTGATATACCTCTCTCTCTCTCTCTCTCTCTCTCTCTCTCTCTCTCTCTCTCTCCAAATTGCAGTTAATTAATATCAAAAATAGTGATATTATTTTTGCAATAAAAAATCATTTTAAAATAGTAAAAATAATATATTAAAAGGGGAGCATGATAAGAGACATGGGGACAGGTGCATTATAAAAATGATTGTGTCCTTTTCCCTACTTTGTCCTTATTATGTGATACCATCACTCCCAATATTACTGAATACTACTCCCCACTCATTATTATTTATATAAATTCTCTCTCCTACTGACTTAAATCAACCAACCCCAAACAAACCCACACTATATTTCTCTCATCTTTATTTATTTCTTTGCAATTTGGCTGCCCTGTTTCGGTCATTCAGTGTGCTTCTGTTACTCTGATTTTGCTCTCTTTCTGGCTTCGCAAGTGATATCAGCGAGCTCTGTTTCGCCTTGAGAATGTATGCAGAGACTGGGCTTTTGTTCCCTTATTTCCAGAATTCACCTCAAGATTTTCAGCAACTTGAGGAGTTCTGCAGAACCCAGAAGTCAAATGCTTCAGTGGTACTCTCTTTCTCTTTGTTAACATTCATATATGCACGTTTGTGAATTATCTTTAATTTTGTTATCTTTGTCTTCGTTTTTCTCATAGATTAGCTTGATCTGCATTGGATTGACTAGTTCTGAGATGGGGTTGAGCCGACTTAGTATAAAGTAGTGAAATTGGCTCACTTTCTGTGCTTAATTGTGTATTCTGTCCAATACCATCTATAACCCGCTGTTTGTTTCTTGAGAAAATGGGGACTATTTGTGGATTCATTGGATGTTGGAACTTATTTACTCTGATTTATAGTTTATTAGTGAAGCTCAAAGTTCGAACTTTGACATGTTTTTATGTTTTTAAATTTATTGGTTTTATTTTCTTCTAGTCCCCTGTTTGGTTGCTGAGAAAATCAGGGGGAAGATGTGAAAATTTTGGGAATTGGGAATTCAAGTTAGGGAGAGAAGATTGTTAATTTCTCATACTTATTGTTGTTTGATGAATAGAAAACAAGCGGAAAGAAAAATCTCTAATTGATGGTAAAGTTGGAATATTTAACAATTAAACCAGGCATAAAGCTCTCTTTTCTTTTTCTTCTCCAAATTTCTCTACTTTTGGAGAGGAAAAAGATGGGTCGAGGGAGAGAAATTTTTTCTTGATCATCTATGTTTTTCCCCCACATTTAATTATCCGAGCCAGAGATTCTCTTTGTATCTCTCAAACCCAAACCAAAAAACACTTTTAGAGTTTTAAATTTTTAATGGTCTATGGGTTTCCAGAAAATGGAAAATGGAAAATGGAAAAGGAAAAAGAAAAATATCTCTGTCTGTCTCTTGTTTTTATTGAATCAGGGCATGCATGGAAACAGCTGGACTTAGCTTTTATGTGCTGGATCTGGAAAAGCATAAAAAAGGAAACTTGTAGAAACGTGTTGCATAATTTTTCTTTCCTTCTTTCTTTTTCTCTGCTGCGATCTTGTAGTAGGAAGTGTAGCTTTTTCACCGCACTCACACTAAATGCTAAAGAAGGAAAAGACGTATTTTGCTTTGTTTTTTTTCACTCGAGTGACTGTGAGAAGAAAGTTGACTTCATGGAACTGTAATCTCGGTATTAAAACTTTACTTTTGGAGAAGGTGAGGAAAAAGAATTACTTTGTGGTAGAATTGTGCCTTTGTTAACAGTTCGGAGGACAGTTTTCAGCATTAGGGATATTTCTTTAGCGTCCATATATGAGTGAGTGCCCTGAAGTTGAGAACTTGCCACTTGTCCACTTTGTTTGTGTTGGTCTGAATTTTTGGTTACTTGCTAGACCTTCACATTGCAAGCAAATGCTCAAGTTTACTGCTTCTTTTTTTTTTGATTGTAGCTTTCAATGCTTCTTTTGTATATTGCAGAATAGCTTCGCCGAGGCCTCTATGATATCAGAATATGACCTGGGAGGAGAATGGGATCTATTCAAAGCTCCAGAGCCTATAATTGAAGAGCCGGGCATTGGCCTTGATCCCTTGACAGCAACCATTTCAATGATATCTTGTGGGGAAGATGTCACCTGCTCTCAAGGGCTAAAGGTTGCAGACATTGAATCATTTCAAAGTGAGCAGCTTTTGAGTGATGTCTTCTATGACAAGGATCTCTTAGGGAAAGAGGCAATAGGGGAACCACTTTCTGAGGCCCTAGATATCAAAATTCCTATTTTGACAATGGATGCAAATCAAATTCAGGAAAACAAACCAATTCGCGATGTAACATTCCAGAAAAGTGTCAGCTCAGGATGTTTAACCTCAAGGGAGTGGATGCATGGAACTTCAACGAAGCCAAGTTTCCTGGATTTTCCTGGAATGGATTTTGGTGCTGCTTATGGTATTCGGAGGGCATATAGTGAAGGAGATATTAAGGTCAGAGATAGATAGTTTTCTTATTTCATGTTTATGTATTATGAGATTTGTAAACATTAAAATTCTTACAAAAGTGAAAACAACTACAGCGAGGTTGTGTGGAAAAGAGGTTATGAATTAAAAAGTAAAAAAGTAAAAAGAAAAAAGAAAAAAGAAAAAAAAAGGAGACCTGGCTATTTTAATGGACACATCTAGTAATTGATGCTTGTGATTGAAGTTGCAATCTATGGTGCATACAAATTCATTAGGGAATTTACCAACATTTTCCAGCTAAGAGACTGATGCATTTGTGCAACTGATGTCTGCGAATCTCTTGACCCCTATGTCTAGAAATTAGGGAATCATTTCAGGGATAATATCTCTCTGCACATTAGAACCCATTGATAATATCATTACTGAGAAATTGTTGGCTTTGTGACAAAGTCTGCTGGACTGAGAAATGTTTAGACATGTCTGGCCATTTCCACAGGATAGGACTGGGTCATTGATACTGAGTTTTTATGACAGACTCTTGATAACATCAACACAAGCCTCGTCCATTCTTCGCTTGAGCGGCCCATAGTCATCAGCAACTGCACCACTGAGGAACGCAGGGAAAAGCTTTCAAGATACCGCAACAAGAAGACAAAAAGGAACTTTGGAAGGAAAATCAAGGTAAAATTCTGATCCATATTGTTTCTATAGACTCAGTACTTTTATATATTGAATAAATTTTCAACAGAAACTTATCAAAGCGAGATATAGAATCAAAACTACGGACTGCATAGCTATGTACCAAAGCAACATTCTCAGTAAATGTCTCCTTAATGTTCTAATCCCATCCTGCATACTCAGATCCCTTATCTTATTAACTCATAGACTCGCAGTGAACAAGCAGTATCTGTTTTCTAATTCTTTTTCTTCTTTTTATAATCAATGATCTTTAGAACATTTAACCTTTGCCAAACCTCAGGGACCTACTATTGTTCAAGTCTTTTGCATTGGATGTTTGTTGGGTTTTCTATGAGGATTGAGTCGATTGAGCTTTGTAATTATTTTCTTGGGGATGTTGAAAGGGGGTTGCTGTTAAATATATATATGCATGGATGATTTCCTGCCCCGTTAATAGCTAAGATTCAAAAAGTTGCAGTATGTACACCTGTGTAACTATCATATTATCCCATGCTGTCAAAAATTGGAATGATTTCAAAGAGAATATGAAGGACTTTTTTATACACTTACTGGATTCAGCACTTGAGCTGATCCGTCACTGTAGGAAGGTATGAAACTAATAAAATGCTGTTTATTTCAGTATGCATGCAGGAAGGCCCTTGCAGACAACCAGCCGAGGATCCGTGGAAGATTTGCAAAGACTGAAGAAACTTATGGCAAGAGGCAATAACTGTTGACTACTTTTATATACTAATAAGAAGAATGTAGGAATGAAGTAGCTAGCTAGGTCCAATGGTATATGTAATGGAAGAGAGATGAGATCAGTAGTAGCGTAAGCCTGGCATATAAAATAGACTTGGAATCAGATTAGGTATTGCTCATCAATAAACCAGACCCCAAAATCCTCTGCTAAGTATTTGATCTCTATCATCAGCTGTAATAACCTCCTTTCTAGACCTGCATATGGCCAACTGCGTACGTATGTAAATAGGGTATGTGGAATAATCATCTGGGGAAGCAAAACAGTTGTACTTGTTCATATTATATGTTATGAAATTGCAATCTTTGTAGTCCCTCCTCCACTGGTGCAATGGCGTCTTGACAAAGATGTTGGATTCACAAGATGAACTTGTTCATATTATTATTGTATGCTATGAAATTTCTCAGTCCATGAATATATATACATATATACATTATACACACGACAGGAACCTGTCAGATCAATTTTCATGCCTGTCTCTGACCCATTCCATCTTGGGCTTGCAAATTAAGGCTCCAAGAACAAGTCAAGAAAATGCTCCAAGGAACAACCCGCAAATACTTGGCACCAAATCTTCATGATAAGATTATTTTTAAAAAACAAAAAAAAAACCTTGAATATCTCCATCTCTCTCCTTCCACCAACACAAGAATTTTTTACTTTTCCGGGTGCTGCCCATCATTGGGATTGCATAGAATTCAATATAAATCCAAATTCCTAACCACAACTAAGAACTCATTTATGTCTTGATTGCCCATGACATGACCGCTATAACCATTTTTTTTTAATAATGACATTGAAATTGAAGCATATAAAACTCGAATTAACCTTCTTTTCTTCGCCCATTATCTTATCGTTGATATATAGCTCACACTTCATGTGGATGTGGTTCTACTCAAAACTACACGAAATTAAGAGCAACCAAACTTTTTGTTCATTTCAAAAGTTTGAATCAAAACCCATCCACCAAAAACACCAACCTTTGGGACAGACGACAGAGGTATCATTTCATGACAACCCACCCACAATATAAAACGATGAAAATATATTCTGAATTTTCACCATGAGGCAACAAACAAAACCCATTTTTACAAATTTGTCAACTTTCCATTTGGGCCTCAAGGTCGGTGTTAAAATTTGGCGACAGGCCAAGGCTTTGCTCTTCAATTTCAGAAACAGACTGGTTTCGAGTTTCAACCCAACACCAATCAATTAGCCGAAGCTAATTTGAACTTTCATCTGCCTAGTCTACCACAAACACCCTCCATCCAATTCGAAAAATTTGAAGACAAGGCCATGTTAGATTTCCATGAAAACAAAGCTCACAACAAAGGATCAATTTCCACAAATTTGTAAGAATCAACCGAGTATTAGACTTTGGTCCAACCAACCAAAATAGTACAGTCATGTGTGCTTTGTGTTCCACCAAGAGCATATGGGAAGATGGAGGGCCCACCAACATAACAGAACATGACATAAGAAGCTGAACGAAACGTTCTATGGTAAGAAGCATAAGCATAAATATCCCAACATTTCCTTAGCGACATCAGCACAACTCCAACATTCTTGGAAGTTGGAACAAACTCTTTGCTCAAACACCATAACCACCGAACATATGCATAACTCAACTCCCATCCCATGTTTGCTCCTCAACTCAAAACTCCATCATTGTAATTTGTATTCTACTCTGCAACTTGACCTTCCAACTTGCAGAGCACGTTTATGTTACAACGGTTTTAACTTCTTTCTCGTTTTACTTTTAATACCTCTAAAATACAAAACAATACCTTATTTTTTTTGGCCATTTTCTTCTGCTGGCTGGTTGACTTTCCAAAAATTCATGTGGTGCTTCTCTGCACGAAAGCAACACCAAACTCTGTTCATTTTCAAGACCCCTCCACCTAAAACACCAACCTATCGTTAAATCTCAAAAACCCCACCTCACCTTTGGGACAGATAGACCCACGACATATAAATATAAATATAAAACTGTTGACAAGATGTTCTGAATTCACGAGCTATCTGTAGACTATCGATGCAACAAAACACAAAATTTAGATATGGAAATACCAAAATAAAACCCATTTGGCATTTACCAAACTTGCAAGTGAAGAAGTGCAATAAAGAAAGGAAAACTTTGAAATGGGCCTGAAGGTGGTGGTCTTAAAATTGGGAAGTACCGACCGGCATAGACTCAAGCCAAGGCCATGATGCTCTTCAATTTCAGAAACAGAGGAATTTCAACCCAACACCAAACTTTTACAAAATTTGATGTTCTATCTACCACACAGAACAGACACTGCCCCCATCCAACTCCAAAAATTGAGGAGGCAAGCCCATCTTTGATTCCCATAGACATCTTCGTCTCGTCGACCTTGAAAGTTTCAATTTTTTTTCTTTTATTTTCAAGTCAACAGTCAAACGAAAAGATGGCTCGCAAAAGGATCAATTTTTCACAAATTTGTGCTAATCAACCGAGTAGAAACTCTGAGCAGCCAAAAGCAAAAGGTGAACATAATTTTATACACGAAATACATTCCAATAATGGTAACAGTGACCTGTTAAGCAGGACAACCAACATGAAGATACCCAAAATAACCCTACCAAAAAATTGGTGGGAAAATTCGTGATTTCCACTGGTGAAGTTCTTACTTCAAGTTCAAAACACTATCCTTCGTATCATACCATGAAAAACCATCGGGAAAGAAAACCAATATTTATTTTTTTCCATGACCGCCACCACCCGGCATAAAAAAGTTGAAGAATTTTAAAACCCCACCTTTGCCGTATTCCGATGACCACCATCCTAGTACAACCCAATTTGCAGAAATATTTCTACAACAAATTTTGAATCAAACCCATCAATAATTTCATCTATGAATCTGCCCTGTACATTCACAACCCCCACAAAAATGTCGAAATAATTTCACACTGCCCACTGGTCAGTGGTTACCTCCAGCCATATTCGAATTTGCAGCGTTCAAAAACAAGAAAAGCCCATCACAATCAACAACCATCAAGCAATTAAATGAGCCACGCTACTAAAGTTTATAAATTGGTTCGGTAAATTTAATTCAACACTGGCGTAACCCAAATCAAAACAGAAACAGAAACATAGAAATTGAATGCTACATTATAATTTAAAGTTTCCAACTTTCTTGGAACAACCTTTGCAACATGTCTCTCCCTCTCTGTCTAAAAAAACCATAGAAACCACCTATTAAATCCACAATGGCGCACAAAAATAAACATAACAATGAAACCCAGCCCAACCAGATTGTCCATGACGACCATGCTCATGACCTTGCCAGAAGAATTGTGCTCTAAACACGTAAGGTGCACGTTAGCCCCTACCACTCTCTCTCTCTCTCACACATCTTACTCTCTAATATAACACTTTGCAAGATAACGCCGACCCGCTTCTCTCTCTCTCTCTCTCTCTCTCTCTCTCTCTCTCCTCCCTACTCTGTCACCCGCCCTATTCCTCTCTTTCTCTCACTAAAAAAATTCGCACAAAATTAAAAAAAAAGAGAGAATTTACAAGACTCCAATTTACTATTTTCCTTCGCTGCTTATCATAATTACATTACAATTTGTGTAAGCAATTTCATATTCTCTCTTCTTTCTTGCTCTGCGCTCTGAAGCAGTTGAGAAACTTCCTGGATAGATCCCTATTTCTCTGTCCGACTCCTTTTGTGAATTTCGATCCTTTTCATCTAATACTCAAGCATTCTCCTTGCTCAAATTTTTCCTCTGTCTTTCTCTCCTCATTCTCTGTCTTTTTCTCGGGAAGAAGATTCTTCATTAGTCGTTATCGTTTCAATTGCTCTGTTTTGGGGAATCCAATTGGGAATTAGGGTTTATTTGTTTTACTGAGAATTGGGTTTTGATGTGCAAGCAAAAGGCTTTTGTGGGTATTATGTTGAAGTAAGATTTCTTCTTTGGTTTATGGGATTCAGAGATTCGTGGGGTTTCTGAATTATTTTTGAAAGAATGATAATCAAGAAGAACCTCAAATCCCAAATGCCGAGTCTGAAACGGTGCAAACTCGGCGAGTCAGCGGGTGAGGACGAAGATAACTCGGGCAGGAAGAAGAGGAAGACTAATGGGTATTACCCTCTCAATCTACTCGGCGAGGTCGCCGCTGGTATTATACCGGTCAGTCTTCACGGTTTGCTCGGTTCAGTTGGGGCCGAGAAGGGCTTCTCTGCTTCGTGGTGCACCGAAGTCTCGTGCTCCCCTGAGGTGGAGTTGAAATCGAAGAGCAGAGAGTCAGCCAAAGCGAAGACTAATCGGACGGCAGAAGTTTCGCGGCCGCCTCTAGTGAGGACTTCGAGGGGCCGAGTTCAGGTACTTCCTTCTCGGTTTAATGACTCCGTTATTGAGAACTGGAAGAAAGAAAGTAAGACTAGTTTGCGTGATTATAGTATAGATGAGGAGATTGAGTGTAAAAAAGAGAAAGCTAGCTTTAAAGCCCCCAAACAAGGTAGCCAAAATGCCAAAAAGACACGAAATGCTGAGAGAATTGGATATAACAGTAAGAAGTATTCGGGTATGTGTGAAGAAGAAGATGAAGTAGAGGAAGAAGGGAGTATGCGGTTTAGAAGTTTAGATATTAGGAAGTATTCGAGCTCACGTAGTACACTCACGTCAGTGCATGAGCAATTGGTTGAAGATGACAAGTGTCCAGTTGCAGAAATTGATGAACAAGATGATTTAGTGGGCACAGTGAGGGCTCCAAAGGAGAGGAAAGATGGATTGTATGGACCCGAAGACTTTTATTCGGGTGATACAGTGTGGGCGAAGCCAGGGAGAAAGGAGCCTTTCTGGCCTGCCATTGTTATTGATCCAATTTCGCAAGCGCCTGAGCTAGTTTTGAGGGCTTGCATACCAGATGCAGCATGTGTGATGTTCTTTGGATACTCTGGGAATGAGAATCAAAGGGTATGAATTACTTTCCATATGGAGTTTTTATCTATATTTATGAACTTGCTCTATTTTCATGTTTAGAAGAGTGACCATTTATTAAAAAAAAAATTGAATTATCTTGAGCAGGATTATGCTTGGGTCGGACGAGGGATGATTTTTCCCTTTATGGATTATGTGGACAGGTGTGGTTGTTGTCTTACAAGAGCTGGAATTGCAATTTATTAATCGCTTTGTCGTTATGTAATATTTTGCATGATATAGGTTCCAGGCGCAGTCCGAATTGAACAGCTGCGAGCCCTGTGAATTCCAGATGGCAATTGAGGAGGCATTTTTGGTGGAACAAGGGTTTACGGAAAAGTTGATAGCAGATATAAACATGGCGGCAATGTATGATGACTCTCTACTTGGAGGGGTTCAAGAGGCTACAGGTTCAAATCATGATCTGGACTGTCAATTACTGAACCAGGCAAGTTCTCTTAGAGTGCTCTTTCCTGTCTTTTATATTGTGTAATTTCTAGGGCGTAATATTGATTGTAGAATTGCTCAAATATCATCTGAAGATTAATTCAAATGAAATTGATATGGCCGGGGATGAATTTGCTGATGGATATTTGGCTATTGCTTTGCTTTGTTATTGAGAACGCAGCATTAGCCAAAGAATCCAATAAAGATAGACCTTAGTTGCAAACTATATTTTCTTCTCCTTATTTTTCTCAGCAACAAATTGGAAGAAGAGGTTTTCTCTTTGATAAAAGACACTTTTTAAAGATTCCCATAGTTTATCGAATTTGGTTTCTGTAAGCAGGACGTATATGGGAAGAAGAGAGACATACGACCCTGTGAAGGCTGCGGTGTTTACCTTCCTTTTAAAATGACAAAGAAAATGAAGGTTTCAACTCCTGGAGATCAATTTCTTTGTAAAACGTGTGCTAAGGTTTGTATGACCTACCTTGTGTTTGGTGTTCTTATATTAGTTTTCAGTTTTCAGTTCTTAAGGGAACATTTTTCTGTGTTCTGAATATTGTGCATTGTTTACATTACGTGCAATCTTATTTCAGTTAACAAAATCAAAGCATTATTGTGGCATATGCAAGAAGATTTGGAATCATTCAGACAGTGGAAGTTGGGTGAGGAATCTTACAAGACATGTTTGAGTTATGGAAGTTGGAAGTTACTTATGAAATTATTGTTATACGTTTCCTTTGTGAGTAGGTTCGCTGTGATGGTTGTAAAGTGTGGGTGCATGCAGAATGTGACAAAATTTCCAGCAACCTTTTTAAGGTCTGTCTTTTAGACTAAATATCTAACATTGTTGTTTTCCTCCTTCATAATGAGTGCGAAGAGATTCTAACTTCCCTTACCATGTTATTTCCTTTTTGAAGAATTTGGGAGGCACTGAGTACTACTGCCCTACTTGCAAAGTGAAATTTAATTTTGAATTATCAGATTCTGAAAAAGGGCAACCAAAAGTAAAGTAAGTCTAATTGAATTTTCATTTTATAAATACATTGGGTTTATTTTTTCACTAATGATTCTAGAGTTTCTGATGCAGATTGAGTAAAAATAATGGTCAATTGGTGCTGCCTAACAAGGTTACTGTTCTCTGCAATGGCGTGGAAGGCATTTATTTTCCAAGTCTTCACTCGTAAGCACAAGATTGAATTTTTTTCCTTTTTGGTTAGAAATTAAATTTGGAATTAGTCTTGGTGGTTGAATTCTTAATACTTTTTTCACTTTAATAAGGAAGTCAATTTGATAATTACTTTGGTTTGACGTCTGAAAATATTTTATTCATATATACATTTACTTTTTTATGTTTCAGAGTCGTGTGCAAGTGTGGTTTTTGTGGGGCAGAGAAACAAGCACTTAGTGAATGGGAGCGACACACAGGTTCCAAATCAAGAAACTGGAGGACTAGTGTCAAAGTGAAAGGTTCTTTACTGCCACTGGAACAATGGGTTTGTACTATACTTTCAGATTTCTTTGTTTTCCCCTCCTTCAACAGTACGTCTATGCCCTTTCCATTTGGGAATTTGGGACATAATCTTATGGCAATCTCATTTGACTTTGCAGATGCTGCAGTTAGCAGAGTATCATGAAAATGCTATTGTGTCTTCCAAACCTCCTAAACGGCCTTCTATTAAAGAAAGAAAGCAGAAATTGCTTACTTTTTTGCAAGGTATATTTGTTTTATAATTTGGGGAATTTAATTTCTCATTGCAATAGCCACATGAACTGATGTACACCAACTGTATTCTTCCAATTGCTTTGACAGAAAAGTATGAACCTGTTCATGTCAAGTGGACAACAGAACGATGCGCTGTATGTAGATGGGTTGAAGATTGGGACTACAATAAAATCATCATCTGCAACAGGTATCATCAATAAGGTTCATTTTCGGAGTATTCATTGTCAAATGATGACTCAGGACCAACTGTTGGATGGACCTTAGAGACTTAATAAGTTCTAAAGGCATGAAAATCATTTGAGTGCTTAATGTTTCTTTTCAATCAGATGTCAAATAGCCGTTCATCAAGAATGCTATGGAGCAAGAAATGTTCGGGATTTCACTTCGTGGGTCTGCAAAGCATGTGAAACACCTGCAGTCAAGCGAGAATGTTGCCTCTGTCCTGTTAAAGGCAAGTTTTTAGAGGGCGTGGATTTGTTGAGTCATGTGGTATCATGTCATGAAGTATCATCTTACTGTCATGATCTTGTATTTTTGATCTGATCTTTTGCTTATGCACTTTTTTCCCCAGGAGGTGCTTTAAAGCCAACTGATATTGAGACATTGTGGGTTCATGTTACATGTGCTTGGTTCAGACCCGAAGTCTCTTTTGCTAGTGATGAAAAGATGGAGCCGGCTCTTGGGATCTTGAGTATTCCGTCAAATTCTTTTGTGAAGGTACTCTTTGTTCTTGTATTTATTTATATTTGGCTGATTCCAATCCGAACTCATTCATTAGAATGTTTATATACTTCTGATCATATAATCGAATTTTTTGGAAAATCCTTGAAGACTTCTATATTTAATTCTCACAAACATGGTATGTTAACAAATGACACCTAACCCTTCACATCCACAATTAGTTTCATTGATACAATATAACAAAATTTCACATATGTTCAAACCACAAAAAATGGAGAGTGAGTTATGTGATAACTAGTTTGACATAGTGGATCTAGAAATGATCCAGAATGTACCATGTCAATGATTGTGAGTCTAGTTTTTCTTTTCTTTTTATTTTGATCTTATTGACTGCACCCGCACCCTGAATTATTTAACTGATGCAATCTAAGGGTTATTTGTTCTCATTTGCTTCAGATTTGTGTTATCTGTAAGCAAATTCATGGTTCATGCACGCAATGTTGCAAGTGTTCCACTTATTACCATGCAATGTGTGCATCAAGGGCAGGTTATCGCATGGAGGTGAGTTTATTGCTCTTTGTTTATTCTCATTATATTCGAATTTATTATTTTGTGGTGGCTTCTGGTTTCTGAAGTCGTAGCATCTTAAGGTGATGCGTGAATCAGATTACTTATCTTTCTGGTGATACGTGATGCATTTGTCTATGCATTCTTAATATGCAGTTGCACTGTTTGGAGAAAAATGGAAAACAGATCACAAAGATGATCTCTTATTGTGCTTATCACAGGTGTGGATTCTTTTCTTTTTTCTTCAATTTAAGTTTCCCTTCCTCCCTTTTGTCTCTCATATTGGCTTCTGTTCTTTTGCCTCTAATTGTTGTCTTTCTTGGACATATGTAAGTTTTTCCTAACTTTTGTCCTTCAGAAGCTTACAGTTTCAATTCTGGTGCAGGGCTCCAAATCCAGATACTGTCTTAATTATACAGACTCCTTTAGGGGTGTTTTCCGCCAAAAGCCTTCTCCAAAATAAGAAGAGGCCTGGTTCAAGGTTAATTTCGTCCAATAGAACAAAGCTTGAAGAGGTTTCGACAGTTGAAACTACCGAGCCTGAGCCATTATCTGCTGCAAGGTGCCGAGTATTCAAAAGATTGAAAAATAACAAGAAGGTAGTCTACTCTGATGCCTAGTTACTTACCCATACACATTATAGTGACCAGCAATTGACAGTAAACAATTAGATGCTACTTTGTAATATGTTCCTGCTGCCACTAAAATAGATGGCAAATGTATATATCATATTTTGGTGGACCAGTTGGGAGGTTATTATTATATCATTGTTGAATCAGTTAGATCTGTAATTAGCCTGATCTTTTCTCAGTATCTTTTATTTTTCCTGATGGCTAGAGAGTAGAGGAAGATGCTGTTGCGCACCAAGTGATGGGACATTCCCATCATCCCCTTGGAGCAATTCGAAGTTTGAATACATTCAGAGTAACCTTTTTACCTTTTCCGAATTTGATGGGATAGTATAGTCGTTTCTATCACTTTTCATGTGGGATTTAAAATAATATCAAACTGACATTCTTGTTTGTTTCTTCAATAGATAGTAGAGGAGCCTCCAACTTTTTCGTCTTTCAGAGAACGGCTGTACCATTTACAGGCAAATATCTTTCTTATCATCCCTTCAATATTCAATGATCTTAGTTGATTTTCTTACTATTTTTTGGTGTATGTATATGAATGCAGAGAACCGAACATGATCGTGTTTGCTTTGGTAGATCTGGGATACATGGATGGGGTCTCTTTGCACGCAGAGACATTCAAGAAGGAGAAATGGTATGGAATTTGAACATTGAGCTACATGTTTTATTAAAATAATATTATGTTGTTAAGTTTATGTATGTTCTTGAGAAGTTATTCCGTAATGTTGAAGCACGTGTCTGGTTCAGGTTCTTGAATACCGTGGTGAACAGGTGAGGCGCAGTGTTGCAGATCTTAGGGAGGCACGTTATAGATCAGAAGGCAAAGACTGCTATGTGAGTTGAATTCTTTTCAAGTGGTGTACATTATTACTTTGGTTCTAGGTATCTCCGAAGTAGCGAAACAGAAGCACTTTTCTCAAGGCTCATGTTTACTCTGCAGCTGTTTAAGATCAGTGAAGAAGTGGTGGTGGATGCTACTGATAAAGGAAATATAGCACGCCTGATCAACCATTCAGTAAGTCATTCTGAAGAATGTTAGGGTGCTGCCTTCCTTTTCATAATTTGCTCCTCTACAGTCTGTGTCTGTCATCACTGTCACTCTCATTCCTTACTGATGCGTTGTTGCTTATCTTTAACACAGTGCATGCCCAATTGCTATGCGAGGATCATGAGTGTGGGCGATGAGGAAAGCCGGATTGTACTTATTGCAAAGGCTGACGTAACTTCCGGTGACGAGCTAACGTATGTATCTCTGTCTCTGTCTCTGTCTCTCTTGGTTCCTTACGAGGAAGCTTAAGCTTAACGTGCGTACATATTCCCTTGTTGACTCTGGCAGGTACGATTACTTGTTTGATCCTAACGAGCCTGATGAATTCAAAGTCCCTTGTCTATGTAAAGCTCCCAACTGTCGGAAATTCATGAATTAGTAGGATGATGATGATGATGTTGATGATGAATATATACGCAGTCTCACTCACTCACTCACTTGCACAGGCCAATTGTTTCTCCGCAAGGAACAACACTAACCCCCATTCCCCTCCCCTACCCCTACCCCTCTGCGGGATTCTCACAGTGCATATACCAAATTTGTAATTTAAGGAAAAAAAAAAAAAAAAAAAAAAAAAAAAAAGAAAAGGGAATAGTGTACTTTTATTTTGTTTTTTGGACTCACTTTTAAGCTTAATAAAAGCTATAGCTTTTGCCTGCTTTTTGGTTTTGGGCATTTGTGTATATTTCTGTATGTACGCTTTTATTATTAGTGATGACAATAGGTCATTCTTTTATTATTAGTGACGTGGCACCCTCTAAACTCGAAAATGAAGATAAATATAATAATTACTCCAGTTTAAGGGGATGTGGACACCTAATTACAATCGAATTAAATAAAAGAAAAAAAAATCACAATACAATGATTTTAGTTTGAAATAATTAAGTTAGTTTAGAGTGTTTGATCATGAGAACGCGGCGTTTTCTTCCAAACCAAGTAGACAGCCATGGGGGATCACCTGAGACAACTCGGTAGCCTGCCCTGGAGTACAATTGGCGAGCACCCAAATCATCCTCATAAGCCCGGAGAGCAAGATACTCGAAACCCCATTCAACTGAGAGCATATCACACCCCTTTAGCAGAACACTCCCTACTTTCTTCCTCCTGTCAGTCAACTCAAATATTTATTCATCTCTTCATCATGTCAAAATAACCAAACCAAAACCCAGTACAAAACATAAAAATGTAAATAAGACCTGAAACTCTTCAAAACAGCTATCCCAGACACGTAAAGATATTCCTCTGCCTCCGACGGCAGATGCTGAAGCACATCCCGGTCTCTCGACACTGTAACATCCACTACACCCACAAGGTCTTCTTGTGAGTTGGAAGTGTCAAGTGTAGGCTCAGCAACCAAACAGGCATACCTGTGGCATTATGTCTGATCATACTAATATCATCAAAATGCAGCTCCACAAATATGCATGACCTAAATTATGAACCCATTTCCAAATGCATTGCTTTGCTTACCTATTCGGAGGTGAGTTCCTAAGTTTATATACAAGCCCAGAAAGCACTTCAGCCTGTGTTTGCAGCAGCAATCAAATTAAAAACAAAACCATCATTACCATATTTATATCTGATTGTTTGGAGTTTGAATTAGACAGGAATTTGAACTGAAAATAACAACAACAATAACAAGAAGAAGAATGAAAAGCAGAACATATTAGATTATAAACCTGGAAGAATTGGAAGAAGAGATCATTGAAGAGAAACACAGGCTCATGGAATGCTTCAGCTTGAACTTGAGCTGCCCTTCTCACCTCATCTCCATTCCTAAACAAACTCCTCACCTTCCAACCAAACTCACTCACCAAATACTTAAACTCTCCCTTTCTATCAATACCAAATTTCCCACTCCCCACAAACCCAACTTCCTCAGCAGCTGATGAGCTTGATGAACTGGTACTGCAGCAATGCACCACACAACAAGTAGCCTTAATTTCTGATCTCTCAAACTGCCCCTCAAAATGAATCATTTTCAATTTAGTCCTCCTTGCTGGTCTAGAAAGAGTAGCAGTAAATCCACATGAAATCTCTGCGCAGAGTTTTCCTGATATGTTGGGGTAGCTTGCTGCTATCAAATGAGCCATATTTGCTTTGCTGTTGATTGCTGGTTTTAATGACTTACATCTTTAAATCTGTTATTCTTTAAAGTCTATGCCATTCATTCAAGTTTACATTTTCTGCTCTTCGTTTAGTTTATAATGGGAGGGACTGTGAGGGTGACAAGTTGTTAAAGCAAAAAGATAAGAAGATGTAGGCACGAGTGGTCCTTACTTCCTGCTTGGTTTAGGCCAGAAATAAAGATCCCACGTGGCAGAACTTGGGCCGACGACGTGGACTTGCAAAATAATAGGAACTACCACTTCGGTAACAGCAGACTTCACTTCAGTACCAGTCAAATTAACATGTCGGATTTTCCTGTTTTTGATTTGTTGGTTACCAACTTACCATACATACTACTTGGGACTGGACCTAAAGTGCTCTCTCTCCGATTTTTTTACGTTTATTTCATGCACAGTTTTTAAAGTTCAAAGCTTTTCTGTTTTTCTTTGTTGTGACTGAATTAAATTTCAGCCATTAGACTTAACAGGAATTAGATAACTGATATTGTGATTTTCAACATTGAGTTTACGCATAACAAACATCTTAACGTATCATATATACATAAAAGTTAGATATTAATGAAAGCTCAATGAAATTGAAATTTACAAACAAAAAGAAAGATTTAAAGTTAAGAGCCTTTAAAAAGCCTTTCATCTTCTATCTTCCATGCGTGCAGCTGGTTCATGCTTGCTGCCACTTTCACTAGGGGCTTGGACTTGCATGGTTAGACCCATTGGTCATACTACTTCCCCCACTATTATTCCCATCTCTCCTTTCTTCAATTATCTCTGCTCTCCGTTAACCCGACCAACTGACCAACACTTGATTTTTTTTTTTTTTTTTATTATTTTTTTTTTTTTTTTTTTTTTTGTTTTTTTTTTTTTTTTTTTTTTTTTTCTTAGCAACTTCACCCCACTCAGTTTTCAGCACATACATTATGCTGTGGTTTTTCCCATTCTTCTTTTTCATGTCCCACGGCCTCAAGTTTACATCTCCTTGTACAAGACCAGGGTCTATCAGTTGAACATTCATTGTCTCCTCTTTCTAAAGCCTACCTCTCTCATCGTCTTCCAAGAAATCAGTCGACCAGATGTGATTTGGTTCAGAGGCATTGACATCCTGTTACCACTCGTTTCTAGATCAGTTTTGGTCAGTTCCTTCTCTATCACCAAAGCCACTTCCTTCCCACCCAAACTGTCAATTTTTCTCTTGAATGCTTCAGGCAAGTCATGATGAGCTGATGAGGAAAGACTACTTGGTTCTTTTCTTTCCTCTTCGGAGTGATCTTGTTGACCAAGCCGTCCTTCATTGACATTTTTCTTCTTCAACCTCATCATCATCTTCTGCTTCTTGCATTCCGCAGGCGCCCAATCAGTACCACCATCATCATCTATGCTCTGAAATTTTATTTTCAAAGAAATAGTCTCTCTCACAGAAGCAATAGCAGAGTGACGACCCTTGTTTTTTGGCTCTGTTAGTGCAGGCTTCTTGCAAAGAATAAATCATTTGTATTAACTGGTCTGACATCCAGGCCCAGGCCCCGTTTCTGTACAAAACATTCTGGCAGTTGGGTTTGCCGAGTGTCCAAAGACACCTCATCTATGCAAGTATCTTAATTAAATTGGGAATATAGGATTAAACTTTTTTTTTTTTTAAGTAAACAACGTTAACCCGTATATTAGATTGATTTTAAAAAAAAATCCACCTCATCTAATATTGATTATTTCCAATGGGTTAGTCAATCGAATAAATCTTTTTTTCTTCTTTTAAGGGTAAATTTTTCTGTTTTTCTCTAATTCCCCTTTGACAATCTGCATGTATAAAATAGAACAGAAGTGATTTAAGGTTAGGAAGTACTCATCATAGAGCGATCCTTAACCTGAAATAATCAATTTTTGCCTAGTCTTTCAACAATTTAGAAAATAATTTAATTGAAAGAAAAATCTATCATCCATCCAAACGGACAGGGTAAATCTGTGCGAGAAACTATTTTAATGCTCTAAAAATAAAAAATAAATTTCTAACCCACAAGGCATTTGTGTATATAGTTAATGAGATAAATGAAGAAAAATAAAACAAGAATTAAATCATAGATAATATGTGGATTGAGAAAGACTGGTTTTATCCTACTGTTAGAAACAGAGAGAAACTAGCAAATAAAACAAACTCAAGACTTGCTCTTTTTTTTTCTTGTTTTTGGGTACGTTGGGAATTAGTTACTGATCCCAGTCCCAGTTTCCTATCTGCATGCAGCAATCTCATAACTAAACACTTAAAAAGCATATTGATGTGAATTAGTTAATGCTAAGAAACACAAACTTGACAAAGTATGGTATGAGTATGGGTCGAAGAAGAGAGGATAAGCAAGTAGGGAAGCAGAGAAAAAGCACACCATGCCAGAATTTCAGGTAGCAAATTAGTGGTTTTGAAGAAAATGGTGATAATGCAGGACAATCAAAAACAAGAAACAATAAACAGTAAAGGAAGTTAACGCAACAAAGAAAGCCAAGGCAAGGGCTGGAAGAAAAACAAACATTATGGACCAAGCTCGAGGGGCAGAAAAAACCATATTTTGATTTTATTTCCTTGCTGAAACGAGAAGCCACAGAAAATAGCATGAGCATGATGAACTTAAACGCAATAAAAGTAAGAAACAAAAAAGGAAACATGGATATAGATAGAAATTGTCTCAATGTGTACTTTCAGGAGAATGATGTATCCGACTTAAAATTACCGAATCAGACTCATTAGACCCAGACATCAAAGCCTCACAAGCCTTGGCCTTTGGGGATCCCTCTGGTATTACTAAAGGACCAGTTATTGCATCAGCCGCACCTTCCTTTGGGTAATGAATAGAGTTATCATCTTCAGTCTTGCTAATAACATTCAAGTCGTTACCAGCAGCAGGTAAAGTGGAGGTAGCAAGAACCAAGTTATCAATCGATGAGAATCCATTTGCATCCCCAACCTCTAATTTCACCAGCTCAGAGGAGTAATCCATTTCCACCCCATTTAAAAATGTTTGAGGCTCTCCTGCATTGCTTCCACTATAATCTTCAACTCGCATTTCCAACTTAGGAGAAACCAGGCAGATATCGTTCTGCACCTCAGGACTGGGTGTTGACACCGGCACCTCCGGTTTTTCCTCAGCACTATCAGTTGAAGCAGTGACAACATTCTTCTCATCTAAACTTGACAGTGGAGCATCTGTCATTTCTGCATCATAAGTAGGGACTAATTCCTCTACTTTCTCCACATCACAACAAGGGACTTTTGCTTCCATATTCTCCTGATTAGATCCTAATATAATATCCAGTGTTCCACCAGCGATAAATGGCAAGCCTCTTATTTCCATCCTCTGCTTCTTGTAAAAATTCATAGCCTTCTGCGAGTCAGAAAACAATATGTCAACCAACTAGGATGCAGAACTACCAACTAGAATGAAGTACAGAGTAGTATTTGATGGCCAATTCATATTGAAGCACTAAAAGAAGACAAAGTAAAGAGTAAGTAAAACCAAAAATTAGAAACAGTAGTAAACATATGGTAATCCATAGAGTAATTTAAAAGAGAACTAAACAACCAACCAATAATCAAGATACATTAGAAAAACAGCTCTCAACTTGGTTTGAAAACATACCAGGAAATATAACAAGTGAACCAATACATACAAAACGGGGTATGATAATAATTCCAACCAAATAATAAAGCACGAGAATTACTGAAGTATTTTCTCTTGCCCATGCATAAATTCAATATCCTGATTTTCCAAGCAAAAGAGAGAGGAGAGATTCCAGTTTGTTTTTTTCAAAGAAAAAAATCAAAATCAGTATTTTCATACCACTACTTGCAGCCTCAGGTAATTACAAACAATACAAATGAACGGATAATTTAACGGTATATGAACAAGATATCAATATAGAAAGAAGTGTTAAACATTATCATTCATCATAAAGTATACCTGAAAGACAGAATCCTTCAAAGGAGGAAAAAGTGAGGAAGTCGAAAAGGTTTTCGATGATCCTAATCCAGCCCTTGCACCCTGTACGACATTAGGAGAGAAGATGCAAAGATACAATAGCATTCAGTAAGAATAAATTCTATAAGGAAAAACAAATAGAACAAATTTTTGCAAAGAATCTGCACCTTCAAAATTGTAAGCGTTGTAGCATCTTCATCAACAGTGGAACTCCCGTCAGTATCCAGTATGCTCATACACTGGCTATACAACTCAGGATGAGCAAGGTCTGGTGAAATGTCAAGCTTGGAGAGATAATAATGACTTAAACAAGGGACATCATCGCTTGGTGATTTAGAGCAAACAGGTGACTTCTCATGACCAAGTTTAGACATAGACTCCTTTGGAGGAGAAGTTACAATGGACCTTGTTTCAACAGTTTTAGCAAGAACTCCATGATCAAGGTTATCTTCGTGATGAGATATCTGACCTGCCTGCCCAGCCACAGCATCATCCACAAGGGCCTGCACGGGATAATCATCTTTCTGAGCTGGGGAGGGCAAGTCCCTTTTCACATCATTGTTATGTACTTTCCATGTATCAGCACTGGATTCCCATCCACGAGCATTCATCGGATGCCTGTTCTGATCCCATTCGGCACCCCCATACATGTGAGTCTCATCCCTAAAGGCACCATTATTCCCATCCCATAGATGCAAGTGAGAAGGACCTGAACCATCCATCATATTCTGCCACCCAAGTGGGCGCAAATGACTGGAAAATCTATCAGCATCAGAAATATGATAAGGAATCCCAGAGTGGTTAATTTCCATTGAAGGTCTAACACCAAAAATTGGTGGAGCTGGAAACTGAGGTAGCATCCCTTGAAAACCACCATGAGGTGCTCCATGTTGAAAATGCATGAAGCCATTTGGAAGTGGTGCGGTCCAGTTTGGGACACCCCTCCATGCATTACCATGCCCTCGAACCAAATTGGGATCACTACTCCTTCTATAACGTGCATTGGAATTAACTCTACCATCTTCTTCCAATGAACCAACAAAAGAAGGGCTGTCAACTCCGGCCCTGAAATTGGGATGAGGAAACAAAGATAAATTACTCTGACTACTCCTATTGTGAGCTGATGAATCAGCTGGCGATGAGTCATCCACCAAAGGCTTCTCTGATGGCAAGTCCCGACTAAGTCTATCCTCGGTATTAGAGAAATCTCTATTATCAATGGAAGCACTGCTTCTCCGACCTGTTTCTTCAATGTCAAGACTCCGTCTGACACCAGTTCTGTTCGTATACCTACGGTCAATATTTGATGATGAAGGAGATCTTTCCACCAAGGCCAGAGGTGAAGCCTTAGAACTTGCACACTTTTCATTTGACAGCTCCCCTAAATGGCCATCATCCATTTTAATGGGTTTTTCCATGGATCTGTACTTGGAACCTCTTTCTGAAACTCCAGAGAGACCAGATCCATCTCTAGGAGGAATCGCTTTGGTCCTCTGCTCTGCCACAGAATCCCTATACTTCAAATCATCTGGATTCAGATACCTTGTAACAGAAGAAAAATTATGGTAAATTATTATATAACACAAAAATGCCCCCAAAAATAAAATGGTTCAAACACAACCACAAATTCTCTTTACAACATTGAAAATATTTACAAATGGATTCTTTCATATTTTATGAGGTATAATAGACAAAATTATTCGTCTTCACAACCGCTCTGTGTGGATATCATAAAATCTAAATGTAAACCAAATTAAAGCTTACAATATTAAAACAAGTCACATCTTTTCACTGATAGAAACATGCAAAAAAAAAACAATATTAACAGAAGATGAACAAATCTGCAAATGCACGATAACCATATGAATACGAGATATGCCAACTCTAATCACATTTTACCAATTACGTAAGGAATGTGTGTGTGTGTGTGTGTGTGTGTGTGAGAGAGAGAGAGAGAGAGAGACATAACTACCTGTACTCATCCATGCCAACATGTGAATTAGAACTGGGGGAGGTCCTCCGCTTATTGCTGCTCAATATAGTGTCTGCATAAGCTTGCCTCGACTGAGATCTTCCCTTATTAACATCTGACTCAACTCTATCACCGCTTGATGACTTCTTTTCCAAGTCAGAGTACCGAGCTTTGATTCCTCTAGACTTAGTATCACTACAATCATCACGATCATCCGGGGATCTTTTCTTTCCCCTGCTACTATCTCTGTATCTCGTGCTGCGATCATCAAGATGTGACCCATCGTAGTCCCGGTCATAATCGCGGTCACGATCTCGGTCACCATCTCTGTCACGTTCACGGCCACGATCACGATCACGGTCATGATTGCGATCTCGCTCACGGTCCCCATCCCGCTCACGATCCCAATCCCAATCACGATCGTAATCACGTTCACGGTCACGACCATGATCCCACCCATGTTCACGTTCACGATCATGGTAGCGGTCACGATCACGGGCATGATATGAGTCACGGTCCCTATTGCGATCGCGATCGCGGTCATGCTCTCCTTTGCGCTCACCATCCTGAAGCTTGGATCTCTTCGGTTGCGTTTCTGTCATATCTTTTTCTTCCCTTAAATGCTTATCATCAGACTTGCTGCTAGGT